TGTAAGTGGAATTTGCTAGTGATCAAAAATATTTAAATATAATAATATTCTTATATACTGCTCAATCCTCTGCTTTTTTGCTATCTCACATACATTAATGAACCAAACATATCTTGTCTGATTAAATCATCCTAACCATTTTACAATCGAATATAAATAGGGATACTTCAATAGCTTTCGCATGCAATTTTTGTAACTACACAATTTGCATCTTCTATTTAATATAGGAATCAAAATAAAATTGGTGTAGTAATTCATTTAGATTTTCTTAAATTAAAGAAGCAGTTGTTACAAAAGAACATACAGTTCATGCCCTAAAATAAGGATTAGATCAATATTTCATGAATGCTCATATTTTTCGATTAGCACAATCCACATTAGTTGGAATTCCAGATTTTAATTCTTAGATTATCGAAAATATTCTAACAAGGATTTTTTTAATATATGGAGTTGTATTATTTGCATATAAGACTTGAGAAAATAAAGCTCTAAATGTTAATTATATTTATTTATCAAAGCAGTATAAAAACTAACTTTTTTTACTTAACTATCTACTTAAGAAAATCATATAGTCCACAAGCTACAATTTGAAGTTCTAAAAATATCTGTCAACCCTGAAATAGTACCAAAATTATATCATTTCAAAGGTGTAAAATTTTGAATTTAATTTATTGAGATTCCGGTTGATGAATAATTAGTAGGTATTTTTTATTTAGATGTATATTTGGTTTTAGCAAATTAACATGTTCAAACATTTTTCTAACTAATGATATTGTTAAGGAATTATAATAATTCTACTAATTTATTCTTCAGTAAAAGTAAATTGTTATCATGAGGAAAGTAGCTAAACTTTACATAAATAATATTATATCCTAATTTAAGTCTGAAATCAGCATGATATGATCAAAGTCCTCATTTTTATCTATTCAAGTTTTTGATATTTAGTAATTAGTCTTTTCATAAAAAGGGTTCAATATTTTGTGCATTTATCAGCATCTAAATTTTCAGGCAATTTTAAACATTTTTTTTTATATGATACTTAAATAATGAAGGCTTCATAATTTATCATTTTCTTTTTGTAACTCACCTATTTGAGTAAAAGGCTGTATAATCTGCATCATTTTTTTATTAATTTTATCACTGCATGTTTTATCTTTACATTTTGCATCTACTCCTCAATAACAATGATTAGCTCCCTTACTACTTTAAAATTTAGCAAGTTTTTATACCATCTTGATAAGCTGTGTATGAGGAACTTTTTTTCACAACTCTATAAATATCCTGCAAATTTGATTTGCAAGCTATTCATTGACTATACCAGTTACTAAAGTATATTTTATTGCTGTTTCAATAATAGATTTCATTCATACTTAAATAATTATTTTAATTTTGATAATTATCAAGAGTGAGATATAAGCAATCTCATGTTATTGGTTTACAAACTGTAATACTGTAGGTTAAGTTACTTTATAAATTTGTTTGTTTTTAAGGTCTTGTATGTATATTATACCCTTGAATTAATCAACACAATTATTATGATTGAAATTTTTCCTATAACACAAAATTCTCAAGGAATAAATTGCAATTATTATTATCAGTTCCAATGAAATCATCACTGTTAGCATCTCAGCATGAATTTAAAATGTTACTTGATTTATTATTTGTCTTAATACTTTCCCAAAAGATTAAGTCAATATTTATAGATACCTAATCTGATAAATACAGATTATATTCAATCCACAAGAGGTTCACAAGTGGCCTATTTAAATTTATTTTAACAATATATATTTATTCCAGTAGTTATACATCTGATTCTGTAATGATCAAGCATTATTTTCTTATTGTCATACAAAATGAGTCAATAGCTTTACATTTTAGAATTATTGAATACATCTTATTTAGTAATATTTTTTGGGATAATTTGAACTCTCCCCTAATATCACTTTGCCTAACAGCTCTCCATAATACAAATTCGATGATGTAAGTAGAGATCATCTTAATTAAAAAAATAATTTATAAATTAATTGCCATATAATTTTATTTTTTATTTAGGCTTATCAGGTTGCATTTTATCAAGCTGATCCAATTTATGAGTATATTTATTAATTTATTTCGTAGATCAACTATCTTTTAAGCCATTAGATCTCTTATCAAATAAATTTCTTATTTATTTTTTCCTTTTTAGGCTGGAATACAATATTCAAACTTGAAGCAAGAAGATTGTTGATGAAAAGATTTAATTAGTTTATTCTACTCAACAAAAATTGATAGTTTAGATCTTCTGTTAATTTATAATTTATTTCCCACTACTTAAATTTGAAATTCAATTTACATGTTTCTGAATCACCTTCATTAATTCCATGTTGAGTTATTTAACCCTATTACAGATATCATTTTAATATTCAGCATTTGTTGGTAGTGCTGAACTTAATAACTTGATTAATCATAAAACTTAAGCAAAATTCTTATTTCCATCATCAAAATAAATATTTTCCAATTTCTTTCTAAATAATCTGAACACCTACTTTGTTATTTTAGAATTAATAATTATTAAGCTGTTTCTGTATTTTATTTATATGTAAATAATTTTTGAATTTAATAAATTTTGAATTCAAATTCTAGAATATTATTCAGAATTAATTCTAAGTTAAGTATCTGCAGCTAATTTCCTTTAATTCAAAATCCAATTCTCTTCAATAGAAACAGCAATCAAATAAGCTTTTTTATAATTTTTATTAATTACATTCCTTAAAATCACATGTGATAATTAAATTATTTTTACAATAAGTTAATTTCTCTCATTTACAATACTATTTTTCATATTTAATTTCTTAAACAAGGTAATTTGTTATTATTTTACAATACTGAAATAGATAATTAACGATTCAATAATATATACTTTCATATCTTTCATATTTAACTAAGAAGTGAAAATAATAAGTATGATATGAGTATTTTTATTTTACATTATTCCAATATATAAAAATTTAATTAATTTACTATTATTTTAAAAAATAATTTATGGTGCAATTAGTTTATATAATGTAGCATTAATAATATTATTAAATGAAAACAAGAAACTCATTTCTCGTTAGCTTTTGTATCAATTTAGTTAACTATTAGTTATAATTACAATAAACAAGCATTTTTCCAATCCATTATTTTGATATTTTATCTCCAATATGTATTACTTAAAAATAATGACAAGAAAAATTGAATAACTATTGGGTTTATTACAAAAGATAAACAAATCATTTTCACAATAGAAAAGAAATAAAAAATCACAAAAATTATTAATTAAATAAATTATATATATATAAAAAGATACAGCTCCTATTCTCTATTATAAAAAGCATAATATTTTAGAAAAAAGATTTAAAATTTAATGTAAACACAAAATTCATTTGATATTGCCCCTGCAGAAACAATGCTGTTAAAAGACTCTTAATAAAAGAAATAGGTTCGTTTCAGATAAGCTTTGGTTGCTGGTTTGATTCTGGCTGCTGTTTTAAGTCTTACAATAGTCTTCACACCTAAAGGTGAGAGTGTTCCAACTTACACATTAAACTAAAGAAGTTAATATTATTCTTAAGATTAATTATGTGTATATTAAGTTTCAACAGGCTCAACTAATTGTACTCTAATTGCTGCAAATACATCTACTGTAACTGTGGATTCTAATCAATAAAATACCACTCATTTAATAATTTTAGATGGATTATAGGTTACTTAAAATACAACCTATTCCAATGGAACAACTGCTTATGATAATTTATTCGATGCCAATTTGAACATTTCTTAAGAATTATCCAAAAACTTACGTTTACTTCAAGTTTCAGCTGATGGATGTTATGGTCCCTGTTATGACGAAATTCCTATCGTCACATTTACAACTGATAATTAAAATGGTTAAGTTATTGAAATTGGTGTACCATCATCATTAAATGGTTTAATGTTATAAACATTGATCGCAACAATATAACATTTAGGGCCTAATGTGTAAGAAACCCAAATTGATTAGGACTAAATAATTAATCCATATATAATTGGAAAATATTAGTTTATTTCAAAAAGAAATACAGAAACAAGCTGGTTTGGAAATACTAAGGTTACTAAATAAGTAACTCAGGATGACTGTTTGAATGAAAACTTTTTAATTGGAGATCAATTTTCTTAAAACTAAACAACATTATTAAGTAGATAAAACTAAATTATTTCATCTAAAATTTCGGTAAACATTGTTATGGATCATTCTGTTCAACCTTAAGGCGCTGATGTTGAATATTCTTATAAAACTATTGTTTCAGATGACTCAAATTTGATATTAGGTAACTCAAATATCGATGTCAAATATACATAGCTTCTTTCAGATATTAAATCAAAACAAAACATTCAAACTTATTCTTTGGCAACAATTTAAGATAGACTTATTAAAAATAGATAGAATAAATCATTAAATATGTATGAAATGAAGTAAAAGGCAGAATAGCACAGATTACTTATCGAAGAAACAATTTCAAATAGTTCTGTACATTGTCCTTCAAATGGTTTAATTGATTTCTAAAAAACTGTTCTTACTTTCACTGTTAAAGGAACTAAATTATAATTAGATTTAGCACTTAAAGGAACAGCAGGAAACGGAATTGCAGATTTAAATATTAAGTTCTGTGTAGCTATGGAAGGAATGTGTTTGTTTGAGATTATCAATTCAAATCTAAATTATACAGGATAACCTTTTAGAGATATCGAACTTAATGGTATGTAAAATATTTCATTGTTCTAAACTGACCTAGTTGTTTAAGGATTTACAGTTGGTGTTGGAGCTGATTTTAGTTATGGATTTATCGTTTAATAAAATGTCTAATAAAATGCCACTATCTTTTCAGTTTAAGATATCTTCCTTGTTCCAGTCTTATTGACAGTATATGGAGAATCTTCAATCCCAGATTTAGTCGCTGTTAGAACAGCTGTTGTTGCTGACATATTCACAGGAAATGTAACAAGTAATGTTGCTTTTGGATATGACTAAAAGATCTAATCAATTAATTCTAATTAATATACTTTGAACTTAAACTTAGATATGGAAGAATTTAGAGCTATTGTTATTGCTTAATATCAACATAGTGAATTATCAACAAAAGAAAAATGCAAAAGACATTTGGGATTCTTTAAGGTTTGTTATCCAATTCCTGTTGCAGGATTGTTAGGAGATTGGTAAAACCTCTATTACAATAATTGGGGATTTCCAGTTTTGGTTTAGAACTATACATTATATGGTGTCTAATCAGATTGTTTCATGAAAAATGAATGAGATATAAAATAAAAATTATACAAAATTATTTTTAGTTTCCTATAAGTACCTCTGACTGTCTTCTTATTTATTTTTTCCTTAGTGTCTTCCAAAAATCGTAAACTGTTTAGGAAAAATGAATTTTATCACATGTTTCCCTTCTATCATTAAAAAGTGATAGATTAGAAGAAAATAATTCAGTAAACAAAAAGCTGCCTATTAAGCGAGTAAATTGATAATAATCCAAATTCTAAACTATAGTGCTGACCATTATAGTAGAAGTTATGATTATATACTTGGAATTTAGTTTTATTATTACATTAAACAGGATATTTCTCACTAATATAAACAAAAATAACTCTCTTTCTAGCTTAAAAAAATTAATTAACTAACTAAAAGATAATTATTGTTGACTTTATATTCTGCAATCAATTCTTTAACTTTATAAAAAAAATTTACAAAAAAAGAAATAAGATATCAAAATTATTCATAAAACTATCAAATATTCTTTTTTCAAACTAATTCATTTTTGTTTAAGAAGGTCTTAGTATTTCTTTTATAATTTTTGGATTTTGTGGATTAGGCCAAATTTTCAAAATAAGATAAGCGGAGTTTTTAATTTCTTTTGTATTCGTTTAATAAATCAAGGTTCTTTCCTCTAATAAAAAATAATTAATTAAAAATGATGAAATGATTTATGGAGTATTCTATATAAAGCGAATTATTTAAGCAGTATATAGTATTTATGGATTTTTAGATTCTATTTCAAAGATATAATTATTTTACTATGAGAAATACTTTCGCTTTAGCTTTACTACTCTTAATCACATTTGAAAGTTCCTGCTTTTAAGTTTCTATTAATGAAGAGAAGCCATCTATATAATTTTCTTTTTCTAAAACATCATCAGCAAACACCACTTTTGATATTGATTTCACCAATTCTCCATTTGAGTATTATTCTATTGAATTGATGCAAACATCTTCTGAGATTGCAGACATTGCTTTTTTGTATATGGAGTCTCAGCCCTCGTTTATACAAGATGGTGAACTAACCTATGATGATATGGATTATGATAGGTATATATAAAAAAATAATTCTTAGTTATGCTTAGAAAAAAAGGGAACATTTTTTATTGATTCCTAATTCACACGATTAAATATATATTACTATTTTGACTAATGTTTCAATATCATATGATATAATCGTCTCTGGATCTAATGAAAAATTATGCCCAAAGAGATGTAGGTAGAATGGCTAATGCATAGATGGACAATGCAATTGTTTTAAGCCTTTTATTGGACGAGATTGTTCAATTGAAGCTATTGAAATTCAATAAAACTCTATGATTGGAGTTGGAGGTTCAGATGATCATGAATTCTACTTTTTTTATGAATAGGATGGATCACAACAATTAAGATTAGAAATATCTGTATTTATTTTTTTTATACTTTAAGACTGAAGATTAGTTTGATTCAGTATTTGCATATCTTCTAGTTCCTGATCTTGTTTATATACCAACTCCTTTTATTTATAATTAAGGAGCAAATATAACAACTGAAGAGCCATTTTCAGTCATGATAGATTAAAAAAATCGTAGAAAAGATAATGATGATGAACATATTCCAGATAAATTAATTCTTCTTGTACAAGGAGATACATTCTCAATAAAATTGGATGCCATCTCATAAGATAAATCTAAAAAAAGCAAACTAATAATAATTCTCGTTAGTAGCATTGGAGGATCTCTTTTGTTATGTTTGATAGGATTTTGTTCAAGAAGAGCATATATAAAAAGATAAAGAGAAAAATAAACACCGGCAACACCTAATATTGATATTGAAATTAAGGAGAAGGATTTAGAAGTCCCAGCTTATTAAGAATAATAATAACAACCATATAATGATGTCCTTGAAATTATATCTAAAAATGACTTGCAAGATGGATAAGATAATTGTGGAATTTGTTTGGAATCATTAAGAACAGCTAAAATAATCCGAAAAACTCAATGCAGGTATTCAGATTTCTCTATCATTTAGTCACGTATTTCATGGTAATTGTATTGAAAAATGGCTTAACAAAAATTCTTATTGTCCATTTTGTAGATTTGATCTCAAAGTTAAAGTAATCAAAGAGAATAATGATGAGGAAATAATTCAAGAGGCATGAATATCTTAACTATGATGATTTATTTAAAATTATTTACAATAAATCTTATCATTTATTTATCATCTTTAACAGAGCAACTAAGATTTAATAAGGATAATTTAGTAATTTAATCATTATGAGCCTTCTGATTTATTAATTCTTATAAATTAAATTTCTACATATTCATAATAAATTGTTGAAATATTTTTTTGCAGTGCATCTAATTTTATTCAAATATTTCATTCTGTAATATTTAATCAAGTACCTACTTCTTCCTTTATAAAACCATTTGTAGATGATTTTCAACTTGATAAAATAAAATATCAGAAAAATATTTGATAATACTTCTATAATTATTTTATTTTCAAGCTATCATTTATTATAATAAGTGAACTAAAGTACCTTATCAGAAGTCAAGGAAGAAGCTAAAAATATTTTTATCAAAAACACATTTACTATAAATTTTTAAGTAAGAAGATCGATACATTAAGATAATATATATTATCATAAAACATCTGTTTAGCTTCAAAATATTTATCATCCTGTATTATATTAGGCTTTTCTATTTCCATCATTTATAAAATATCTTTTATTGCAGGATCCAAATTATTTTCTAATTCCTTGTTATTATTCAAAATACTAAAAATACTATTTACAACACCTAATTAAATCTAATTCTCTAATTCTTCAACATCTACCTTTTTTGTTAAATCTTACTCTAATTTGTCAATCATAGATAAAAAATTATCAGTCTTATAATCTATAACTTATCTTTTCATACTAGATATCAACTTCATTTTCATAAAATTATTCATTTCTTCAGACAAGTGTTCTTTATAAAAAGGTTCGTCTATAATGATCATAAGTGTATCATAATTTATCGGAATCAGCAATCTTTATTTTTACATGCTTTTTTTATCTTTCTATTATTTTTGTTCAATTATATTGGCTTCACTGTTAATTTAGGAAGGCTTCATTTATGGAAGTAATGACATGGCTTATCAAAATCAATCAATACACATTAAATCTTCAGTTCTTTTCCCATTGTTATATTCCTGTAATTTTTTCATTATATCCTATCCAAAGATTTACATATTTAATGTTGAAGCTTTACTATCCCGTTTATAGGTTTTTCGATCTCTATTCCTACTAGATGTTCTTGAGGATTTCTAAATAAGGATTAAAATAACTTTTTTTTTGGATTTCCTTTTTTAAGAAGACCTATGACTACTAACTTTTTCTTTTTTCTTGTTTTTTTTTTTCTCTCTGGGGTTGGCATCAAATAAAATAAATTATATATATTTATTAATAACTTATTTGATGTAAACTTTTATTAATCATTTTCACCTAAACAAAAGCTTAGCTTCTTCATAAAGATCCTTTTCTACAATATTTGGTGTTTCAATTTCCATAGGTTAAAGTAAATCTTTTATATCAGTACTTAATTAACTTTGTTGATTTCTTTCTTCTTTGTTACTTTGAAGCACTGTGAAAATACTTTTGATTAAATTTAATTGCTATTGTTGCTATTATTGCTATTGCTGTTCATCTAATATCATTGGTTTCTTAAGATCTTATTCTAATTTTTCAATTTTTTCATTAAATTCTTCTTATTTTTAATCTTGAACCCTTTTTTTAATTAAATCAATTATTCTTCTTTTTATTTAAGTTATTAATTCTTCAGGTAATTAGTCTTAATAAAACTAATCTTCTAAGATTACCATTAATGTGTCATAGGTAAATGGTACTAGCATTCTCTACTTAAAAGTATTTTTCATATTTTTTTATTATCTGGAGCTTTTTTTCGTTCCAGGGGTTGGTAACACTATTGGAATTTGCTGATTAATAATTGGAAGAAAACCAAATGCTTTAAACAATTAACTCATATATTACCTGACAATCCCATTAATTATTATTAATCATCATTTGAGGGCCTTCTTCCATCTTTCATTTATTCTTAAATCTTCTTTAATATTTCTAAATTAAATCCTGGAAGGCTTCCAAACATATCTGTTAATTGCTTATCACTTAAAGTTTATGTATTATGTGGAGATTCTTTAATCTCTTTTTTATAATCCTTTTTTTTCTCTCTTCCTCTGCTGGGTGTTCTCGAAGATTTCTAATATAAATTAAATGCAAAGTTACCTTTTTCTTCGATTTATGTTTTGGAGAAGATCTATGACTGCTATCCTTGTCTTTTTTCTTATGTTTATTCTTCTTTCTTTCTGGCGATGGCATTTAATAAAATAATTAAATATATTTTATTTAAAGAATAATTTAAGATTTTCCCTCCAAGTTTCAAGTTAATATTATCTTGTCTAGGTAAAACTATATTCATCTTCATACATAATTTAAACATAAATTAACTTATTTATGATAGCATAAAAGTTTTAATTTTTTCTCAGTATAACCCTAAATTTTATAATAATAATTTATCGAATTGAATCATTACCTTCTGATGTTTCCAAATTAGTTTTCATCATGCAATTTTAATTATCTCTTATGTTTTATAGGATGGCATTAAAAAATGTAAAATGAAAAAAATTATTCTTAATATTATATTAATCAATTCACAAAGTTTATGAATGAAAAAACAAGTCCTAATAATGTAAATATGTTAAGGATTAAAAATAACTTTATTGCTCAAAGGTTAAATATTAATATTTAATATACAAGCATACTTTATAGAAAAAGGAGTGCGATTTTTATGTGTAACCATCAAAAGTATATAATTTTATATTTTATTTTAGCAAATATTTTAGATCCATTTTGTTTTAAAAATCCTCAATGACAAAATAAAATTATATTATTTTTTTTTTATTTTTAAGTCAAACTTCGAAATTAAAAGAGAATGATTTAATAATTGATAATTTCTGCAAGGACTTGAAAAAACTCAATAAAAAAAGTCATCTAATATTTTTTGTATTATTTATACAGCAACCTTATCCTTATGATGATGAAAGTTTACATTTTCTTGTAGCATTGCATGAATAAAATACTTTTATGGAAACTAAATAAAACACCTAATTATTGCCAATACTAATAAGAATTATAATTGAAAGTTGAAATTATGTAATGAGAATTCAATAATAATACCTAACTTTTTAATAATAATTATGTACTACTTAAATAGTCAGATCCTAAAATTTTAGAAAAGATTTTGGCCAAAAAATATTGTAGATTGCTTCAATTAATAGGAAAACCAAAGAAGATTAAAAAAAGAATGGAGTTATAGCTCTTCCTTCTAATTTGTTATATCAAAAATAATGGTGGCTTAATATACTACTTAATAACTAAAAACTAAAAGAATGCCTCATAATTTATTCTTAAAGATGAAAATATCATCAGAATAAATTGTAATAATCAATAGATTCAAAATCTATAATTTCTCTAGTATGTAAGATAATTCTAACATAGAAATAATTTTAGAAATCACTATCATTTAAAATATCACTAATTTGTGAAGTTTCTTAATAAAAATATCATTCCAAAAGAAGAGGTGTTAGTACTTTTAATGTTTTTATTTATAAATATTAATTAATAATTATTTATTATGAGTTTTAGTATACATTAATTATAATAGATGTTTGAGGATAAAGATAAAAGTGAACCACACACACCTATGTTTAAAGGAAAAACAGGTTCTTTAGATAAATTTGATTTTCTCATTTCATAAATTGAAGAGCTGAGATAATAAAATATTGAATTTCAGAACTAAATCTAAATTCATTCTAATCAATTAAATTAAAAAATAAGTATTTATTTGTTCCCTAATAAAGAGAATAACGATGTAATGTAAACTTAAATCAAAGAAATTGAAAAATAAATATAAAATGAAATTATTCAAAATAAATTATTAACTTTTAATTACATAAAAAAACATGAAGATTGTTTTGAGATAAAAAAATAAATCATAAATACTAACAAGCAATAATAAATAGTTTCTATTCCGGATCTAAACAATCCTAATAGACCTTCAGATTGCTCTACTGCCCCAAGTCCTGGGATGAAGGTTTAAATCAAAAGAGCTTATAAAAAAGTTTCTAGCGTCATTTTTAGTGACTTTTGATAAGAATTTATATATATTTGAATAGAGAATGAGTAGATTTATTATATAATTTTAATATAAAAATAATGAGTTTTAGCCACGAGTAATTGATATAGATATTAAATGATGAATCCTTTCAATTATCAGAACCTACAACACCATAAGTTTAACCAAAAGAAGATGAAACATAATTAATATAGAGATAGTTGTTGGAATTGTTATGGCAAAACTAATAATTTAATACTCAACTAACTTAAATTAAGGATTAGATGACTAAATAAGATTGTAAAATTTATTGATAACTTAGAGATATATTAAAATTTGACAAAAACTCAATAAAGATTAGAAAACCAATTATACGAATAAATGTAAAAAAATTAAAAATTATAAGAAGAATGTGATTTTAAAGATTAGGAAGAAAAAGAGTTAAAATAATAAGTATAAATAATAAGACCTAAAAAAAGATTATTTACTTAATAAAGTGTCGGCAAAGTAGTAAATTATAATATGAGTTTTAATAATAACTAAAAGAAAAATTCAGTTATTGTGTCAATAAAAAAGTGAATAAATAAAGGTCATAAATTGTGTAATATACATTTTTTTATGATTTGTATATTTTGCAATTATCATTCAATTAAAAATCAATTAATGATCAAATTTCATATTTTTTTTTAAATATAAACTTTACTGAATCTTGATCTAATTTATTCATTTCAATTTGATTTAAATTATTGGATCAATTTTGAGAAATATTTTTATTTCTCCTTTATCTATATAAATAAGCTGGATAAAAAGACTATATTTATTAACTTTTAGTATCCGTTTTTATCTTATAAAGCAATTTATTAATACTAATAATTATGGAGATAATTATTCTCTCAATTCTACCTTGTTTAAATATTTATGAGAGAATTTGAAAAGTTTATTTTTTTCTTTAAATTCGATCATTTCATAAAGTTTATTGTAAAACAATTTTTCTTCTAAATTTTAGATGCTTTTATTCGGACTATGAAATCTATTATTCAAGGTCCTCCACCTATTTATTCGAAAATCAAAATCTAGTAATGAAAATAAAGTCCTCTTTAATAAATACAAATTAGAAAGTTAAAACTACTAAAATCTAGATTTAAAAGGTAAATGCTAAATACAGCAATTTGATCTAAATAAAAAGTGATATTTTTTTAATTTTTGTAATATTGTTTTACTAATTAATTAATTTTGCCTTTTATTTTTTTATTGCGCATATATAAAATACAAAATATGGCGTTATTCTTTCTCAAAAAATCAAAAATCTCAATGATTTTGTTACAAATTAATTAAAATTTAAAGAATATATAAAAAAAAAAGAAAAATTCATATCTATATTCCTTAATTATTTTAGGTATCATCTTTCAAATGTTTATATTGTTTTAAGTTGATTATTATTCTTATTAAGTTTATATTATTGCATGCTCTTAAATAATCTTTCATCATAAGATTATTTAATTAAACTATAATCTTTGTATTTTAGAAAAACTAAAACAGTTTTTCATACTTCATCCTGATTTTTCATCTAAAACCCTATAAAGTATAGCATTGATTTGAAAAATTATAAATTAAAAAAATCCTAATATTAAACAATTGATTGATATTTTTGTGTTAATTTTGTTATTGATTATCTAGTAAAACATTATTTAATTCACAATAATAAATTCTTGATAATTTTCCTAATCTAAAACTAAATTTGCTCTTAATTAATAATAATTAAATTCAAATTGATATTTTACCAAAACTCTAGTTTTTATTATTAAATCAAATCTTATAGTATAAAATACTCAAATTAAAAAAAGGACATAATTTTTTTAAATAGATTAAGAAATATTAAAAGCAATAGGAATTTTATTTTAACATATAAAAATATTCATAAGGCATCGAATGAGTTTATTTAAATATAGATAAAGAATTTAGAAGAATCATTTTATTTTGTAGCTTTTTATATTCAATAAATTATTCAAAACAATTTGATATCATGATTAATATTATAAATTGATTTTTAATGCAAAATGATCTGAAGGAGTTTTAACTTCTCCTTTCTATGAAGGCTTTTTATTTTTGTAAATTGGGAGTTCATCCATGCCTAAAATCTCTATTTTATTTGCTAAATACGAACCCCTTTAATATATTTATGATGTACTCTTTTTTCAACAGTACTCTATCAAATCTTCTTTTAAAATCTTCAATTATGAATGTGTATCCAGGATTATCGGGATAAAGATGTTTCCATAAATCAACATATGCTGGGGAAATAGATAATTCATCTTTTTAGGTTTCCAAATTAAAATCACCCATTATTATTACATTTTTATATTTTTCTAATTCTTTATAAACATATTTTAGTTATTCAAATCTTGCATTTTCATTGTAAACCATTGATTCTAGATGAGAAGTTCCAATAATTAAAGAATGCATATTAATTTAACATTCAATATATAAGAATGTTCTTCCAAATTGGGAATTAAAAACTAATTCATTAATAAATTTTGGTTTAAATTTACTAAGTATCAAGATACCATAATCCTTAATTACATTTCCAGTGATGTAATAATTTTATTAGATAAATTTATCATTGGACATCATAATCTAAAAGTTTCGTGTTACTTCTTGCAAACATACCAAATCACAGTTGTTCTGTTATATTATTTTCAAGATTTCTATAACTCTTTCATTAAAATTATGCTTTTCAAACCAAACATTATATGTGAGAATTGAAATCTCTTTTTAATTTACTTTCTCTTCTTTTTCTTTGCAATTTTCAATTTTCCATCCATCATTTTTGAAAGCAAAATATTAAAGTGAGTTTTTTGGTTAAAAAAATTCTTTTATATAATTCATTTATAATAATATTGTTTGGTAATAGAAAATTAATTTTAATACATAAATATTTTCAATGAATTCTTTTAAGATTTGCTTAGTTGGAGAATCTGCATCAGGAAAATCCTCAATTCTTAGTATTTTACAAAATAAACCATTTAATTAAAATATTTCCTAAACTATTGGTTGTGATTATTGGAGGTATACTTAAGAGAATAAAAGTTTTGAGATTTATGATACTAGTGGATTAGATAAATTTAAATATACCACCATAAATAGCATGAAAGGCTCTAACCTAATTATTATTTGTTTTGATTGTTCATCGAATAAGGTAGATTAGCATGTGGAAAAATGGTTGAAAATTGTTAGAACCTATAAATCAGTAACTCCAATAATCTTTATTGGCAATAAAATAGACAAGCCAATAAAATAGGAAAGTAAATATATCAATAGACTAAATCAATATTATCCTTTTTACTTTACTTCTTCTAAAGACTCTCAAAAAGTGAAAGGTGTTTTTAATGAAATAGTTAATCACATAATTTAAAGCAATTTAATTGTTGAAAGAGTATAAATAAGACCGAGGTAAGATGATTAAATAAAGAGCAGTTGGTGTTGCTTTTGCTGAACCCATTACTAATTTATATATTATATACAATAATTATTAAAGTCTAATTTTATTATTTAAACTATTAATAATCTAACAATAATACATCATTTTCAAAAAATTAAAAATAGATTAAGAAAGGTTAGATATAGTTATAAAAATATTTTTAATGTAAAATAATAATAGAAAATTGATTACTTATAAATTTATTATTGATAATACTAAGAATAAAGAAGTAAAAAGTATAAATGAAAAATTAGTATATGAATAATCTCACATTAAAGATGTAAATTGATTCCAAAATTATTCCCTTTATTGTTATTTGTTATCCTTCAATTTAATTATTATTGGATGCCCATAATCTGTATTTCCAAGGGTTTAATGAAAAATAATGGCCACTTCTTCTTTATTCAATTATTTGATTGATATTTTGAAAATGCATTTATAGAAATTGATTATCCTATTGATAGTAGAAAGTTGTTAATATTAAGATGGTATTTCTTTTTAGACATCTTTAATAAGATTATAAAGTTATTTATTGTAAGCTTAAATTTAATTCAGCTTAACTTGAAAATAATTATCAGATTCAATCTCTTCAATTAACTTTTATGTTAGAGTAAAATATTCTTGATTTTGGCTTTACAAAATTGATTGATTTTAATCCCTGAAAGCTTTACTTAATAACTTAATTTCGTTGCTCTATTGAAGCTGCTAATCTTTCAGTTATTATGTCTGATGTTTAACAAGATTTAACATAGTTTCAATAGTGTGTTTTTCTTCAGTGATAGCAAATGGTGCAGGGGATTTAATATTTTGTTTCATTTTAAATTTAAATAAATTTCTTAATGAAATTTTTAATATTATCATTAATCATTATAATATTCATTTTAAATTCTTTTTTCTTTTTTTGCCTTCAAATTAGATACTCTTTATGCTATATATTTTAAATCAATAATGCTTTTGGAATGTATTTTATCTAGTTCTTTTAATTCATCAATAATATCTTTGATGACTAACTGTCTATATTTTTAAACACTTTCAACAGACTTAGCATATTGATCCAATTGTTGATCATAAAGATTGATTCTATCTTAGGCTCCATTATTAATAAGATCATCAAGTCTGGTTTCATACTCATTCATTTTTTATAATCTAATTTGCAAATCCTTAATAAATTAGTTGTGATTTATATTTACTTTATAATTTTTAGCATAATTGATCAAATATTGAGGTGGGGCAAATTGAGTTTTGATTTTGTCTTTGCTAACCTTATTTGGATCAATAGTTTCAATCATGATAGAAATGTCTGATTTGGAGAAGATTTATTTTTCTTCCCATTATTTAAGGAGATCTTTGATTTATTATTTTAAATCCTATGAAGAATTGTGATCTTTAAGTAATGTGAAAGCCTTGATGATTTATTTCTTGAAAGCATCCCTCATAGTAGCATCTAATAAATAAATAACATATAATAGATACATGCTCCTTCAAATTTAATTACAGATTCTATTACTCTTTATGCCATGTGAAGCAAAGATACAATTACTTTATCTCCATCAACATTTCCTTTTGCAAAATGGAAGTGATTGCACCACTCTTCACATAAAGATTATTAAGACTTCTGATCATTACTGTGTCTAATGTAGAATCTGGCAGCTTCATCAATATGGGATTGTGATAGATGAATGTTGTTAAGGAGTTGACTGAGTGAAACAATGCTTATTTCGTTCATTATTTAGGTCTTTTATGTTCTTGAAGTGTATAATTTTAATAATACAATTTTTTAGTTGTAGTGAAAATAATCATAGTATAAATATATTTTATTAATATAATCAAATAACAGATAAATTTTATTAAAAAAATAAACATACATTTGTTTTCCAATGAATGATTAAACACCCATAAAAGAGATTGATCTTAATAAACAATCTTGGACCAGCCCTAAAGACAAAAGCGATCGTGTATAAATTAATTTCAATATATAAAGTTTATTCCACGTAATGTGCAATCTAACCTCTATCAGTTATTCATGAGTGAAGAAAATTGCTAAGGCAATACTTACAATAATCTTCTCTAATCCTCAATATTGGGAAAATCACCAGCCATAAATTAAAAACTGTTTAATTATAAAACAGAAAATAAACAAAATGAAATGAATAAGATTATAAATAATGGATTAAATTTCTCTAATACTCCAACAAAAGTTGAACCTGAAAAACCACCACGTAAAATTAATAAAAGACCATACAAAATATTAGAAGCTGAAAATTTATAAGATGATTTTTACCTCAATCTTTTAGATTGGTCACCATTTAATGCATTAGCAGTAGGACTTGAAAATTCAGTTCTCATATGGTCAGGACATACTTCAAAAGTTTCTCGTTTATGTACACTTGAAGATCCTGATATGGTATGTAGTGTAGCATGGTCTCAACGAAATCAACATCTCTCTGTTGGAAATACTATGGGTGATGTTGATGTATGGGACGTAGTAAAATAAAAAGTTATTAGAAAATGGAGTGGACATTAAGGTAGAATTGGATCATTAGCATGGAATAATTATTTATTAGCTACTGGAAGTAGAGATAGAAACATATTAGTTAGAGATGTTAGATGTCCTAATGAATCTATTTAGAAATATGTTGGACACAAGTAAGAAATTTGTGGATTAAAATGGTCATTTGATGAACAACAATTAGCATCAGGAGGAAATGATAATAAGTTATTTATTTGGTCTTTGAAGAACTAAGGAGAATTAACTCATTTTTCACAACATTAAGCAGCTGTTAAAGCAATTGGTTGGTCACCTCATTAACACAATATTGTTGCTTCTGGTGGAGGTACTGCAGATAGATGCATTCGATTCTTTAATACTTAAACTATAGAATAAGTAGAATGTATAGATACTGGTTCTCAAGTTTGTAATTTAATGTTTTCTAAAAACTCAAATGAATTAGTTTCAACTCATGGCTATTCCTTAAATTAAATAATTGTTTGGAACTATGCTAATATGTCAAAAGTTGCTACATTAACAGGTCATACTTAAAGAGTCTTATACTTAAGTGGCTCACCTTGTGGATAAAATATTGTTACTGGAGCAGGTGATGAAAGCCTCCGTTTTTGGAGTGTATTCCCATCATCTACTTCAAAAAATAATCATGGGATTACTAGAGCAGAAACAATTGACTTAAGATGATTGATTTTAACTTGAATACTACTATTATATTTATTAATTCATTATATTATTCTATATGTCTATCAAAGTAGCTACGAGAGTCAGACCATTCAATGATCATGAAATTTAAAAAAATCAACCATTGTGTATTGCTATGAATGGTAACAAGACTATCCTATTTGGTATAAGTGACTTATCAATTAAGATTCTGATAAAGAAAAAGTTTTTCATTTTGATTATTCTTTTTGGTCTCATGATAAATTTGAAGTTGATGAGAAAGGTTATCGTAAACCACTTCCAAATTCAGGATATGCTGATTAAAATATGATATTTAATACTGTCAGAAAGGATACAATAAATCAACTGTTTTAAGGATAGAATTGTTGCATTTTAACTTTTGGATAATAAAAAGTATTAACTAAGATTATCTTTTTTAAGTCTGGCAGATCTTATACTTTATCAGGAAGTGATGATAATTAAGGATTGATTCATAATTTTGTGCAAGGAATTTTTTANGTAGTAAAATAAAAAGTTATTAGAAAATGGAGTGGACATTAAGGTAGAATTGGATCATTAGCATGGAATAATTATTTATTAGCTACTGGAAGTAGAGATAGAAACATATTAGTTAGAGATGTTAGATGTCCTAATGAATCTATTTAGAAATATGTTGGACACAAGTAAGAAATTTGTGGATTAAAATGGTCATTTGATGAACAACAATTAGCATCAGGAGGAAATGATAATAAGTTATTTATTTGGTCTTTGAAGAACTAAGGAGAATTAACTCATTTTTCACAACATTAAGCAGCTGTTAAAGCAATTGGTTGGTCACCTCATTAACACAATATTGTTGCTTCTGGTGGAGGTACTGCTGATAGATGCATTCGATTCTTTAATACTTAAACTATAGAATAAGTAGAATGTATAGATACTGGTTCTCAAGTTTGTAATTTAATGTTTTCTAAAAACTCAAATGAATTAGTTTCAACTCATGGCTATTCCTTAAATTAAATAATTGTTTGGAACTATGCTAATATGTCAAAAGTTGCTACATTAACAGGTCATACTTAAAGAGTCTTATACTTAAGTGGCTCACCTTGTGGATAAAATATTGTTACTGGAGCAGGTGATGAAAGCCTCCGTTTTTGGAGTGTATTCCCATCATCTACTTCAAAAAATAATCATGGGATTACTAGAGCAGAAACAATTGACTTAAGATGATTGATTTTAACTTGAATACTACTAATATTATATCTTATATATTTTATTAATTATTACTATTAAATTGGCTATTAGAATCATATTATAGAATTCTCTTTAACAGCCTCTAATTATAAATGATTATATTAGAATGATCTAAAATCTTAATATTATATGCTTTAAAATCAATTGAATGAATCTTTTTAATTCATTTTCAAATTTCTATAATCCATATAATATAAAATTAGACTTTGATAGATTGTAAAGGAGATCTATAAATTATTTTAGAGAATACTAAGTTTAAAAATTAATGTTGTTGTATTATCTAAGAAAATAATAGATTCGATTATTGAATAAATGAAATTAATATGTTCTTTATAAAATATATCTCTAAATAAATAGAAGTGATAAGTATTAAATAAACTAAAGGTTTATAAATAAAAATTATTAAACTTAAAGGAAAGAATAAATCTTAAATTAGATGAGATATGTTGTTTATAAATAACTAATTTAAATTAAAGAGTAAAAGATTTCTTATATCAGTTATCAAATTTATTTGACTTTCAAATAACAGATTTCTAAATATTAATAAAATACTGAATAAATTACAAATAATATGATAATTCTATATAAGCTTATTTTAAGTAGTCATAAATAATATTTACCAATCATAATTTTTAACAAACCCTTTCTAAATATGCTCTTTCTGCAAGTTCAGTGGATAATTCAGTTTTCAGCTTCTATATTTCATCTCTTTAATGAGAATTTTCTTTTAATTATTATTAAAGCAAGAGTCTTTTATTGCTAACCATTTTAAATAAGAAATACTTGTGCTAAAGATTTGCTAATGTTTACTCCATTTACAATATGTACATTTTCAAAGTTTTATTTTCTTCTTATGTATCATATCCTCTTTAGAAGGGACTCTTAGATTATCTCTTATTTTGCATAGGTTAAGTATAGACTCGGAAGCATGGTTAATTTACTCTAATGACTGGTTAAGTTTATTAAGTCCTTTGAATAAATGAATTGGCTTGACCAAAACTAAAGGTTTACTAATTTATTGAAGGTGGTTATTATAATCTCATAAGGCTGTTATTAATTTTATTGTGTAATTATTAGAAATATTTTAAAGGAAATTTATTCATAATCGATTTGATCAAATATTCAAATATAATTATGACAGAATTATCTTTAGATTTTGATTACATGTTCAAATTTGTCATCATAGGAGATTCAGGTAATTAAGTAGCTGTAGGTAAATCATGCATTCTAAGTAGAATAAATGGAAGCTCTTTTAAAGAAAACCATGAAGTTTCATTGAGTGTTGATATAGCCACCAAAATATTCAAATTATAGTGGAAAACAATAAAGGCAAGGATTTTGGACACTGCTGGATAAGAAAATTTTAAATCCATAACAAAATATTATTATAGAGGATTAATAATTTAGTTAAATATAGAGCTAATGGAATAACGTTAGTATTTTATATGAAGAATAGAAACTCCTTTGAAAATATAAAGAGTTGTTAATTAGAGATTAATTAATATGCAAACAAGAAAATTAAAGTAATATTAATTGCTAATAAGTCTGATCTAATGCAAAAAAAGGAAACTATTTAAGGGAAGTAACTACTGAAGAATGATAATTATTAGCCAAATAAATCGAAAGCTAATATATTGAAACTTCTGCTTTAAATGGTAAAAAATCGAAGAATCCTTAAAGTTATTATCGTAATCAATATTGAAATTGATTCAAGAAAATCAAATTGATTTAACTAATAAAAATTATGGTGTTCTACTTCCAAACAAAGCGGAAACTTTAATTTAGATAATTATTTAAGATATTTGTAAATGCTGAGTCTATAATCGCCTTATCTGAATAATTTATATTGTATGTTTAAAACAGTTCACTCATATAAAGTTTGTAATATAATTAAACTTTCATTCAATCAATCCTTAATTTGTTCTTTTGTATTCTCCACAACATCCATTTGGACAACAAAATCCAGCAATAAACCAGATCACTCCTAAACCAATAAAACCAATTCCTGTATCAGATGAATCCCCACCAAAATTACCAATAAGAAACACAGACCCAACTAAGATGCATATCAATCCTAAGATATAAAAACTTTTTCTTCTTTTTTCCTCAGTGCAACCACAACAACCACCATCACCATAAAAAGCAACATTTAGTTCTCTGTTTAATCTTTTAAGATCTTCTATTTATTTCATTTATGCATCCCATGCCAAACAATTGCTACATTAACCATCATAACTTTAGATATGTTTACATCTTTGACATTCATATTTTACCATGATTAGATATAATAATTTATATTTATTTAATCATCATTACGCATTGAGCTTATAAATAACTAATAAAATATATAAATTAAACAAATAATCATACTAATTAATATTAATTTTTGGCGATATCTAATTAAGGGAATAAATAAAATTTCAATAAGTTTTCAATTTTAGTAATTATAGTATTTAATTTAAAAAATAGAATTTAAATCTTTGAGTATTATTTTTTAAGACTTCCAAAATGTATTCCAATATTTCGAAACTATTTTGAAGTATTTTTGGATAATTAATTTCTTCAAGAATTCCATATTTATTAAAAGTTTTTCAATAATAAAATACTATTTAACTTTTTTCAATTTTTATTTAGATATAATGTTAATTCTCTTTTGGGTTTTGAAGGTGAAAATCTAAAAATTAAAATTTACTTTTAGATTTATTCATTCAAATCAAGATATATATTCATTTTATTAATGTCTTTTAAGTATAGTAATATATATTTTTCGAAATTTAATATTAAAATACTAATTATTACAAAAAGGAATTTCTGAAAAATACGAATTCTAAATATAATAAAAATATTCTCTATTTTCATCAAATCATAAAGTAAAACATAAATAATTATATTTATTTTTGTAGATTTTTTATATATAAAGATCTAAAACTTTACTTAATTTTAGAAATAGGTCATTTCATTAATTAAATTAGAAATTTTTAATTTATTATTACATCTTTTTTTATTTCTTTAGCTGATATATGAATTCATTTAAAATATTTTTATTACTCCAGATTATTTAATTGTTCTTTAATAAATTGAAAGTAAGAAAAACTCTTAAATTTTTACAATATTGTTATTTAAGAAGAATAACTTTCAAAAAGGACTAAACATGAGTTTTTTCTTCATTTATGAATGCTTGTCTTTAATAGTAATTGTTTCAGTTGAAACTTTCTCTTTATCCTTAAATTAAACAGGTTTTGCATTAAACTTTTAATCAAGTTTAAAAGAATTTTTCAATTATTTTTATTTTAAGTTAAAATTATATGATAAACCAGAAGTTCTGATCAAAATTAATTTTCATTTTAATAAATTAAACTGAATATTTATAAGATTACATTCTACTAACTAACTTTCATTAATTTAATATTTTATAAATAATATAATAATATTTTGTGCCATTTTATATTATTTTACATAATGAGTACAAAAGTAATAAATTTTAAAATCATAAAATCTTATAATTAAACCTAGTTTTTATGAGATTTATATTTAAGCTAATACGAATAAAAGAAATTCATAAGAGTCATCATACATCAAAGTGTGTCATAGTGAGAAATAATTTAAAAAAATAGATAAAGAAAAACACTTTAAATTTTTGGCATAATTTTATTTAAACTTAGGTGAATATCATTTTTCTTAAAAAGTATTAAATTATTAAATTTATGATTTGGTTCATATTATAAAATAAAAGATATGTTAAATTCATAATTCATAAATTTTGGAGAAAAAAATTCATTATATTAATTTATAAAATTATTTGTCATTTACATAAACAAGAAAATGCAGATCAGCAATTAATTGTAATTAAGCTCGACTTTACAGTAAGAATTATATATTATTAAGATAATTACTCAAACAGTTCTACATTCCTTAACTACTATAGTTTTAGTTAAGTATATACAGCAATACTAGTTAATAACTTCGATTTGCGAACTAAAGTGCAAATTAAAATGACTAATTGATCATCAAAGAGGAATATTAGGAAGAAGCTTAAACAAATACGAAGAGTACTCAATGTATGAAAACGAAGTTTCAGACAAAAAAATAAAGCAATTCTTCTGTTTTACATAAATTAGAACATTCTTAGAAATATAATGATCAAGTGAAATCTAAAAAAGTATTCAAATGATTATAAATATTAATTTAATAAACTTACTTTAATAAATGAATGAACTATTTGATGAAGTGTTCCTCAAAAATAAAAAGGAATAATTTCCTAACAGTACAAAAAATTATGGAATATTTTATGTTTATTATATTATTATTATTGAACATATAAATAATAATAATTATATTTTTAAAAAATGGCAGAACCTTTAACAATAAAATTGTTAGTTGTTGGAGATGGATCAGTTGGAAAAACTTGCATATTATTGAGGTAGATTAGTTTCAATAGTTAATCATTTATAGTTATACAACAGATAAATTTCCAACCGATTATGTACCAACTGTTTTTGATAACTATTAATCAAAAGTTCAAATTGATGGGCATGATGTTAATTTAAGTTTATGGTATGATAATATTAAATTAGGGATACGGCTGGATAGGAAGGATATAATCAAGTTCGATAATTAAGTTATGATGGAACTGATGTCTTTTTAATTGTTTATTCAGTAACTGAGAACACAACTTTTTAGAATGCACTCGAGAAAGTAAATATTAAACCTAGATTATAGTGGTATCCTGAATTGAACAAAGATAAATTTGCCTAAGTTCCAAAGTTAATAGTAGGAAATAAAATTGATATGAGAGATGAAGGTAATTCAAGACATATTAAGAAATCAGCTGTAATTAAATATTTATTAAAATAAAGGCTGAATAATTAGTAAAGAATATCAATGCTTAATTATTTGAAGTCTCAGCATTAACATAGGAAGGATTAAAACCACTATTTGATACAGCAATAAAAATTGCTTATGATAAAAAGTAGAAAGAAATCATGGATTCTAAAAAATCACAATAGCCAGCTTAAACAAATGCTTGTTGCTAATTGATATGAATATTCATTTTAGCAATTATTGATATAATTTAAATAAATAAATGGATTCTGAAGATTTGCTTGAAAAATTATTGGAAGCATTTTATGATGAGAAAATAGAGCCTAAAAAGGAAGCAGCAAAGAAAATTCTTGGATTAGCTGCTCGATAAGAAAATCTAGAATTATTAATATCACATGGTATTTATTTATAATAATCTTCATTAGAATAATTCTTATCAACAATATCTAGAACTTTGAGAGATGAACATAAAAAATCAACAGAACTTACTCTCTATTTATTATGTGTTTTTTACATTGTGTCAAACTATTTAGAGTTTCATTAAATATTATCTGAACATTAAATAGGAGATATTACAATGAAAATAATAGAGTCATAAATCTAGAGATTTGATTTGAGATATGCAGAATTAATGGAAAAACAGGGTTAACCTTAACAATTATAAGAGTTAAAAAAATTAAATTTGATGATAGCAAAATAAGAGAAGTTATTTTATGTAGGTTTTACTATTTTGATGAATATGGCTGAAGATCCTATTATAGAAAATAAGATGAGGAAACGAAAAATTATAACATTTTTACTTAGAATGTTAGAAAGAAATAATTTCTATTTATTAATTGTGACCTTATTGTTTTTAAAAAAATTGAGTATAGTAAATGAATGTAAAATGTAAATGGTTGAAGAGAATTGCATTAGAAAGTTAAAGAGATTCTTTAGTGCTGATAATAATGTATTGTTACAATTAAGTTTAGGTATATTATAGATATGAATATAATAATAGGTGTTCTTAAAAATTTAAGTTTTGACTCTGAAGCTCGATTATAAATTGAATAAAATGGATTTATTCCAGATATTGTAAAGATGTTGAAAATACCAAATTATCGATTTGTATCAATAGTTTTGTTGTATTTACTTACTTTAGATGATAAAATCAGATTAACATTTGGTTTTACTGAATGTATGACTTTGGTTGTAAAATTAATGCTTCATTTCCCTGAACCTGTAATTGGAAAAGAATTAATATCTTTAGCTGTTAATTTATCAACAAGTTCAAGAAATGTTGATCATATTACAGAGCAAGAATTTTAATAAATAGTTTAGAGAGCTATAACAAATTCAGATACTTTATTATTTAGATTTGTTAAAGGAGTAATTGAAAACTCTACAAATCCAGAAGTATAGACATGTGCAAAAGGATTTGTGAGACATTTTATGAAATTATTAGTTACATAAGGAAAAGAAGAAGATATTAAATTTGAAATTATAGGGATTATGAGTGCATTAGATTTATAAGAAAATTGGATTAAATTATTAAATGAACCATTTATTGAATTTTTACATAATAATTTAGCTGTAGGAATGGTTGATGATGATATTGTATTAGAAACAATGATGTTGGTATCATCTATAGCATCTTCATAAAATTCAGCTGAAAAACTATTTAAGAGTAGAATACTAAATGCTTTGTCTTAAGTTTATTGTGAAAAGGGAGATGATGATGAATTTGTTGTACAATATTTGTATTGTTTAAACTAATTTCTGTTTCATAAAATAGGAATATCATAAATATTGGAATAGTAAAAATATTCATATTTTGAGGGATGAAATCTTAATTTAGATAATATAATAATTAAATGATAAAAACAAAAAAGTTAAGTAGATGTCAGAAGAAGTCTTAGATATATTAAGAGAGTATGATTAGGAATTATGTGAAAAAATTAAAGAAATCAAGTTTGGTGAATATAATTAATTATGGATTGAGCATCTAAATGAATAAGAGCTCATGTATATACTTAATTCAAAAAAATAGGTTATAAGATGGAGCTGATATGGCATTTGAAGATGAATATGGCGGTAATGAATTAGATCCAAAAATGTGGGATTCAGATAATGATTGATTATTATGTTACAATATATCAAATTGACTATATAAGCTAATTTCTAATATTCATATTTATTAATATAATAATAAAATAAATTAATAAACACAATATCTAATGAGATTTTTTATTTGTTATATATATATAGTTTATTGATAAAATGAAGAAAATTATACAGCTATATTTTTTAATATTTCATAAAGTAAATTATAAAATCAAACTTCTAAGTCACTCATTTTATTTTTGATTTCAATAAAGTGTCCATAAGTTAATCTAACAGGGCTTCCTTCTGCAATATGTTCTATTTTTGATTTCTATGCGAATTCATAAGGTTTATTAAAGGTCTCTAAAGTCAATTATGATAATTAAAAGTAAGTGACCAAATAGTCTAGTAAGACCACATCTTTTTCCATATCAATTGGTAAACTTTTCGATAAATCATCAGAGCCTAATTTTTTATCAATTTCTTTTTGTAATTCTTTAATTGCTTGACGTAATACAGAATTGAAGATTATATAAAAAGATTCGAATTCAGTGAAATTTTCATCAAAAACAGCATCAAATTTTTTATCAATTGACAATTCATTTTTATTTTATTATAATGAAGACCAGATATTCTTAAAATATGATTAGTATTTAGTAAAGTTTTACTAGATTGTAATTTATGTTGATTAAAACTAATTTGAAGCCTTGTATGCATCAAAACCTTAAATATCAAGAGAATTTGAATCCTAAAATAGAATATTATTATTTACAATGTCTTTAAGTTTATACATTTTGATCATAATATTTTTAATTGCAAAGAATAATAACTTATCTCTTAGCAAATCAGTTCTAAATAGATTAGTACTTTCAATTAAATTAGCAACTCTAAATAAATATTTGCAAAAATTGATTTAAGACATAATAGTATATTCAATATTAGAAGTATTACTTTTAATTTCAAAAGAACTAGTTTCAGCTAATAAATTAATTAATTAAAATACTTTATTTTGATTATTATCCTAATGGTTTAGTTATTTAAGTTGTATGTTTCTTTCCACTTCTATGAATAGAATCTCCAGGTAATTTTTTAGCACTATTTTCTTTACCTTCTTTTGGTTATTCTAATGTTTTTTATTTCATTAAAGCTGGCTATTTATTGACTTAGAATGCTAATTCAGGTCCTCTTATCCAAGGATGCTTTTCTAATTCATCTATTGATGCTCTTTCTTATTCATTTACAACTAAACAACGTTTAATAAATTCTTTGCATTCTTAACTAACTTTTGTTGATGATGGGAATGTTAATTGTACACTAACCATTTTTTATGCTAATTCCTTTTCACTTGTTGCTTACCAAGGAACTTATCCAAATATTATTTCAAATGCTGATACTCCTATAGCCCAAATATCAGATTTATCAGAATATTTATTATTTTTAAGAGCTTATGGACTCATATAAAGAGGACTACCAACATTAACATTAGGTAATAATGGAGGAGAATTAGGAGTTGTTGCAAATCCAAAGTCTGCTAATTTTGGAGTTCCACATGATGACAATAACACATTAGCAGGTTTAATATCTCTATGTATTATACCATTCTATTTCAATAATTTATAGGCTTTAACCAATCCAAATATAACATTTTGTGCTTGTTACTCTGGAAATTTACCAATTTTGGTTAATTTACTTCCCAAATCACCATTTTCACAAAACTCTGTAATTAAGTAAGTATTATTTTATGTTTGAAATACCTATAGACTTAAGATTATTTTATACTTTGTATAATTTCATTATATATTGACTATCTAAAGTACTTAGTGCCTCTATTTCACTTTGCAATAAGGCATGATGCAAAGGTGTCTTCAGTAAGGCTTTGTCAATTACCTAAATAGACTTCATATTACCTTAATAGCTACTGTTTCACCTGTCACTTCATTTTGTCCTTTATAAACCTTACTGCTGAATCCTTTTCCAATTTACTAATGAAGTCCATACGAAAAGTTCTCTATCATCTTTTTAACATTCTGTGATGATCCATTAGTGTAAGATGGATGTTATGAGTACATCTATTTCTAAGCCAAATACATTAATAATTTAACGAACTATTTTTATTATTAAAATTATATTTCAAGCCTTATGCCACATAATAACCAAAAATTCAAAATAAAAAGGACTTTAATAATTCTCTACTATTCTCTAAACTTTAAATTCTTTGATCAATTAATAATTATTTAAGCATCTTAAATCTAAATTTCTTTTTTTTCACATCTGATCAAAAAGTAAATTAATAAAAGTTAATTCTTGGAATACAGAAATTAATGAAAATAACTATGTTTAAATGACAATCTAGAAAATTTATCATCAAATTAAAGAATTCAAATTACAATTAATCAATTTTCTATGAAATCCAGAATATGAATATTTGATATTTCTTAAAGTTTCCAATTAGATCCTTTTTAGTTTAATTAAGCTTGTCATCTTTTTACAAGCCGATATATGTATTCTCTTTTTAGAATTCAAAAAATAAAATTATCTTAAGATTAATTATTTTAAACTAAGAATAATATAGATTTTACAACTAAATGAATACTTATTATAATATTTATTTAAGATGATAGATAAAATAATAATACTGTTAAGTAATCCTATATTGTCAAATTTGGTTTTAATCCCATTTTTATGCAGCAACCATAACCCACTTTATTAGCCAATTTATAACAAAGACCTTAAAATACATAAAATTTTGATAAAATTAGAACTAAATTATTGTTTAATGATCTTTGAAATTATGAAGCAAATTTACTTTTGCAGTAATTATCTAATTTTTATGTCTATTATAAATCGAATTTATTTATTATTCAAAATAATGGTACAATTTAAGTCTAAATTATTAAAAATTTTATGTTTATGTTATCTATAAACTTTAGAGATCACTAAATAGAATATGATATTATATATTCATATATATATATATATATATATTTATTTATGGATTATTACTTTAGAACAACAGATTTAGTATTATTCCTTTTAATTATTCAATTATTAGGTCATCTATTTATTCATTGGAATCAATATAATTGTGAATTGTATGGTAATATTTAAATATGTATTTGGATTTTTGATGTTCTATTAAGATAATTACTTTAACTTTCATAATTTAACAAATGGGCTTTATTTATTACATTTATAATAGCTTTATAAACAGCTTCAATGAATGTAATAGCAGTATAAGAGAATGAGTGTTCTCAAAAGACAACTTTTATTTTTTATTGCATTTTAGGATATATTTTAAGTATTTCTTCATTTTCAAAAATGTTAAGCGTTAAAAAGAAAGCTGAACTATTGAAAATAGTTGATTCATAGAATCAATGATTATAATAAATTTATATTAATATTGTTCATTGAATATTTCAACAAGGAGAAAATGGAACTTCTCCTACTTTTTAATTGCACTCTGGACAATATTGAACAACATCTTTGCAAGGTTTACAACATAAGGGTATTAACCCTCCAATGAATGTCAATATACACCAGATACCACAACAAATTAATGTCCAAGTTCCTATTTTATGATCAACCATTGATTCTTAAACTTTTGAACATTTATTGCAGAAAAATTAAGAAGATTCTCTTTCATTATTTAAACTTGTTTTATAATTCTTCTGGCCTTGGCTAATAGTTAAAGGGACGGATTCTTCAGCCATTTTTATTGATATTTTAGAGTTTAATATTAATAATGAAGATAAAAAACGATATAGTTGTTATAAGTCCAAAGATATACAAAGATATTGGATTAGATAAAATAAGGTTTAGATATTAAATTCAAAAGAGATTAGATTATTTCCTAATAAGAAAAAGAATTATTATTAATTAAATTTGAAATGGAATATGAATAATCAGATTACTATTTACTATTGGGATCATCAATTTTTATAAATATTACTTTAATAGCTATAACAATCTTCTTATGGAAAGTTATATGGCTATAATATCCAATATTTATAGAAGAATTTTAAATAAAATCATTAAGTGATGCTTATAACATAATTCAAACAGCAAATACAAATTTAATAATAAATTAATGTGGATTTGATGGATTGACTTTATTATTATTTGAATAAAAATTATTTGTTGGTTTAAGTTACTATACAATATTTTATTATCTTATTATGGGGATATGTAAAATATCATGGAACTATTTAAATGATTATTAAAAATTATTTGTCTAATTGAATATTTTACCAAACTAAGATTTCATTATAAGTTCGATGTTACTTTTAGTAATATTTGCAATTTTAATATAAATAAGAAAAGAACTGCAGATTATTTATATTCAAATGTTTACAACAGATTAATTTACAAATTATACAATAAGGACTCTCCATATAAGGGGAATGGATTATGATGATTATGATGGTGTGATGATGATGTTAGAAATATTAAAATATTTAAATGATGTTGGTGATCCTGGAACAATTATGGGAATTTCAATCATTCCTGAATACTCTAAATTATTAGAATTGGAGAAAAATAGATGTTTATTTAAATATTAATTGGGAATTTTAGAATTGTAGAAACCATTATTTTATCCTTTACCTAATTTATCATTAATAGAACAATAGATTGATTAATAATTATAAAAGCCATTTAAATTATCAGGACATTGTTTTATATGTGTTGATAGATTGTAAACATAATTAAAATTATGCAATTAAAATGCTTTAACTTAATATTAGATATAATTAGCCCCTGATTTATATGATATAAATTGGGTTAATTTTACTATAGAAAGTAATTAAATTAGAATTTGGAGGACTATTATTCTAAATTTATTAATTATGACTTTGCTTATATTTGTGACATCACCTTAAGCATTATATTAATATTTATCTAAATTTCCTGGTTTAGAGTTTCTATCTTTTAAATGGACTATTTTAATTCCTGAACCTTTTGGAAGAATAATTAAAAATAATATTCCTCCAATAATTTTAATTTCGATCAACTAAATCATTTTATATTTATTAGATGTTATAAGTAAAAATATTATGATTATCTTTTTAGCTTAGGCAGAAAAACATGAAAGATGGTCATAATATCATATTTCCTTTTTCCATAAAATGTTTTTTTATTTGATTTTAAATGTTTTAGTAATTCCAGCATTTTTATTACAATCATCAGAGACTTTGTTTAATATTACATATAATGGATTTAACATTTAATTATAGAAAGCATTTGATAATTAAACTAATTATGGGGTAATAATTTATGTTAGAATCTACTTTAGTTATATTATATAACATTTTTGTTTTATTCTGGTACTGGTGCATTTTTAGTAGAATTGATTAGACCATCTGAACTCTACTTCAATTATTTAAGTTCATATATGGCATATTATATGAGATTATATGAAAATGATGCATAACATTATTAGAAGTCAAACGAATTTAGTGTTTAGTATGGATATATATCAGCTTAGATGCTTCTTAATTTAACAATCATATGTATATTCAATACAACCTCACCTTTCATTTTAATTGCTGGTTTATGGTATTTTGGATTCAGATTTATTGGAGATTTTTTCATGTTGATGGTCTCAAAATAGGAAATGGTTAGTAATGGAAAATATCTTTACAGCCTCTTATAATTAAGTTGTTTTACATTGGGACTCTGGCTTATTGTCAAAGTTATTGGTTGCTATTTTTAATCTAATTATTTGATGATGTATTTATTTGGAATCGAATTGATTGCCTGGGTATTTATAGGTCAAAACTTTCTATAATAATTAATTGATATTAACTAAATACAAGACGAAGATATGAAACTGAAAATAAGCAATAAAAAATATATGAAGGAATGGAAAATTAAATATAGACATCCATTATCATGAATCTGGTATTTCATTAAATCTTGCAGCTGATCTTGATCCTAATTGCTTTCTTGCTAATTCATTGTAATCATGCTGCTGTATTTCTAATATATATATATATAAATCACTTGGTCTATGCAATTATTTATAAACTTGATTTTTCTAATCATCAGGTACCCAAAACTATTTATTGTATGTAGCTTAAGCACTCTATAATCTATCCAGTAGTTACTTCAATATTATCAAATAATACTAAATTTTCTTATTATAGTTTTTCTCTTTGAATTCTTTTTGTTATCTATTAAGATTTTGGTAAATGAGGCATAGAAATAATACTTTTATTTCCCTATTTCTAAATATTAACCATCTTATTTAACATTATATTATTTTCATAAGCTATCTTGTTTTCTTCAGCTAAAGTTAAATAGAATGAAATTGATACCATGAGAATATTTATTATTCCATTTTGAAAGTGAATGAGATGGTTTCCAAGGAGCAGATGTATCTATTCTACTTCTAGTATTTGTTATTTTAGATAATAGTTTTTCTTGATCATTTACTATTTTCTTTCTTTAACAGATAGGATTAATTGAAATAAGGTTCCACATATATTCAATTATTTTTATATAGTTAATTAAATTAATGTATTTGAAACAATTTATAATCCATATCCAAGTTAATCATAAGAAAATTTATGGTATATTATAATTATACAAAAAGTAAAGTAGTGTTTCTTATGTTATATTTTAACTTCTTTATTCTAATAATTAATTAAATAATTATTATTTTTTTTACATTAAAGTATGGAATAATCATTTTGTTAATAATTAGTATTTAGATTATATCTTAAAAGGTTAAAGTTTTTAGTAATTATTTAATTAAACTAACATTTATTATTCTAGAATCAATACTTTGTTAATAATATTTTTTAAATCAAGATTTATATTGAATAATTAAATCCATATCTATCTTTTAAATCAAATCTAAGTTTTAAACTTATATCTTTTATTTATTATATTTTTAAAATAAAAAGAAAAACAACTATTTTTTAATTTTTTGCTTTTATTACAATTATATAATAAGTGTCTAAATAAGTAAATCAATTAATAAATTTTTTCTTCTTGAACATGGTCGATAGACTTTAATGATTGATATTCTAAGAGATATCTTATAATGACTTTCTATAAGTAGGTCTAATATCTAGCTTAGATGGTCTCAAATGTTTGTATGATTTTTAACTGCATTACGATGTAATATCAGAATTATTATCAAATATTGTTAACAAGGTTTCTTCATAGGGTTCTACAAGGTTCATTATTTGATTATTCTTTGTTATTAGAAGATCTTAATACGGTCATTAATATTTTACCTTTTAGTTCTCCTCTTTAGTCTTCATTAATTTATTCAGACTTAAATAGACGATAAATAGCAAACAAGATTTTTGATTCATATTCGTTAGACATATAAATTATTATTCATTTTTTAATTAAATGAGTAGAGATAGAGGGGGTATATAATTATAAAATTTATATTAATTAAGTTCTTTATTTTATTAATAAAGTCTAATGGAGAGATGAAAGTGCTAAAATTGATGAAAAATGAAGTATACTCCATTGTGCTGCACTATTTTGGAAGCATTTTAGCCATTTTTTGTGTAGAACAACCAATAAAAAGTTAGATACGCAATTATCCTTAATCAGCCAATCAAATTTAAGAATTTTTTTTAAAAAGAGCGCTTGGGTTTTCAGTTTAAAATATTAATTAAAATGGCTCCATCAAAATCACCAAAAGCAGAAGCAAAAAAAACAGTTAAGACTGTTAAAACCAAAAAAACTACAGATGACAAGAAGAAGTCTAGAAGAAGATAAGAAACTTTTGCATTATATATCTACAAAGTTTTAAGATAAGTTCACCCAGAAATTGGTGTTTCTAGAAAGGCTATGAACATCATGAATTCATTCATTAATGATATTTTTGACAGAATTGCTCTTGAAGCCAGCAAATTAGTCAGATTTAATAAGAGAAGAACCCTTAGCTCAAGAGAAATCTAAACTGCTGTCAAATTATTACTTCCAGGAGAATTGGCCAGACATGCTATCTCAGAAGGAACCAAAGCAGTGACCAAATATACAAGTGGATGATTTTTTTATTTTAATTAAGTTCAAATATATTGTAAAAGTGACTCTTCTTACTCTTATAATTCTTTTAGTAATTATATTTTTTAATCTAAGAGTATTTTATTACTCTATTCATTTTCCATATCTTTTATTTCCTTCTCTAATTTAGATATTCTTCTAATTAATTATTCATATCCTTAATTTTCATTATTAAAATATTATTCAACAGCATTATCTAATTTAGAAACAAAACTTGTTTTCTTTTCACTTTAAGTAAATCTAACATCATCCTTTCTTGGTTCTTTAAGTTTATGTATGACTTATTTTAATTTTTTAATTTATTCCTATTATTCACTTAATTATTATCTATCACTTAATTGTTAATCCATAATTCTACTTTAATCTATTAAAGATTAATGTAATTCTTAAGAAAGACTTTCTATTTAAGCATCTTTTTGTAAAATCTCTTCATCTTTCTTAAATAACTCTTCTTCTAATTAAGTAATTGTGATTTTTAATTTTTTCTCTAATGTTTCAAATATATTATCTTTGTTTGATAATTCTTCCACTAATTTTTACAATTCATATTGACAACTTTTTAATTGACTATGCAAAATTTTGTTTTCTTCTTCTAATATAGCTGACTTTTTTTGTAATGCTGCCATAGCATTAGCAAAACTAATTTTATCATATAAGTGTTACTTACGCTCTTGATTCGGACATTATTGTTAAGTATTTTTATTTATAAAATTTATTTAATGTAATAATTCTTGTGTTTTAGAAAAATTAAAGAATATAACAATTTCCACATTTCAGTGGTTAAAAATAATCCATTTTTTTTGTAATAAATTATAATTATTGATAACTTTTTGTTTTTATTAATATTATATATAATTGGGTAATCCTAATTAATTTAAATTATGAATGATTTTTAATAATTAGAAAAATGAAAAACCCTTAGAGTAAATAAATTAAACTTAATAACATGATTGGTTCAATAATAAAAACAATAAATATTTTGATGATATTATATAGGTTACTATTAATAACCAATATAATATTGCTTCTTTTACTGATACTACAGACATTTAATTTGTAAATTTATGATGCAACTATTAAAATCATCAGTTTAGAATGAATAAAGCAAATCAAGAAAGCTTTATTTTTTTTTCGTAAACAAATATAGAAACCATTAACAGTTTTAGAGATATCTCTTCTAAACTGCATATTTACAATTGATTATTAAATATGATTCTTTTAAAAGAGACATTTGAGAAATAATAAAGCAAATTTATAGAATATCATAAATATATCAAAGTTATATAAACTAAATAATATGATTTCAATATAACAATGTTTTAGAATAAATTTTTTGTTGATCAAAAATATTATAATGAATGATGATAAATTAATTAATAATAATAATTTAAGTTTTCTTGTACTTTTTAATATCTTCTTTATTAGATTCCTCTTAAAGAAAAAAATAAAATACACCTTGGATTATAATTATTCTTTTTTTAAATTCCTGTCTTTAAGAGTTATACTTTAGTAGTACTATTAAAGTTACTAAAATAAACATCAATTATTTCGTATAGGTTAATTAAGTTAAACTCAAAGGTTCTAGATATATTTATATCTCATCTACCTCAATTATATATTATTTAAATTTCATTATTGACAAAAATACTAACAGATCTAATATTATTCATAAAGTAACAACTATAGTAAAATTCCAATTTGAAATTTTCACTTTCATTTAAAAAAGGCTTTTTCTTAGAATAAATTAATATTACTAATCCTCACCATATTAGTTAATAACCTTAACAACAACAGTGGATATGATTGATATTATTTAGGATATAGTAAAAGAAATGATGAATTAAAAAGAATCTAACAGACTAAATCTTTATATTAAATTAATATAGGATATTGAATTAGTAAAAGAGGTTAAAATGAGTATGATACATTATAAATTTTCCTTAGATTATTTCTAACTAACAGTTGATAATATATATATTAATGAAGATTAATTCTGCCAGTTAATAAAAATTAGCAATGACTAGGCCATAGACTACTCCTTAAAAGGTAGGATAGTCACCTATAAAGAAGAATAAGTATGTAAATTAATTCATATAAAAGGTATTTGGTTTAATCAGGGGTTTCATCACTAGCTAAAACTGATAATAAAGTCTCAAAATCAACTGCATTATCACATGATTTAATTTCTTTAATGAAAAATGGAGGAAATGGTCATCATAATAGTCAGTAATTAGATAGAAAATAGAATTCTCGCAGCAAATGCATTCTTGATATAAATGATGCAAATTTAAAAAAAAATAGACCTAATTCAAGACAATAAATCCAAAATTTAGTTAAAAGTAAGAAACCTGATAGCAATCTTAAATATCATGAAGAACTAATTTAAAAGCAATTTCAGAAATTATTGGATCTACAAAAACAACATCAATAAACACACAAATCACCACCTTAAATACATAGTAGAGCAATGAGTAATGGTGATTTGAAGCCTACAAGTGATATTGCCAATAAATTAATAGAATATATAAAGAAATAATCTGCTAAGAAAATAAAGGGTTATAGATCAATATCTAATCCAGATATAATTGTAACTGATAGAAGATTAATATCAAAATATGCAGTGAAGTTAATTATCATTATAATAATTATAGAACTTAAGCTGGAATGTTGCATACAAAGTAAGAGAAAGTAAATTAAGATTCATATGCAATTCATGAAGGAATAGGAAATATAGATAATTCATATTTAATATAAGTCTCAGATGGACATGGAGTAAATGGACATGAGGTTGCTTAATTTGTTTAAGAACGATTACCAATTATTATTGATTAGTTATTAAAATCTCATAAAATTGGCAAAAATGATTAAGATATGATGATATAAGTGATTTTGAGATAAGCATTTGAAAGAACAACAAAAGAATTATATACTTCAGGAATTGATATTACATTTAGTGGAGCTACAACTGTTTGTTTATTGATTATAGAACATATGGGATGGTGTGCAAATATTGGAGATTCAAGAGCAATTTTAGGAAGATAGAAAGATGGATTACATGTAGTTGAATTGTCTCATGATTAAAAACCAGATTTACCTAAAGAGGAAAAAAGAATTATATAAAATGGAGGAAGAGTTTAAGCATATTCAGATGAAGAAGGAAATCCTATTGGTCCAGCTAGAGTTTGGTTATTAGATGAAAATATTCCAGGATTGGCAATGTCTCGAAGTTTTGGAGATTATGTAGCTGCATAAGTAGGCGTAATCTCAATTCCAGAAATAATTAAACATACATTTTAAAATGACAAATTCTTAATCATGGCATCAGATGGAATTTGGGAGTATTATATTATTTATATTCAAGGTTTCTCGATAATAAATGGATTGTTGAAGTTGTCTATGGATACTATTTGAAAAATGATGCTGAAGGAGCTGTTGAAAGATTGGTTAAAGAAGCCACAGAAGCATGGTAAAAAGAAGATGAAGTTATAGATGATATCACTTGTATTGTTGCATTTTTGAATTGATTAATCATAAATATCTTAAGAATATATATTTCCACTTTTTAATACTTAATTTTAATAATTATATTATTTTAATGTCAGACAAACCAAATATCCCTGCACCTAATTCATTGGTCAAATATGCAAGTGCCACTTTGGTTTCTACATCTGGAAAGCCTATTAAAGATAAAAAGAAAGGAAGAGATGCTGCTCCATAGTCAATTACTAATGCATAAACAGAGGATATATTGAATTCAATTCTTCCTCCAAGAGTATTTATTTTATGAACTAAATTAGGAATACACAATGGAAAAATAATAATTATGGATTTAATGTGTTTCATCCACTCCAGCCAAAAGAGTAAATCGATTTTATATTCAAAATAGGAAGATGTTATTCTTCTTTAAGAAAATTTAGATAAAAAATTATAATAGAGATAAGCCAGAGAAACTGGTATATGCCCTATTCGAGAGGAATTATATGCATAATGTTTTGATGAACTTATAAGACAAGTATTATATGTAAGTTACAATTAGATTACAATTAATTGTGCTGAAAGAGGTTTATTATTAGTTCGAGTCAGAGATGAAATTAGACAAACAATATAAGCTTATTAAACTTTGTATGAAAGTTCTATTGCTTTTGGAATGAGGAAAGCTTTATAAGCAGAGCAAAGAAAAGTAAAAATATTAATAAAATGATTAGACTGATTATAATAATAAAATAAAGTAATTAGAAACTGAATGTCAAGATTTATCAAAATAGGTTGAAAAAATAGAGAGTACTATTGAAGATATGCAAAGATAAGATTAAGAATAATAAGAACATGAAGAAGCTAAACATAGAGATTAAGTCAATTTCTTAAAAAATGCAAATAAAGTATACAAAGAAGAATTAGAAAAATTCCTTACAGGAGCTAATGTTAAAAAATGATTAATCTAATATTAAATAATCAATTTTATATTTTTTATTTTAAGTGATTTTCTTTAATGATAAACAATAAAATTATAATACATTAAAGTAATTAATATTAAATTAAAAAATAAGATTATATATAGTGATCAAAAAAAATCAATTATTGAAACTTTTAAATTATTTCACTTTTTTTTCTCACAAGAAAACAAGATTAACAATCTTAGTTTATATAATTAATTAAATTGTTTTAGTATCATTATATGGGTTGCTATTAAATATTGGTTATAAACTGAAAAAATTTAATTATTTATGTATGATATATTTAACAGATTATATTTAATTTGCAAATTGATATAAATTATTAACGTTATCACATTAATATTAAGTTCAACAGCGGGAATGATAGACTNTCAATTACTAATGCATAAACAGAGGATATATTGAATTCAATTCTTCCTCCAAGAGTATTTATTTTATGAACTAAATTAGGAATACACAATGGAAAAATAATAATTATGGATTCAATGTGTTTCATCCACTCCAGCCAAAAGAGTAAATTGATTTTATATTCAAAAATAGGAAGATGTTATTCTTCTTTAAGAAAATTTAGATAAAAAATTATAATAGAGATAAGCCAGAGAAACTGGTATATGCCCTATTCGAGAGGAATTATATGCATAATGTTTTGATGAACTTATAAGACAAGTATTATATGTAAGTTACAATTAGATTACAATTAATTGTGCTGAAAGGGGTTTATTATTAGTTCGAGTCAGAGATGAAATTAGACAAACAATATAAGCTTATTAAACTTTGTATGAAAGTTCTATTGCTTTTGGAATGAGGAAAGCTTTATAAGCAGAACAAAGAAAAGTAAAAATATTAATAAAATGATTAGACTGATTATAATAATAAAATAAAGTAATTAGAAACTGAATGTCAAGATTTATCAAAATAGGTTGAAAAAATAGAGAGTACTATTGAAGATATGCAAAGATAAGATTAAGAATAATAAGAACATGAAGAAGCTAAACATAAAGATTAAGTCAATTTCTTAAAAAATGCAAATAAAGTATACAAAGAAGAATTAGAGAAATTCCTTACAGGAGCTAATGTTAAAAAATGATTAATATAATATTACATTTGAAAAAAGTAAAAGTTTTTGTTTTAGATTATATAAATAAATTTAATTAGACAACGCAATGAACAAGTTATTTCAGATAAAAAAATAATACTATATATATCTGAATTTTATTTTTGTTGCTTTTTTTGATTGAGTCTAAAAAGTTGAATAAAATGATATTATAATTCAATTAAAGTAATTATTATAAAGTTAAATATCCTATAATTATCTGAAGAAAATAAAGTAATTATTAATGATTTGAAATGTTCTATAAGTTCTATAGAAGCAAATAAAATTATTGAGATATAACTAATAATAATGATTGAATTAATATTGAAGAATTATTAAGATTACCATATTTAAATTACAAATATTCAACAATGGTAACATTCTTCATTAAGATTATATGTTTAACCTTTCATTTTATTTCATCTATGTAGTTATGTTATTTGTTTTTATTTATCTAATTTTATATTATATTTCGAACATTCTTTAAAGGTTATTTATTTGGTTCTTTTGATTAAAAATTAATATACATTTTATGGACTCTTAATACGAGGAGGGAGAAATAATGACACAGAAAAGCGATAAATTAGAACGTGTAAATAGTGAATCCTCTTTACGTTCTCTTGTAAATAATTAAATAAACATTTAGAGTGATACAAATGGTGATGAAAGGGTGCGTAAATCCTAATAAGAAGACCTAAGTTCTTTTTCTTATGTTTGTGCCATCTTTAATTTCTTAGGCCATTGTACACAAGTTGGTTGCAAGTATTTCAATTCATATTCTTTTAAGGAAAAGGCATATCTTATTATAAGATGGATTAGATCAATTCATTACTGAGAATATGCATTTGTTAAATTAATTGATCAGTAATGGAGAAAAGATTAGAGTTCCATATGAAAAGGTTCTAAATTAAGAAAATCACAATAAAAAACACTAGATAATCAAACCTAAAGTTATGACACATTACAATTAAGAACTCTGTGAAAAATATAAAGGAGCCTTAACTCATAAATTAATAAAAGATATTGATAAAATGTAAGATAAACTCAAAACCATTTGCTATCTCAAGAAATGGGTGAGACACAATTTCGTAGATGCAAGAGATTTTAGTGAATTGTATTATTCACTAAATTCTTCATAATAAATACATTTTATGAACTTTTTTAAAGTTCTTGAGTTATAACCACCCTCATTTCAATGATCATTATACATATTAAATTTGTTTCTGTGTATATGTACAATAATTATCCTATCATTAATTTAGTATATGCAAATCAAACAATGGAACTTTCGATTTAATTTTCTAAATAACCAAATTTTACATATTCAATCTCAATCAAAAGAAGAGTAGAAATAATCTTAATAGAATTTCATAATACCTATCTTTGACTTATTGATTGTACCAAAACATTATAAATTTATATTACTTATTTTATTATATACATTCTCAACTCTTAAGGAAATATGAAATATAGAATAAATTCTTATCTGTTATATTATGGTATAACTAATTACAATACTTCTTATTTAATTGTTCTTAAGAATCTCAATAATGAAAAAGAATAAACATCAAAATAAAACTAAAAATTTTGATTATTTATAAAAGCTACAGTATTTTTGTTCCCTTAAGAATGTTTAGACACTTATAACATATTAATTTTCAATTTAGTAAGATATTTTGAATTCTTAAATTTTTTTAATATATCTTCATGATATATTGAATGAAAAATTGAGGAATATATCTTCATTTATGTTAATTTTCTAATATATTATCACTATAATAGGAAAGTATGGGTGTTTAGATGAATTGTTGTGATTGGTATTATGAAATAGTTTAGAACTCTTATTAATATGATTAAAAGAGATTATTTGTCATTTCATTAAGTGTTTGAATAAAGAGTATAGTTTAAAAGTCATCAAAGAAGAATTGCTTAAGTAAGAGGTTCAAGCTATAATGACTCAGATTATTCAAAGTTAATTGATTAGATAACAGGATTTTAACAACGGATGAGATAAAGAAATCATTAAATTTAAGAATAACAAAGATAAGCAAAAAATGACTTAATGTCATAAAGGATAAGATCTATTCAGAAAACTGAACCAAAATTACAATTAAATGACCTAAAAATATTTAGTTCTAGGAAGTAGTTTTAGATGCAATTCGATCGGGAAGTATCAAAATAAAATAGTCGATTAAGAGAGCGAATAAAGTCAATGTATGTAATTAGGAAGTATATAAAGTGAGTCCCAAATAAATAGAAAATCTTTGAATTAAGATTTTGAGAAACATTAAATTACTTTAGAGAGAATGTAGAAGTTTAAAAGGAAAAATAATAGATGTGTGTTAAAGTCGTTAGAGAGAATAGAAAATTGTGAATCATAATAGCAAAATAAACATCTTAAATGCTATACTCAAACAATAAAAACTGAGCCTGATCAAGAACCTAGTGCTTGGAGATCCAACACTAATAAAGTACTGAGTTTTATAAACCTAATTGATTGATTATCATTTATAAGACAATCAAATATATATATATTTATAGATAATTTTTATTTTATTTATTAAAATTTAATTAATATATTATGAATATTTGATACTTTTGGATCTAATCTTAAAATTTATTCAAGAATCGATTCTAAGAGAGACAAAAAGTTTCAATGGATTAATTAATGTATGTGGATAATTAGATCAAGTAAATGTAAAAGTTGAAGTACAAATTAATATAAATATTACTATTTAATTATCATATATATGATTGCATATTATCACAAAATAATACTAAAGATTTGTCATTATCTACTTATCAAAAACTATATCTAACAAGATAAACTTAATTAAACTGCTTAAATACTTTAGCGGTTTCTCTAAAGATTAGATTTCAAAAAAACATTCTAAGTATTAAATATTAAATTTAATACAAATATTGATACTATTATTTAATATTATAATTCACTCGAAAAGCCTTTCTAAAAATGTCTTATCCTTATCTGGTTTAGCTTCTTTTTATGGTTATTATGGTTAAGTTGGAATCTGAATATTTATTATTAATTTACTTGCTAAGGTGGAGCTGTTTAAGCTAATTAACCAGGTTAAATTGGTGGTAAAGTCTTTCTATAAAGTGAATTTCCTTAAACTGGCAACCTTTGATAGTCTTTATAAATAGAAGATGGCAAACCAGTTGTTTGAGCTAATTATTATGGTAGAACTGTAGTAGTGGCCAAAGGAATTGAAGTTTAAGGTTAGATAATAGTTGTTGGAGGTTTATTCAATGTTCTAGTCTATGGAATAACACTAGTTGTCTATGGTAAAACGTTGGTTGTCTATATTGTTTATGGGACTACACTTGTAGTTTGTATTGTTTATGGAATGGACGATAATTAAGTTGTTACAACTTAAGGCTGTTATTGAACATATGTAGAGGTGAATTGAGTTTATGGCATTATTGTATTTTATACAACAGGTGATGCTGTCATCGTTGTAGTAATTGGAGGTTAAACAAAAGTACTTGTAATTTGTTATTAAATTGGAGGTTGTGGTGGCATCACTGTAGTTGTTTAAATTTAAGGAGCTTAATATGTTGTAATTTAGGGCTACTATGTTATTGTCATATATTGCTATGGTTATTAAGTCTAATATTGTATTATTGAATTCTTACAACAATCTGTTATTGAACTCTTTAAGTTTGAATTGTTTATGATTATGCAAGAGTTTATGGTTGTAAAGCTGGTTAAGCCTTTAATTTATTATTGATATTCTTACAGGCAAAATATTTTATTTTTACACTGTGTAATATTCCGTTCTCTCTTATATTCTCTCAACTGGAACATATTCTAATTATTTTGAATTAGTTATTACCAATTTACTTCTCTTAAATTACTTAAGGAATATATTCAACTTCATATTAAACTGCATAATAATCAGTGATTTATCGTGTTATTGGCACTTAAACTTGTCTTCTCACTTCCTCATATTCAGTAACTACTCTTTCATAAGGTATATATTCAATTCTAGATTCTCCTTTTATTGCTTATTCAGTCAATAGTTATGAACTTAATTATACTGGACCTGTCTAATAAGGAACTCCATTTTATCCTATGACCTAAGATTATGGCTATGGTTAAAATCCTTATTGCTATAAATGTGGGAGCTGTTGTGTTGTCAATCCGCTTATTGGTGCTCTTCCAAAATTTTAAGGTGGAACCATATATTAAGGTTAGCCTTGAGGTAAAACTTAAGTTGGTATTCCTTATTGAGGAATGAATTGATTCTAGTTTTGATCTTGGGGAAGATTTGATTAAGGTAAATTTGATTGAGGCTTTGATTTCTATCCTGGTTATGGGAGCTATGACATTTTTATTAATATCTTATTCTCTAATTATATTGTTTTATATATAAATACTAATAAACTACAATTAAATTATTTCATCAATGAATATAGTTGATGCTTAATATGATTAAATATCACATAATATTCATATCAATTAAGTCATTCTCCAATTTATCAAAATCTATCAATTAGAAACAATTTTTTTTATTTATATTAAACTCAACATTTATTTCTAATATTATACTTGTAGATAATTTATATCAGATAAGATCAAAGAATGATATAATTATTATAATTAATGAAAATTACTCAGTTATTTGAGTAACATCATTATTTTAGAGTTAAAATGTAATTCAATTTATAATTAAAATGATTTACTGAAATTTTTTACTTAATTTACTATAATTGCTTAATAATTATCAATTAGATAGAGGTAATTGTAATGAAAATGAATTTTTATCAGGATATAATTAAATGAAATGAAATTGAAATATTTAAAGAATAAGGAATCTGATGTTATTTCAAATATCAATTACATTTTTATAAGAATATGAAAAATTTAGTATTCATGTTTTTAGAATTCTTAAGTAATAAATAAACTTAGCTTTTTAGATTTATAAACTATTTTTTATATACTTTTAAAATGGTTAATATTAGGAATGTATGAATTTTGAAAATGAATTATTTTAAAGCCAAAAATTTATTACAATTTATTTAGATATAGATAATTGCATTTGTTGTAATTAATAGTTTATCAATATTTAAATATTTGAAAATTCTGTTATAATTAATAAAATACTTTCTTACTCATTATTTATTTACTTTATATTTAGTATTTTAATAGAATCAAATAAAATTTATATTTACCTCTCTAATTTAAAAAATCTTTAACGCTCACTAATTCAATATATACAATTAGTTTAGAATATCTTTTGATCCTTTTAAAATTGAAGGCATTTGAAAATAAAACTTATTATCTAATAAGTTAGATTTATATTTTAAATAAGATTATGTAAAAAAAAGAAATCATTTCTATAAATAATGTAATTACTTAAGCTAGTCAAGGGATAGTGAGAATTGATTCTTTGCTAATTGATAATTTTAATTTATTAAAATTTTATAAATGAAGATATATTAAATTCTTACTTAATTATTAAAATACTTTATAATTGAGATTATTTTGATTTTAGAGGATAGTGTTTTATCTTTACGAGTCAAGTTATGTAAATATTATTAAATGAAGATATGTCTTAATCTTAATAGCAACAATTATATTTGTAATAATATATATCAAATCTGTTTGAGATAGGTGAAAATAAAGATAAAGTCTTGATTCTTCATAAGAGCTGTAGGCTAATTATTTTTTATTTTAAAGAACTTTTTAGCACTTTTAAGAGGTATATAATAAATGGCTCATATTTATCAGAGTTATATGTACAATATCGACCCAGCAATGAAGAGAAAAAAATAAACAAGAGTGAGAAGATAACTAGTAAATAAGACTTTGCATGAGGAAAGTGAAGAAAATTACTAGGTTGAAGTATAATAGAAAGTAACGAAAAAATATCAAAATTATATACATACCATTCAAAAAATGGGAGATTTTGATTGGACAGATGTTGAAAATACAAACAATCCCAAGGTTATTTATCCAAGTATGCAATATCTAATTTCAAGTTCAATTTTTGCAAGCATCTACTTTACAATTTATGATTGGAGCTATGTATTTCAATTGTGATCATGACTATCTTGAACATAACCTTTAAGAAGTTAAAAAATTGCTCAAGAAAATTGAATAAACTAATGGAACTTAATAATAAGAGTATAATTATCGATTAATTAAGTGATTGTAAAAAATAGAAAAATAAAAAAGGGTATGATGTGAATGATGATATTTTCATTTTAGAAATGAGATAATTAAGAATTTAGGATTTAGACAATATCATTGTCAACTAAGAGTAGCATATATTTTTATATATTTAGATTAGAATTGGAAAAAATTTAGAAGGAAAATGAATAAGCTATAGAACACTTCTTAACAGTTGATATTCCAGAGCTTAAGCCCTCAATCAAAACAGATTAGTCTAATAGTCTTTTGAGAGATATTTTTGGATTAACAGAGTTTGAAAAATAATATATAGAAAAAATAGAACTTAAAATCTAAACAGATGGATAAAATGTTATTACATAAGAAACTGGTAAGAAAACTTAAGGAGGTGGAATTCATTTATAACCAATTTTAGATGATGCTCTTTGTTAAGTTTGTAATGATGGAGATTATACAGATGATAATTTAATAGTATTCTGTTCTAAATGCAATATATCTGTCCATTAAAAATGTTATTTAATAGAAGTAATACCAAATGAAGATTGGATATGTGATGTATGTTAAACTTTTGGACCAAATGGATAATATTTACGTTGTGCTTTATGTCCTAAACTAGGTGGAGCTATGAAGGCAACTTCAATTGATGCTTCTTGTTTTGAAAATTTAAATTAAACCTATTTTGAATCTTAAGGTGAAACTATGATGAAAAATGATTTAGTTTCTAAATTATGTAAATATATTAATAACATAAATAGTTTAATAAATAGATGATGATTAAGAACTTTATTATGATTTTAGTAAATTACCTAATAGAGATATTAGAGATCTTGAAAATAATAAAGATATTAAAGAACCATAACCATAAAAGGTTTGGATTCATTTGTCATGTTTTTATTGGTCTCCTGAATGTTTTCTAGATGATAAATAAGACATATTAAGAGGTGTTGATAACATTAATCAAAAGAGATTTACTCTTAATTGTAGTTTATGTAATATCAAAAAGGCTGGAATGTGTATTTAATGTGCTAGAGGAAGTTGTTAAACAGGATTTCATGTTGAATGTGCAAGAAGATCAGGAATATTTTTAACTTAAACTATTGTTAATACAAAACCTGATTATTAAATATTTTGTTAAAAACATGTTCCACTTAAAGTTAAACGAATTTTAGAATCTAAATAGAGATTATATGAAAGAGAAATTATTGATTTCTTTAGAGCTTATGAAAAATGCAAATCTGTACATAAAAAGTCTTAATAAAGAGTTAAAAAAACAAAATCATTCAAATAAGCTTAATAATAGTAAGAACTTTAAGATCATTAAGAGAATGAATTTGATTTAATAGATTTTGCAATAAAATTAAAAGAATTTATTGATTAACTTTTAGATTAAAAATTTATAGTAAATTTGAGATTTGAACAAGGAAAATATGTATTTGAGTCTCTCACAGAACCATAATTGAAATAATAAAAATAATATTACTTAACTAAACTACCAGAGGTATATTAAAGTAAGGTAGATTAAAATGGATAAATAATTACATAATTTTATAAAAGTACTATCACTGCAACTGATGAGTTATGGAAATTCTTTAAATATAGAGACTTTGAAAAAGATATCATTTATAAAATGTATGAAAAGTTGAGAAGAAGAGCTAGTAAATTCATGCAAGAATTAAATCCTTAAAAAAAGCAAGCTAAATTGATAGACATGTTAATGTTAAAGAAATTTAAAAAAAGTAAAAAAGCTGATTAAAAAAAAGAAATAATAATTGAACTAGTAGGAGATGAATATTTTTAAAGAGATGAAAATTTATATTGTGTTTGTAGAGGTAAATTTAAAGATGGAGATCCTATGATTTGTTGTGAATCTTGTGAAGAATGGTTTCATTTTGATTGTCTAGAAATAATAATATCTTATGAAGAATTAAGTAAAATAAATTTCTATTGTTTTCTTTGCATAGATGATTTAACTAATGAAAAATAAGTAGATATATATAACAGTTATAAAAATATATTTAAAGATACTTCATTTAAACTATAAAGAGAATTAGCAGATAAATGTGCATTAAATGAATCTCGAAAAGTTAGAATGAATGAATAGAGGTAGACTAAATTAATTGAAGAAAATAATACAATAGAGCAAGATAATCAATAATAAGAATAGATTTAGGTTGAATAACATAATAATAATAATAATAATAAATAAAATTTTGAATCTTTAGAAGTATCTAATTTGTTTGTTAATAATTAATTGTAAAAGGATATGAATTCTACAGAAAATAATGAAATTTAAATAGAAATACAAAATGATGGAACAGAAAAAAATAAAAAAGGGGATGAACATGTTAAGACTCCTAGTAAAACTGAATCTGTTGAGGATCCAGAGAATAAATTAGAAGTACCAGAAACTCAAGAAAAACTAAATAGCAAGCTTAAATAAAAATCTATATGTAACTATATACCTAAATAGTGATTCTAATATATTTCACATTATTATCAAATTCAAATTTCTCTAATTTTAATTTTTTATATAAACTATATTTTATTCTTTAATTTGGTAAAAATAAAAAAAATATTAAAATTCTTAATTTAATTAAACCAAAAAAAAAAGGAAGGTACGGTTACTATTATGTGAAATTCAATAATTTAAACATAAGTAAAACTCATTCTTATTATTGACAATTAATTAAAATAAAGAAGCCTTATATTTTTTAATACAATACCATTTGAAACAGTCACGAAACATTTTGATATAACAAATTAATATAAAAATTCATGCTATGACTTTAAGAAGTGTTTTATTTGACAAATTTGTAAATATCATTATGAAAAAATTCATTTTTGAATTTGCTTTCTTTTTTTTAAATTAACATCATCTATAACTATTTTTTCTATTTTTTATGATTATTTATGGTTTTTCTTTAGTAACAATGTTTAAATCATTATTATTCATAGCAAAATGGTATGTATTATAATTGGAATAGTAATAATAATAATATGGGGTATAAAAATTATATCCGTTTTTGAATTAGTGATATTGTTTTTTGTGTATTTAAAGGCAAGGATCGATTGGAAAATAAGCATAAATATATTTAATGAAAGTTGCTATCACATTATTGGTTGTATTAGCTCTCGCTAACGCTGGTATGGTGCAAAAATTCCCACTCACATATGGTGGAAAGAGAAGCATCATGAACATCATGGTTGAAGTTGAAAACAAGATCAAAGCCCACTCACCACTTGACACAATCAAGGGAGTTCTTGATAACTTCAAATCTGCTGTCGCTTAAGAATAAGGAACACACGATGAAGTCTATGGAGCTTAAAAGGCTGAATGCGAAAGCGAAATTGCTTACAGAAGAGCTGAAGTCGAAGATGCTACTGGTACACTCAAAATTGCCAACGGTATCTTGAAGACCTCAAACATCTTATTAAAGAAGACCTAAGCCACACTCGGTGAAACTGAAAACATCTTGAACACCGTCTCACAACACATTGGTCTCATCAATGATGCCAGAAAGGAAGATACTTAATCATACAACAGAGGTGCAGTCACATTCAACGATGCCATCAACGCCATCGATGACTCCCTTGATTTGGCCGCTGCTTTAGCTAAAGGAGGAGCCAGTTTGATCTAAGTTGCTGAAATGACAACCAAATTGATGAAGGCTTCAGTTGCCACCAAGATGAACAAAGCTTTCATGGCCCCATTGGCTGCTTTATCTTAAATCACATAAGAAGAAGACTCAGTAGGTGCTGCTGAAAGACTTGCCTAATTATTGTAAACCTTGAGAACCAACGTTGAAGAAGCTTGGGCCTCATACACTGCTGAAAACACCAACGCTTTGGCTCTTTTCACCTAATAAAAGGATTTATATCTTGCTTCATAAGTCAGACTTGACGAATCAAAGGGAAGATTAAGCAGCAAGGCTGAAAACTTATAAGGAGTCATCTCTGTCTAAACCGCAGTTGCTTAAGCCGCCACCAACAAGAGATAAAGAAACTAAACCTTATGGGATGATGCTGCTGATTTGTGCCACAGCTTCGATGTTGAATATGAAGCCGTCACTGCAGGAAGAAGATAAGAATTAGTTTTGGTCTAAGAATTAGAAAGATTAGCTGAAAGAAGAGCTGCTGAATAATAATGAGATATAATCAAATCCATTATTTTATTCATTCTTTTTCAAATTCTTTTTTTCTTCTTCATTGTATTTATTTTTTGGTCCAATTAATTGTTCTTTTTTTTTGTGTTGACCAGAATTCTTGATCTAATCAAATGTTGATAATAGTCATAGATTCAAAGTAATAATTAATTAAATTAATTATATTAAAAGATTTTCTAATTTCTGTATTAATTTATTATATTTATTATTATTAATATATAGATCAATCGCTACTACCAAAACATCTATGCATAGCAAATCCTCCGCATGCAATAACCATAATTATGTAAATAGCCAATAATCCTACCAATACAAGAATAATTGTCATTTTTTTGTTTCTCCACCACATTTATCTTCTTAAAGTTGTAGCATTCTCTTTCATACTTGTTGAAATGCTAAAGTTATTAAATTTTTTACTTAACCATTACATTTGTTTTTTCTACAAGAATGTCTATTTTCTCTCCTCTTTCTAATAATTTGTCTAGATTTTCCATCATTACTTCTTTAGTTTGCTAAATGTTATCAGAAACCAATCTTAATTTATCTGCCTAGGGAGAATTATAATATTCAATTTTGTTTTTTTATTCCTTTCATAGGTTGAAATATATTCTTACAATAGAAAATTAGGAATTTAACCCATACGATATAGCTTAATCTCTTTATTATGGCTGAAACATTTAGAAAAATTTCTATTTCATATCCTCCAAACAAGCAAATGCAATTCTCATCTTTAATCCTCTTTCAGCCATTATCAAAAAAGAAAATCCATCTTCTACCAAAATATGAAACTCATATTATTCATAATTAAATGATTTCTTAGCATTTTATTAGTTAACCTTTAGTATACAATATCACTTTACTTTTGAAATAATTGTTTTAGCAAATGCAATATAGTTACCCTTAGCTATTGAATACTCTGACAAGACAACATTTGAACCTCTTACAACAACGGCGTATATAATCTAGGGATTTGATGATTACATTAATTATACAATAATATATATATTAATGCGTCAATATATAATTATACATTTTTTATAGGGAATCTATAAGTATTTATAATTTTTAAAACATTTCATATATAGTAATTATATTTAAATCCATATCATATAATCTTCCCTCTCTCTCTAAATAAGATATTCCTTTAATACCACTTTTTCCATAATCCTTTAATTAGCAAAAAATTAATCTAGCTAAAAAAATTATAATTATAAAACTCTTAAACATATTTCTAAAATTACCATATTCTCAAAAAGAACTGGAATAAATATATATATAAAAGTTCTAAACATTTTAATTTAGTATATAAAAAAATAGTTAACAATTACTCTATATTTTTTTAATTTCCTTTATTATAACATTATGAAACTAAAAGAAAATAAATTAAACTTATTGAAATGCCTGCCCAATTTTTTACATGTAAAACTGAGTCTTTTTGTTTCACAAATTTTCTAAGACAAAAAACAATTTTATGATAAATTCAGGGTAAATAAAGCAAGTTGTCTTAACTTTTGAGAATGATAAAATCAATTGAAAATTATATAAAAGTAATAAAATTTTTAAAATTTACAATTCCATGATATCCAAATCTATTTATTTTTATATAGTCTATACTTGATAGTGATTTGAATGTTTTTTTTATGATTTTGGTATAGATTAAAGTAATACTAGAGAAATAATTAAAATTACAAATATTTAATAATTGAAATGATAATCTTATTGCTGATTTAAACATGCTACAGTTCTAGTCTATTTGACATATAAACTAATAACAACATTACAGATCTATTCACTAAATGTAAAATTCAAGGAGAGAATTCAGACAATCTATTATTTCAATGTTCATAAATGAATGCCATAATTTCTAAATCACAATTTAATGATGAGTTTATCTATGCATATTCCTTTAATAAAACAGAGGATGTATAACTAAGCAATATGCTTCTTAGTGAATTGCTTATAGATCCAGAAACTCTATCCTATCAAATTAGATTATAAGTTTTATATCATTCATACTATGGAGATTTGTTGTAGATGATTTCATCTCTTTCAATTAATAAATATTCATTTTATAATTATTAAGCAACTGTAATTGATGGAACTTTGAATATGATTGGACTTTTAGGTAATTATATTGATTCTAAATTTAGTGAGTCATGTAAATGAATAGTATTTTACATGTTATTTTATACCAATCCATCCAAGTAGAGTTAATTCTTTTCCATTGAAAGCACTCAACTTTACTTGTGATACTATTTGTGATATCAAAGGATTTTCACAATATTATAATAAACAAAGAAATAGTCTAATTATAGTAATTGCAGAATAGAATATTTTAAATCTATTGGAGTATTCTTTTTTAGATTGGCAAATGAGATATGTTTCAAAATATTAAATATCAAAATTAATTGATTTAGATGAGACAATTTTGAAAATAAAATTATATGAAGATTATTTACTAGTTGAATTAAAAACTTGTTAAGCATTATTTTCAATCTCATCAATTATTTTTGAAGTCAAACTCTTAAAAATATTCTCCAAATCCCCTTTATATATTGATCATAATACTAATTTAATATTTTAGAAAATTAATCATTAAACTCAGATTTTTTCTATAGAAAATAACACAAATTGGTTCACTTAAAAATAAGTTATTTAATTAAAGATCTTAGATGCTCCATTTACTGATTCCATAATTGTTTTAAATTATAGGTAATTCATTTTTATTTATGATAACATGGAAATATTAACATTATAAATAGATATATAATAGAATAATATTAAGACAAAAGAAGATTGTATAAACAAATTTACATAGTTTCCATATCCTGATTATTAATCTTTAAAATATTAACTAGAATTCTTAGGAGAAAATTTAGAGTAAAATTCTACTAAAATTGCACCTCTTGAAGAATTATAAAATTATAAATCTTGTCTCATGCCTTGCAATCTTTTATATTATAATTATGAGATCTCTTTGATTCCATATGAATAATAATGTATAAGTTCTGAATTATTATAATAATTTACTAATTATTGCAGTTTCTAAAGCAATTGCTTATAATGTAATAATTATATAGGTTGTAATTGGGAAAATGATTCTTGTCACAAAGAAACTCAAATGTATTAAATTGATTTATCCTCAAATGAATAAAGTTCTAAATGGTATTATGGTAAGCTATGGAAATGTGAGGAAATGCAATCATAATCCTTTGAAGTTTTTTGTGGTTATAATTAAACTGAATTTTCATAAAAGAAAGAGTTTAATTATTAAGGTTAAATAAGAAAAGGATAAATTTGTTCGTGGTTTTTTGATGCTGAAGAAATTTAGTAATTTAATCTATTTTTCAAGGCTGATCTTATGAATATATCTTCTTATATTTAGGTATCAATTTGTTTAGGTTTAAATAAAAATGATATTTGCACACAAATGAATTTTGAACCATGGGATTTCAATAAAACTACACTATATCCATTCAAAGGTTATTATTTTAGATATACTATAATATTTATTGAAGATAATTTAGCTAATAATATTTCGTTCTCTTTTTACAATTCTCCTCCAATAACATTTGCTGATCGACTCAAATCATCGTTTCTATAGATGTTGGTTTGGCTCTTATGCGGAATATTACTATTTTGTATTATGGGTTACATGGCTAAAAGAAGACTATAATATTTGGTAGCTTAAACAATGGAAAATGAACTAATTTAAGTAATTGTTTGTAGTATTCATTTTAGATGGCTCCTTATTTATAAAATTAGGTTCCTTTATCTGATAGCAGATTGAAAACTGTAATATAGAATTTAATTGATTAAGATATTATAACAAAATATCCATCTGATCCTTCATTATTATTATATGGAGAGGACTAGTGTACATTTTGCTTTGATTAATTTGATGTTTCCTAATTTGTTGCTTAATTATTTTGTGGACATGTTTATCATTATGATTGTTTTGAGGATTGGATTAGAATCAAAGGGTTTTTTGATAAATGTCCAATTTGCAATTAGAAAGCAGAACATTTTTTAGCCAACAGAGAAGAATATGCAATTATTAAATCACAAATTTTGGGTAGAATAAATGAGTCGGATAATCATACTTCTCATTTAATTAAATGACACTATTTAATATTAATTAAATTATCATGTAACGAAGTAGCAATAACCCAATTTTTCTATCTCCAGATCAATTCGCCACTCTCTTTAATCAAGGAATTAGAGAATCAACATATTTGGATGAAATGTAGGATTAAAGAGAACTTAGCTTTTCAGCCCCAAAATTAGATGAAATGAATTAATCAAACCAACTTAATTAGTCTAGTAATTTTTTACCAGATTTTCCAAAGGATGATGTTGTTATAAGTACTATTCAATAAAGTATAAGTTCAGTATCGAGACAATTATATGAATAATCATAACACATTGAATAACATAATAAACAGTTGAGTGAATCATATTAAAGAATACTAAAATAGAACAAAGAGTTATTGAACAAAAGAAAAGAATTAGAAGAAGAGAACTCAGCACTTCTAGAAGAAAACTTTGATCTTAAGCGATAGGCACATGAACTTTAATAAAAATTGACCATAGCTCAAAGTTAAATGTTAATCAAAAGAGATTAAGAAATACAAACATTAAAATAACAAATTAAAGAATTGTAAAGTTAATCAACTTCTAGAGATTCAGCTACCAAGACTGAAGGTAGTACTGCTACTTCTCACAAATCATATTTTGGATCAAATACTCATAGAGTTCAATCTAATGAACAATCTAAAAATCCATCTAGATTTACATCTCCTGTTCCAAAATAATAAACTTCAGAATTCTCAGTTTTCAATTAATATAATTCGAATACTGTCTTCGGAAAATAACCCTAATTATGAATTACATCTAAATGTATATATTATTTGTTTGAATATTTTATCAATTACTATTTATAAATCACCATATTATCATTATTTAATCAAAATATATTGTTGATTATAAAATATTTATAATATTAAAATAGATTGAAAAAGTACAAAAATTAGATTAACTAATATAGATAACTCTAAATGTTATTATAAAATTATTGTAATGTTATATTTATATTAACAATCAAAAATAAAAAATAAAATAAAAAAAGAAAAAAAATTAAATTAGAGACAAGATTTAAATTACAAAAATTGAATAAGAATGAAAATCAATCAATCAAAGATAAAAAAATTATAGAATTCAATATTTATAATCTAAATTTGTGAAGATTAATTTAATAATAAAAAAGATTTTCCATTATTAATATACGCTTAATACATTATGGTTAACATTTTGATATTTTGAATACAACATTAATCACAATATATCATAGGCATTTTGTCTAGATTAAATCTTTATATTGTTTTGTTCCAGGTAAATTTTCATCCATTATTAATCTGAAAAGATTATCATCTTTTAATTTTATTCCTTAATCGAGTTTATCCTTATATGCTTCATTTATTTCCTCTATTATTTTAGGTGTAATAACTTAATCGAGAGATCTTTTGTCTTTTTTCATTTTAGCTAATATTTTAATAATAATCTTCTTAAATCTTAAATACTTGCTCCTAAGATATGCATTTTGAATATCAATCATATCCTATGTCATTTTAGTATGTTATTTTTCTCTTGCCAATGTAGTCTTTAATGTTTAAGGGTTATAATTAATTTCCATTATATGAATTTTCAGATCATCTGTCATAATAAAATCAGCAGCAAAGAACTCTGCTAATCTACTATCTCTTGTTATTTATCCTTCCACTGATTTAATAGCATGTATTATCATTCTATCAACTGTAGGATAAAGATAATTTTGTAGCCAATTCTTATCTTTTATTTTTCCCTATTTTAACAATAAATCTTGTAAATAATCTAATTTCCAATCTATAAATAATTCAGATTCATCAGCATTTTCATCATCCATATCCAAATCTGATCCTCTCTATTTAAGAGTACTCTTAACAATTGCTGTATTACAAACATGAGCCTCCTTATTCAAAGAGAATTTATCAAAAGGAGCTATACATCTTCTTATTAATGTTTTATCATATGCATAGGCTATTATTGGATAAGTAGAAGCCAAAACCCAATATATTCTAAATTCAATCTTATGATTATTATAAAGCATTGGATTTCCAATATATTATTGTGCTACTAATAGAGAGTGATCTACTCCACATCTCTTACCATTTTTATATGTTTCCTACAATTTTTTAGTTTCTTCTGGAAATAAAACTTTGATTCCTCTGCCTCTATGAACTTCTAAACCTACTTTTGTTATAAATTAGGGTCCCTCTTCGGCTATTTTATCTTAATATTCATTAGAATTCAAATAATCGAAAAATTCCTTGCAATCTTATTTCTAAAATAAACGATAGGTTTTTGGGATGAAGGTTGCATTATTGATACACTCTTAATCAACACCTTTCTCTCTTAAAGAATCTATGTATTTATATTAATTATTCATAAGGTTGTCTTTATGAGAAAGAACGTGTCTTGATGGTAAATGGTTATATTTTTAGAACAAGCAAAGAGATGCTAATAACTTATTATATTATTAATACCTTATCCAACTTTAAATTTATGTATCAATTAATCATAGTAAGTGAATGGTAAAGTTAATTGTTCTGGCAATACATGTTTTGAGAAAGCTAGCCATTTTTTAGTATACATGATTACATTGAGTATTTTGTAATTTATGGTACATTTTTGGAATACAATCATAATAAGATGATCTCAATGCTTCTTTAATAACTCCTTTTGCTTCACGAAAAGTATATGTATCTGTCATAATTACATCAGGGTGGTAAAATTTGTATAAGTCCGATCTTTTACAATAATCAAATTCTGGTTTCACTAAAATTGAATTATACTAAGAATTTATAATAAAATTGATACTGCAGAATGATTGGCTGGAGGAGCATAATAAGTTGTTGTTAAGTATTTGTTAAGGTATGTTAATATTTGGTCAACTTCTTATTTATTTTTATACACAAGCGAAATCCTTATAAAATTGTAAATAAGAAGATGACTTAATATTGACATGATTAAGACAATCACTTTACCAAACATTTTAATTTTAATTATATTCGTTTTTAATCAATAAAATTTATTAATTCTAATTATTCTTTATATTCTATTTTTATACATCTTTGAAAGACTTAATTATGAATAGTTCATTTTACCATATTAATTAAATTAATATTTTCACCAACCATATATTTTAGCAGATTTTACTTAAGATTTTGTTGGAAAAATTGATACTCATTTTTAAATCAATACAATATTTCAATTAATAAATTCATTATTTTATATAAATATATTAGATAAAATACTAAAATTAAATGTAATCTGATTTAATCCAATTTTAATATCATTATTTACTATAAAATTATTAATAAATTTATAATTTTTGATATATATTCATTTTCTATAGAAGAATTTTTATCAAAATTTGATAAAAGGGTTTTTTAGATTTAAAATATTGAATAATATTATGATAAATAATAAATTTATAATAAAATTGTATCATCATATCTGAAAAGATAAGATTAAGGAAATTCGTTTATAAATGAATATTTATTTCAATATTTCTAAATAATAATATAATTACATTTCTATTTATATATTTCAATTAAATTCTAAAACATTTCCTAAATGACTATTAATTAAGAATTAGATTATAAATTATCAAAAATAACAAAAATTTAATATTTTGAGATAATATAAATCAGTGATATAAAAATAAATAATTAGTTTTAGCAAATAATTCTCTTTATGTCTTATCCTATGTAGCAAATACTTGTAATAATTTCTCTTCAATATCATGAATGTTAATTGAATCTACAAGAGATATTATTTCTTATGAAAAATGTGAGATTGTTTATGAATTCAGCTTCTTTTGTTATTTAGAACATAAAAATTTTGGTTATGGAAAAGGTTTTTATTTAGGTATTTCACTCATAGATGGTCTAATAAAAACAGTTTTTTATTGTACTTTTTCTAATATATTGCTATTTTTTGAATTTTAAGATCTTTATCTATTAAATAAGGCTTCTTCAATTTTTAATTATTCTAATAATCCTCTTCTTTTAATTTCTATAATATTTTATGTTTTTTTGGAGCAAGCTTTCTCTAAACTTTCTTCTAATCTTCTTAGTCTTTATAAATCCTGCTATTTTTTCTCCTCCTAAGATCTTTAATAACGAGCCAATGTTTCATCCATTCTACTACTTCTAGGTATTAAATATTAAGCTTATTTATGAAGCTCCCATTTTTGTAGTTTAGCATCATAACTCATTCTTCTTCTAACGTGTTTATCTGTTATAAATTTTTCTATCATATTTCTATTTCTTTAAACTTATTCTAGTCGAGAAGTATCTAAAACTTCTTTTTATTATGCGCGTAATTCTCTTTCACTATTTATTTGTTTCCTTCTTGTTTCAATTAATTATTCTTTTTATGAATATTACATTAATTATTATTCTCTATAATCTTGTTAAAACTTCTTCATTTTCAATAATTTATCATTTATCCTTGAGGTTGTAGAGTCTTCGTATTTTTCTTCTGGTGGTTAAGATTTTGGATGAATTTAAGTTTCTTCTGATTTTTTATTAAGTAAATCATTATATTCAATTAATAATCTTTATCTTCTTTTTTCGTATTGTTTCATGATTGTTTCTTAATAGAATTAAGAATCATTTTCATATTCTGGAGGAATTTTTATTTTTTTGAGAGGTAATAGATCTTGTTCTGTAATACCCATTTTTCTTAATATTTGTTAATTCATTAATAATTATGTAACATACGATTAACAATTTCAATTTTTGCTTATTTTGTAATGTGATTTTATTCTTCAGCCCATTCCATAGTCTTTAGGAATCTGTTCTCCCAAGTCAATTCATAATTGGTTAAAACTTGTACCTTATCAATTAAAGTGATATCAATAATAGATGGTCCAATAGAGAGTGGTTCACCATCAATCTAAATATAAGAATTTGAAGGATATATAATTTAAATCTTTCTACCTTAACCAAGTTGATATGGTTTATCTAATCCAACTTGAATTCTACCTAAATGCAATATACTTGTAACTCCAATTATTTCTAATAATCCATCATTAATTTTTTATTATTTAAAATTTCCATCCTATTCCCATAATCCAGTTACTCCTCCACTCCAAGAATTGATGTTTAATATAATAACATTTTCAACCTAATCTGGTATATCTACTACTACATCATCACAAATAACTTTTATTCTCTTTCCTAAACCACTCTTTTCATTTTTAATTAAATCATTTAAACCCATCTATGTATAAATCAACTTATTTCCTAATCTACTTTTAAATAATTAAGGTGATGTTTATCTTAAATTATGAAAATCATAACAAAACTTTGCATCTAATCCTATTCCAAAATAATTAAATAATTTATAATTCTTATTCCCTATTTTCACATTCCATCTATCCAATAATGTAATATTCTCATTATTAATTACTTTTGCTAATACATGAGATGCATCTAATTATTCATATGTACCACCCTTAATTTATAATATTATTATATAATTACCCATCCTAATGCTCTGCTCAAATCATTCCCTGTTCCTAATGGAAGAATGGCTATTGGAGGATTCCAATCAAATTCCTTAATATAATTTATCACACTAGCAACTGTACCATCTCCTCCTGCTGTTATCAATCTAGCAGTCTTTATATGTGCAAATTTCTTTAACTTATCCATTTCTTATATATTTAACACTTAAATAGGATTCAAAAATCTAAATATAAATTCTATATACCTAAGAAAAGATTTATAAAAATCCACACCAACTTATCCACCTGACTTCTAATTGATAACAACAATTATTGGTTTAGTGTAATTTCCATCTGGTAATATTATAGCATCTTTAAATTCCCCAAAATCACATAATTAATTTACTTTATCTTTACATTCTTCATGAACAACCTTTTAACACCAAAGACAACTTTTCCCCTCCAAATCAAAAAAATATCCACATGTTAATCCACAATGACAACATATTGAATTCACAGGAAGATTCCCACTTAGCCATTGATGACTAGGTTAACTCTATGTTGATTTTATAAATTTGCATTATATTTGATTTCTTCTACATTTTTTATGTACATAAATTCCACATATCTAACATTCATGATATTATGGACCCCATAAACTAAACAGCAACTTTTTACAAACATTACAAAATAATAATCCACTACTTTTTGATTCAATATAAGAATGCTCTAATGATTCATTCTCATTTCCTTCTGCTTTCTCCTTTTTTATCTTTGATTTAATCTTCTACTTTAATGGTTTAGAACTTAAGAAAAAGGTAATAGCAAGTGTTAAAATCAACCCTATGATTATATAAATCATTTAAATAATAATGAATTTTACTAATAATTAAAAATAAAAAACTCAATCATTTGGTCTTTTGATATAAAAAAATGTCAATTTTTGTTATTGAAATAATTATAATACGTAAAACTACATCATTAATTAATATCACATAATACATAAAGAATAGACTTATAAATAACAATTATTTTAATGGGAAAAAAGACTGTGTTGATTCTTACTTTTATTAGTTATGCTTAAATGCATGCAGCTAGAACTCTATGGTCATATATGCAAAAATATTTAACTATTGAAGACTACAATAAAAATAAAATGGGTTAAGCATATTTGACATTCTTATTAACATATGGTATAGGTATGAATACAATTGGTCCAATGTGTTGTAAAAACAGTTTGAAACATTCTATAGGAATTAGTTGTATGGCAGTTGGCATGTTGTTTGCAATCCTTGGAATCTTGTAGGAGTTTCAACTCTTAACTTTGTATGATTTAAATTTTAATCTATAGTCCATTGGTAATAATATTGATGGCTATAAATGGGTTAATACAATCTGCATGCTATCCTGCATGTGTAAATGTATTGGGAAATTGGTTTAAAAATCATAAGGTAGGTTTAATGATGGGTTTATGGTCAGGATGTGTTAATGCGGGTGATATTTATGGATTAATAATTGGTGATGTTGTCATTTAAAGACTTGAAATGCCCGTTTATTGGGGCTTTTACTTTATGTCCGGCTGTCTAATTGTCGCTAGTGTAGCAACATTATCTTTCTTATAGAGTGAACCAAGAAATCAAATTTAAGGTATCAACGAATCAGAATCTGCTCCTCTAATATTAAAATAGAAAAATAAAAATTTAAATATTCTATCAGCATGGTTGGTTCCTGGAGTTGCCATATATGCAGTTGGTTATGCTTGCCTTAAAGGAACTTTTTATGGATTTTTAGATTGGCTACCCTTCTATTTTTAACAAAAGGGAGAGAAACTTGAAAATCATTCCTCATATATTTCATAAATGTTTGATGTCGGTTGTTATGTTGGAGGAATATTCTTAGGATATTTGGGTGATAAATATAAACGACGTGCTTGTTATTTTGTACCAAGCTTACTATTGGCTATGTGTTCTATGTTAGTGATTAGATTTTGCTTAGATTTAATAGTTTGGCCCTACTATCTTTGTATTTTGGCTATAGGGATATTTTAGGGCGGACCATATAATAATATATCAGGTGTGATCTCTATTGAACTTACTAAATAGTTTGAAAATGATAAAGCAGCTATATCTACAGTTTCATCCTTAATTGAAAGTACTGGAACTCTGACAGCTGCAATGTTTTAGGTCATCATTCCAAGGATTGGTGATGAACATTTATTTACATTTTTATGTCTCATAACATTATTAGCTGAATTAGTTTGTTGTGTTCTCTTATTCAGAGAAATAAAAACTAAAAAAAGATCCAAATGATCATATTAATTTATTTTAATTTAAATTTATACAATATCATTAATCTTATTATGCAGCAAGGGCTGCTTCTTTAGCTTTCTCTTCTTCTTCTTGTAATCTCTTTTATTCTACTTCTCTGTCATATTTATCTTTTGCAAATGAAAATGCTTTTTCCTTAAGTTGCTTTGTCACAAAGATATTGTTTATTTTTTCTAATTTTACCATAATATTGATTGTATCTAATAGATAATTAGGACTTTTAGACTCAAAAGGATTTCCTTTGTATAGCAACTTTTTTAAATTTGGCAAGGTTTGTAACTTGGTGATTTCATCAAATTTATCAATTTTGTTTTCTCTAATATCAAAATGAACAATATTCTCCAAGACTGGAAATGTTTCATCAAACCCTTCAATCTAGATTAGCCTTAAGTATATACTAAGTTTTTTCTTAATTGCAATATTTAAATAGAAGTGAGTAATTCAATTCCCTAAATGGCTTTGATTTTATTCTCACTCAATTTTAGTTCTTTCAATTCAGGTAGATTTTAAAACTAGGTTAAAGCAGCAATTTTATTTCTTTTTAAGTATAATTGCCTTAATTTAGGGTTACCATCAAAAGTATCCATTTTTTCAATTTTATTATCATTAAGATTAAGTTATATTAATGGTACTTTGATAGGGCCTAATTCAACTAACTTATTTGATGCAGCATTGAGATATTTAAGAGATTTATAAGCCTCCTCATTAGCAAGTGATTTCAAATCCTTAATATTATTGCCTTCTACATTCAATCTAATCAAGTATGGCAGTTATGAAACTAAATAGTAAAAATAATACGTTGCACAATTTCAGTGATGTTATTCCCACTTAAATCTATTGATTCAATATATTTGTAATTTTGAAAGGTTTGGGTCAAAGCATCTATATTCTTTTGATTTATATTCAAGATTGTAAAATGATAACCACTATTATCCTACACCATCTTAAAACCTGATAGATTATTCATAATGAGTTCCTCAAAATTAATTTTGGATTTAGATTCCTCTTATTATTTAGGTTGTTTCTTGGCCTCTTTCTTAGACATATTAAATTTATATTAATATTATGTTTTATAAATCAAAACAATCTCTATTTAGCTTCATCACCATCTCCTACTAATCCCTTTTATTATGCAAATTGATAATGTAAATCAACTACATCTATTCCATCATGTACTTTAGTCCAACCATTCTAATGAATGTGATAAACTAAATTAATCTTCAATTCCTACCTCTAACTACACCACCTGAAGCAGTGTCTCTGTGTGTTGCATGATAAATTGCTCTGATTCCTAATTCAACAGCTTCATTCAATGACATTTCATATCTATAATGATTATCCAATACACCATAAGCATAAGTACTACCACTACCAACTGAGAAGATATCTCCTTTCAATCTCATTCCATCATTATCAATATAGTATAAGTGTTATCCAGATAGATCAGATCCTGCTATCATACAACCCATAGAGAGACCAGAATTTTTGTAACCAATTAGAATTCCTTAGAGGAATTTAGAGGCTGCTGCAACACTCAATTTACTGCCATTTTTTAATTCATATGTTCTACAATGATTAGCTAAATATGCCAACCAATATTAACAATCAGCTGCACCTCCAGCCATAGTACCTTTTATAATTTGAATTATATATACATACCTAATAGATATTCATTAATTTCAATCACTTTTCTAACTTGTTCACTACTCAAAAAACTACCCATACTAGCTCTTGAATCAACTGCCAAAAGAATTCCTTCTTTAAATACAAATCCTAATGTTGTTGTTCCATGTTTGAAATTATTTAACTTATTTCCTCCATTTGTTTATGTTGGACCATTCAATGTTCTATAAATTACTTAAGGTGCACTAGGCATTTTTAAAGTATTGATTTCATCTTTGTCTTCCTTTTAATATGTATGAGCTAATCCAAATGTTGAAGGGTCGAAATCAATCATTTTAATATTTTAATTAAATAATCATCCTTATCTCAAGAAATATTATTAAATATTAGTTAATGGTCTTAGTTACAAATTGTGTTAAATTGAGAATTAAATTACACATATATTTTAAATATATATACTATATAATATGAAAAACAATCATCATCGAAGAACAAAATCAAGTGGAAACTACTTTCCCATTTAATCTGAATTTCTTGTTTAAGATGATGATGATGATACCAATGAAACGAGAGCTATTATATAAAAAATATAACAATAACCTATTCTACATCATTAGATTGTTGAAAAACTTGATGATTAAAATTATGGATTGTTCAATACTATGTTTAATTTTGGTTAAATGAAGTATAAACCAAAACAATCTTTAGACTTGAGCACAATTACAGAGTGCAGTTGTAATGAATTCACTTATTCTTAGCTACACCCTCGACTAAAGATGCTTAACCTAAACATAGAAAATGTGGAAGTCAATAACAATAAGTGAACAAATAACCTATACGTCATCATCATAGTCAAAGTCTCTAAATCCATCGACTTGAATAAGAATTGGAATAAATGAAGGTATAATAGGCTGAAATATAAAATGTTAATGTAATGCTTATTATTGAAATTCATAAATCGAGATAAGAGCTTTAGATATCATAATAAGTAAATTATAATATTAATATTAGAAAAATGAAAACATACTATAAAGAATAAGAAAACTAGAAAAGATGTTGAAAGATGATTAAAAATTATCATGTACAACTAACGACAGTCTTGAATTTTCCTGAGAAAAATACTCATTTTTGTTTAACATTTATATAAAATCAATTTCTAATAGGAATTCAATTTCCACTTTATTTTTTCTAATTTTTCATAACAGAACATTTATTTATAGAAATCTTTTATTTAGAATAATATTTGTGAATCCTCATAAATGACAGTAACAATTGTAATAATCATAATAATAAACCATTATCTACTTTAATTATGTATTACATAAAGAAAGAACGTTAAATTAATAGACAATTAATTATACTTTCTTAAATAATGACATATCTAACAAAAATTCATTAAGACTAATATTAATAGCCACATTCAAAATATGATTTCTCTTTTTCCTTTGAATAATCATGTTAGCCAGATGGCAAATTTGGAATTTTGGAACTCTCTGTTACTCCAAAAATACTCAGCGTTTCTGATTGAAGTATTCCATGGAAATCACTTATTTAGACATTTTCAATTTAATTCTTAATCTCAATAATTTCCTAAATCAATTAATTGATATCATACATTAAATGCATAGTTTCTATTATAAATTTTATCCCATAAAAATTCATCATTATTTTAATAATGTAAAATCAATTGTTCTTTTAGTTTATCCAAATTAAATCTTTGTTATTCAATTAATTATTGAATTTATTCATTTAATTTTATTACACTATCAATACCTTAATTATAGAATAATAATCCATCTACACAACCAATACTTTTAAAACTAACCTATATTGCTTATTATTATTCAAAATGTAATTATAACAATAATAAAGCTGCTAATGTTAAATAATCTCTTTATCCAACAGAAAAGTATTTTACAACAGCATTTTATTTCTATTTAGCTGGTAATTTGATTATATGAATCAAATTCTTTTCTATTTATAAAGTTTTTGTAAGAGTTTCAATATCATTAGGATGAAACTCCTACACTAATTATTTTGCATTTTAAATATCAATATTCCCACTGATAAATGCAGTATACTTAATATCTGAAAACATATCAGTTAAAAATTAAGAGAATTCATTATATTTTAAATCCTAAAATTCTTTTATTATATCTGCTGGATCATTTACAGGTCTTAACATCAATTTTGGTAACCAATATTGAATTAAATAAAACTGAGTTTTTTAAAAATAATATTCTTAAAACTAACTTCTTAAATCTTCTTTTATACTTTAAAACTTAGATTCATCTTTTATTTATTTTAAATTTTATAAAACTTAGTTTTTAACTGCTTCAAATGTTAGACTCCATCCTGATAACATTAATGATAAACCTTTTAAGCTACTTTCTACTTAAAAGTTGAAACCGGCCGAGATAGCTTCCAAATTAGATTATTCAATATACATTTAAGCCACTTTTAAAATTGCCTTTGATTTTGCAATGCTATAACCATTAATTGGTTTGTAGAATAAAATACCAAGAAAGACTCTATTTGTACTATTATCGTATTGCCACCACAATTCTTAAGATATTTATAACGGAGTTAAATTTGGTATTAAGTAATTTTTTTAAGATTGATCTAAATCTAATGGAATATAAGGAGTAAGAGGTTTATAAACAGGTTCTATATCATTTGGAGATTCACTCATAAGTAAGGGTTCTGATAAAGTAATATTAGCTTGAAGAATTTAATAAGTAGTGTAAAAATTATAATTTGGCTATTCAATAGGAATATAATAAGAGAGATTAGGTAATTTTAACTATGAAATTAATTATTCATCTATAGTAGAAACAGTTGTATAATCTAACATAATATTAGAGTATTCAATTGATTGTACTTTTTTATTAACAAAATTAGATTTTAAGAACTCATCTGAGTTTAAAGTCTTTAATTCTTGATAAATATATTATCCTTATTAAATAATAATGACTCCAGATTAAATATTATCAATAATAGAATTTAAATCCTTCTTGGAAAATTCTTTATCATCAACATATTTTTGATAGAGAATTTATAAATTGTAAAAATCTTTATGACAATTTAATAATGTTTTTTCATTCTATCTTTTTAAAAATGAGCCAAAATTATAGATGGCATTAGCTAATGTGATGCTATCGGCATTACATTCTTAAATATTTATTGCCAAGAAATCAAAATCTAGAATTTCAAATTAGCATTTAAGAATCGTTTGTAGAGAATTTTATGTTTTTAACAATAACAAATGTTTAAAAAATTCATCTTGCTTTGTTGGATATATCAAAATTGTTGATGTTAGATTGGAATTGATTCTAATTTGATTATATAAAATAGGCTCTAGATCCCAAGTATCAATAATGGATGTTCCGAATTCTTTTTACAATAATTAAGTATCAGAAACTATCATATATATTTCTTAATTTGAGAGTGCAGATTCTATTGTCAATCTAAGTGGATTGGAAACTAATATCAACTCAATGTAATTTTATAAATCTTATATCTACATTGGTTCTGTCATAATTTCATTATTTAATGATATTGCATCTAATACTCTATCAATTTTAGAAATGAGATCAAAGTCATTAATTTCAATTTCTTCACTATTTATATTATCCAAATCATCTTAAGTATATTCTCTTACAAGTGAATCAGCAAACTTTCTTATACAAGTTTCCATTAATTCGTTTTTAAAGTGAATAGTTATAGTACTCATGTAGGGTCTTTCAATTAATTATGCTTAGGAACACTATTGTTTCAGTAATAAATGCATGAATAATGTATTATAATCATCATCATGAAAACCATGATAGATTACAAATTACAAAGTGGCTATATCTACTAATTTTTCTTGAACAATCAAGGTTAATCCATTCTTAAATTACCAACCTTACAATTATCCTTCATTCCATGGTTCAGCTTCAAATATTAATTCTTCAAAATGTTCTTCTTCTGGTTCTGGGATTATGTTATCAAATTAAGTAACATCTTCCGGACTAGTTAAAAATTGCATGATGTCTTAATCTTCTTTATCTAAAACTACAGTATTATCAATATCATCTATATTTTCTATTTCATTAACTTTCAATTATTAGATTTAAGGGATCTAAAACGATTATTTATGATTGGCCAAAGCATACTTAAAGAGTAAGTAAACTAATAAAATTAGTATGATCAGTTGAATTATTTAACAAATAGTGGAGAGAATGCCACGTGTTTCAGGATCTTTAGGTTTCTTCACTTATTGATGTACTAATCCTTAAGTTTCTTCATCCATTTGCATTAATTAAATGTTTAATCCATTTCGATATATTGCTGATTTTCTACACTTGGTGTCATTTCTGATACTCATATTAAAAATACGCAAAACAAGGAATTGTTTAGGTAACTGATGAAATAATGTAATAGGATTATCATACAGAACTTAAGAAATCTATCTTGCAGTGTTCTGTGTCAGATATATTGATCTATTCATGTATTTTGTATCAGTATACAATACCTCAATGAAATTACTTTACATTAGCAGCACTGTGTTCATTATATACCTTATGAAGTTCAAGAAACCATATTGTCTAGTATTTAATATTTCTAATATATAGTCTTATGATTCAGCAAGCGATGACTTTCCACACTATAAATTCATCTACACTGGAGCAGGAGTCTTGGCTCTACTTGTCCATACAGATTTAGCACCATTTGAATTAGGATGGTCATATAGTATTTGGTTAGAAGCATTAGCAATTATACCACAATTACATATGTTACAAAAGATCAAAGATGTTAAATATCAATTATCATTATTAGGTTGAAAATATTACATCCAATTATGTGGGAGCTTTGGGAGTTTATCGTTTCTTCTATATTGTTAGTTGGATTTACAAATACTCATTAACTGGAGATGTTTGTTGGACATCACTTTTGGGAGGAATTGTTTAAACTATCTTATATGCAGATTTCCTTTACTATTACATCATTAGTCTAAAATCAGGGAAAGGTATGTCTTTAGGAGTTTGAGATTTGTGATTATTACAATATTGAAAGCAGTTTAAATTAATACCCTTATAATTATCATTCTTAAGAGATTGCACATATCATTTATTACACATTTTTACTATAATACTTACGTGGCAATCTGGAAATCATAATTAAAAATCTAGAATTAATAAAATTAATCAAATTAATCTACAAACACATTTCTTTTCAAATTCGAATAGCCTACCATTTTCCAATTTAACTAAAACTTTTTTCTTTTCTTTCTTTTCTACAAATTAACCAAATTCTCCCTTAAATTCTCCTTTTATAATGCAAACTCTTCCACCTTTTTTTGGAAGTGTAACTTTAACATCCTTTTCTTTCAAATCTTCTATTAGTTCTCCATGAGAACCCAAAGCACTAAAAGTATATTCATCTTAAACATCAGATATTGAAATATTTTTATTATAGAATTTACCACCCTAATAATGCTTATTCTTAACCTTAACTACAATGCCTGATGTTATCCATTTTAATTATTTCTGAGATTTACTTTTTGATCTACTTCTACTTTTCTCTTCTTTGTATAATTTAGCATCTACCACTTAATCAGCTGCAATTTTTATTTTTTCTCCATTATTTTTTAATTCTACTAAATACGTATCACTTTATCCTTATATTTTAATAACATCCACAATAACTCCTTTCATTTTTTTATATTTTCCACTTATAATAACTACATCTTAAAATTTTTCACTTTCTTGTTTATCCTTCTCACCTATATACTTATATGTTTTCATAGGATTCACTCCTAAACCTTCTCTGTCTCCTCTTGATTGAAATTCTATTGGTTTTAATAATGCTGTATTTTTATATGGATTTCTGCCTATAGGTTATCCTTCTTGAAAACCCATTTTTGAAAGTAAATTTTAAGCAAATTAAGAGACAGGAGCTTTTGTGTATGTTTCTTCTGTATTATCAGGTTTGCTTGATAAAGTGAAATTTTTTCTTTCTTCAACTGGTACATCATTTATCATTTTTATAAAATAATATTTATGTTTTTTTTTAAGAAATCTTTAAAATAATTATTATTACTTATTTTTTAACCTAAAAAATATTATGAAGATATGCAATCGTTTAAAGCTTTGTAATTCTTATGAATGATACTATTTGAACAGATATATTTTACAAATATATTATGATAAATTCTTAATTGTTTATATTTCTATCTTCTACTTAAAAAGATTTGAAAAAACTAAAATAAAAAAAGGAGCACAAATATAAATTAATTTTCAATATTTTTCCACTTTCGGTTATTATTTTTTACTTGGTTATTAGACTTACATTGCCATCATTTCTTGCATTTCTTACATTTATTATTATTATTGTTATTGCATTCTTTTCATTTCTTCTCTCATTTACATTTTAAGCATTCCTATTTCAGCCAATTATATGAACCCCAAGATTATGCCTCCAAATATAGCATTTCTAACTGCAATTCTTGTGCCAGCTAAAACTATAATTCAAAGGCTATACCTCTAATGGCTAAAAATCCTCCTGTAAATGCACCAGCAACTATGGGATTAATAAAATCTTATTGGTTTCTCAGATGCATAAGAGTACAATCTGTGATACTAAACAATCCTCCCCAAAGTGCAAATGATCCTCCTAAAATTGGGGCTCTTCTTTTTAATAATTAGATTCCACCAAAAAATCTTTCCTTCTTTGGAGCAAATGACATGCCTTTTAAGAAATAGAATATGCATCCAGCAAAGCATCCCATTGAGAAAGCTCCTCCAAAATCATCAATGATTCTGTAAGGACAAGGTTATTCACGCATAGCCATCTTAATTCTGGTTAAAATTTATTAATTAAATGTTAGTCATTGATAAAATAATTAAGTAATAGTAATAATGGAAGGGGATAATCATCTTTTGTGAGCTAAAGTTCTGATTCTACAATCAGTACGAATTCTACTATTAGATCTTAGAACAGGATTGCTAGGTTCACTCTTTTTCTTTTGATGGCAAATTATTTGTTTATGCTTCCTATGATTATTTCGGTTTCTATAATAATCCCAAAATTAATCATAATTTTAATCTTGGTTTATATCATATATTTGTGTAAAATCTGGCAAATTTTATAAAGGCAAAATTTTTTTGAATTTATAGAAATGTAGCTTTATCTTATTGACTAATTTTTGAGTTTCATTAGCTAATTCTTCCTCAGAGATATATTCTCTTCTTTTTGGATAAGTCTCAAAGCGTATTTTATAGAGCATCTGTAATTAATCAGTGGGAGATAATTTATCATAATCTCCAAGATGAATTCCCTTAAGCAATATCTCATCATTATCAAACACATCATGTTCTGAGCCAGATGAATCTGAATCTGAATTTACTTCTATTGGGACAATCTCTTATTCTTTAGGTTTTTTAAACAAATTATTCATAAAATCAGAGCCAATAAATTTAATAGGTTTCAATCTAATGTTCTATAACCTTGGTGAAGTTTTTTCTGAATCCAGAGTTGAGGTAGATGATTTTCTTGAATTCATAAATAAATTTTATTTCTGAAATTATTATTATAATAATCTCATTAAGAAAACTATATTCTTTATAATAATAATTTCATTTTCTTTCAATAAAAATCATCATTCATTTTCATCACAATTTGCATCATAACAAAAAGTTCATGTTTAATTTAATTGATTATTTTAATAAGATTCAATAATTTTAGATAAAAAACTCAATAGATTATATAGAAAATTGATGAATATTCTTATTTATTATTGATTATATATGAATTTATTTTTTAAGATGATTGATTATTAAAAAATTACATCTATAATATTTTAATGATAGATATATGTTATTATACATATTTATTATTTTAATATATATATTAATATAATATCAAAATTTTATTGAATAATTTATTCAAAAATCTTTCAATTAGATTCAGATATTTCTTAATCTATTTGTATATTTAAAAATTCTTTTTTTTAAATTAAAAAATCAATATAAATTCCATCATATTTATAAATAAAATTGACTTGAACCTGATTTTTAATATAATTAATAAGTTTCTAAGTAAAAATAATAGATAACTTTCATAATAATTATTGATTAAAATTTGTATTAAAGTTTTAGAAGAGAACACTAGTAAATATTCAAAAGAAAGTAAATTATAAAAAATAATTATAATTAATTAATACTGCAATAAATTTATAAAAATATTATAAATTCTCAAGGATTTAAAATTAATTTTAAAGGAAAACGAAGGCAAGATATGATAATTATAGAAATTATTAAAGATTAAACATGTTGAGTATTTAATATTAATTGAATATTTCAAAATTAGTTTCCCTGAATTTATTGAGCATATTTAAAGAATTCATGATTGACAAATTCAGTAGCAGTAATTCTATTGTATTCTTCTGCCAGTCCCCCTTCTATTAAATCTTTTAAATTCTCTAGTAATTCTTTTGGTGTATTTTCTCTTATTAATTACTAATCTACTTTCTAAATAAAGTCGAGTTGCCAAAATAGATCAGGCTGATTTATTAATAGTTAATAATATTGATCATCCTTAGTGGGAAACTATCCCATAATTGGAGGTCTTTTGTAAATAGCAAGAAATAGGGCTGTTGTTAAGGCATAAACATCTGCACCAAACAAGCAAAATTCTTGAAATTCTCCATCTTCTAGATTAAGTCTAAAGTTAACAATCTCTGGACTTGAATAAGGAGTAAGAGTCCTGGGTAACCATTTTGTAAGGAGATCTTCAAATGAAGGTCTGTAGCTGAAGCCAAAATCTGCCAACTTGACACAGTTTCTACTAACAACAAGCATATTTTCAAGCTTGATATCGTTGTGTGCTATATATTAGGAATGTAAATATTCAAGAGCAATAGAAATTTAAGTAAAGTACTTGATTATAATTTTGAGTGATGTTTCATTTGTCTTACAAAGAGTATGAAGATCACAGGTGGCATTTTCAAGGAATAGACTACAACATTATAGGTTCCCTCCTGCAGGATCTAATTGATGATGAGGGATGAATTATTATGGTTTAATTATGTTTGGATGATTGAGTTAACTCAATATTTTCCATTCATTTTATAGATCTTAACATTCTCTTTAATGAACAGTATTGCAAGTACTGTCATCTTCAATGAAAAGTTGTCCATGAAACACAGATTTAATGACTACGGTCTAGTGAACTTATAATAAAACTTTACATCAGATGCTCCTACTCGACGGTGGATGTAAGAATTGTTGCCTTGTTGAATTAAATAGAGATGATCTGCTATCTAGTTGATTTGCTGCATTTATATTTTTATATATTATAAATGTATATTTTTCATTCTTCTTCTTTTTTTTCTTCTTTTGGTCCTTAAACGACAATCAACAAGAATTCCTTATCTGGAGCTACCATTATCTCATTATTCTTAGACTTTATACGTAGAAACGTCAATTCATTCATAGGATCTAGGTCTCTAACAGTTGATCTGCAGATGAATTTGAGTAACTTACTTGGCTTTGGCTGCTAAAGTTGGAATTGTTCTTGCAATATTTTCACCTTCTTTGCTCTCAGTTCCATAAGTACTTCGTATGATTTGACCATCATTATTACAAATAACTATTCCTTATACTGATTTATGGGTTTTGATTCTATTTATTGTTTCTTCTATGTCAGACATTATTAATTATAAAAATGAGAGCAACTTTATTTTAGTAATTAAGAAAAACTAGAGCTGAATCTGCCAAAGTTGGAGTGAATAGAAATAAACAAATTCTGGATACTTCGGAACTTATAGGAAGATAAAGTTTTTATAGAAAAAGACGACTTGAAGACCCAAATTATTCTTTACTTGAATAACCAAGTTCATTTCGATTTCATGATAAGGAGAAATATGAATAAGAAATCAAATATCTAAAAAACAATTTACATTCTTTAGAAAGTGAAAATCTCAAATTAAGAACTAAAATTCATTAATTAGAAGGTAAGCATCTTCAATATAAAAATTAGATAATTAATTAAAATAAGAGAAGATGCTATAGGAATTAGATCGTATAGGTCCTGTAAAAACTTAATTATTAAAATCTATGAATTATGCAACTGCTTTAAATGCATTAAAAAAAGAATTAAATAATATGAGAATGGAACTACAAAAAAAAGATTAAGAACTTATCAATATGAAAAAAAATTAAAGATTGACTTAAATAAATGAATTATAAATTGAAAGAACTGCTTTTTAAGAAGAGACAGTTAGATTAAGATAATAAATTGAATAATTATTTTAAGCTAGTTTATATAATTTACAATAGAATAATGTAGAATAAGCAATTCAAGAAAGATTATTTAAATTAATAGCATAAATATAGGAGAATGTAATTTAAAAAAGTGAATTGGAAAAAATAATTGAAAGACTTAAAAAAGAATGTTTGAAATATAGAGTAATAAATTTTATCATTTATTTTAGTCTTAATAAATAGAATAAGAATTTAAAAGCAAAAAGGAAATTAAGAAATTAATAATATAATTAAAGGAAGAAACAAATAATTCTTAAAAAGAAAATAGTAAAGAAATCTAATAATAAACTAAACCAGATGAATTGTAATTATTAACAGATTTAATGTTTACAAAATAAGAGAATTAAGCTAAATAAAATGAAATAGATAAATTAAATCAAATTATTTTCGATCTCGAAACTCAAATTAAAGAACTAACATTATTATAAAAATCAGAGACATAAGAAATCTAACCACAGTCTCAAAGAGTTGATATATCGACAAAATCAAAGATAACAAAAGTCTAATCTCCAGTTTTTGCTACCGAAATTATGTAAGAAATTGCCTTACCTATAAAAAAATCAGTAGTGATTTAAGAGGAAATCTAAAAATAAGTGAAGTAACCTTAGAGAAGAAAAATTATACCTATAAAATTTGAAGAAATCAAAAATATAGGAGAGACTTTGAAATATAAATTGATGGCTATGGATATAAGTATTTCATAATTAGACGAATATTTATTTGAAGGAGACTCTATGACTTTGAAAGAATTGAAAGATAAATTAAGGCAATATCCTTTTAATTTAACAAGTGAAGAAGCTCATATAATATCTCGTTATATAATGGAAAGTGAAAATGATATTTACGAATTGTAGGAGACTGCCTAGAATTATAATCCTTATATTCGTTCAGTTTTAAGGAGAATATTGGCAAATTATAAATTAGAAATAGTGAAAAATTAATTGCTGCATTCTGAAAAATTAAAAGATGTTTTAACAAAATTTAAACCATTTATTTTAAGCAATATTAAATAACTTTATGGGAAAGATTGTATAAGAGTAAGTAAATAATAATTTAATGAAGCATTGATGTCATTAAATATAGAATTGAATTAATTTGAATTGGACTATTTGATAATTTAAGGGATTTTGGAAAGTAAGGGAGTTGAATCATTAAATTATGAAGAGATGCTAAAATATGAGATTAAGGAAGTTTAAGATTAACAACTCTCTTTTTTATTGACTGAATTAAACAATTAATAAAATTAAAAAATTGAAATGTCAGTGATTGAAGAATGTCCAGAGAAACTTTCAGAACTTGATTAATTAGAATAAGTAGATCATAAATAAGAGTAGATTATAAAAGAGTAATAATAAAATGGAGATGATCAATATGTTACATTTGATAAATATGTGACTGAATAATTTGAGTCTGAAAGTGAAGAATCAAAATAGGAAATATTGACATCAGCTTTTAACTTGGAACAATGAAAATTATTAAAATTTTGATATTATATAAATTAAATAATACTTATTTATGTAAATTAAATGAATTTTAGATTCTAATTTGAAGAATTTCCAAAAAGTATATGTATTTTAAGAATTTAAATTCCATACTTAATACTATAGTAAATTAAATCAATTAGTAAATAATTGATGTTATATTAATTAATTTGAATATATAAAATATATTATTATATTTATGGATCCAATGAATATTCCAGCTGCTGGATCAAGACCTTAAAAATAGACTCTAGATTAAGCACCTTCTGTTAGATAGAAGTATATATTTTTTAATATATAATAGTCAACAATAACGATCAGATATCTTTGGTGTTAATTCAGGTCCTGTGGTCTAAACTCCTAGCAGACAATAGTAGCGTGCTAAAACTGATATTTTTGGTGTTGAATAGAGTGCAACTTAATCACTTGCTTAATCAAGAGTTGAAGTAAGATATTATTCTAATTTCTAGACAAGATAGACTAATACTTATTAGTCAAATATATTTTAAGTAGATCCATCTGCTAATAACACGCATACAGCTAAAGAGACAATTAAGACATAAAATAAAGGAAAGAATACTTAAGCAAGACATTAAGATCATGGAAAAGATTTTTTATTTGGAAAAAGCGGTATTTTAAATTAATAATCAATTTATTAGATTTTGATGAATATAAATCAATTAAAAGGACATCTACATTAAAGGAATTCAAACCAAAAGAGGAATATGATCCAGCTAATAGAAGAGTTAAGGAATTATATGGAAATGAAATTGGTAAAGAACATTTACCAACATAAAAAGTTTAATTAGAAGAAAAAAAAGAAACTGTTAAAAAGTAATAATAATAAGATGTTGATCCATAACAAAGAAAATAATTAGAAAATTCATCTAATGTTTTTGGATAAAATGAAAAGAAAGCTTATTAATAATAAGGTAAGTAAGAAAAATTAACTTCCCAAAATTAAAAATGGTCTACTACTAGTAAGGCTGTTGATAATAGTGGTAAGAATTATGATCCAGATACATTTGCAAAGAATAAAAAAGAACAAGAATTGTAATCTAGTGTATTTGGTGGTGAATCAAAATAAACACAAAGTACAGCTACAAAATAAAAATTAATTCCTACAAATTAAACATGGCAATAAACTGATACTGTTAAAAATATGAAAGATTTCGATCCCTCATAATCATAATTAAATGAAATTGATCCTTCATAAAAGAAAATAGATACATTAAAATCAGCATTAGATACTCATGATTATAAGGCATAACCTGTTAAACATAATGAAAAGCTAAGTGTGAAATAATAGAAATATAAAAAGGACGTATTTACAAGAGGAGGGGATAAAGATTAAGCCCCTTCTCAATAAAAATAAAAATAACCAGCTTAATAATAATAACAATAGAAAGAAATACATGAATAATCAGATATGATTTGAATTATTGTATGAATTATTGTGATTATCCTCTATTTTCTAATTTATTTATCTTTTCCTTATTTATTTATTATTATTCTACAATATATTCTTAAATCATTAACAATTATAAAAACCCAAACTTTAATTATTGATCTTTTATACATTCTCTAGAAAATTCTGTATTAATTATCAAATAATATATAAAATGTTCAGAATTAAATTATATTTATAAACTCCTATTCAACAATGAAGCAAACAAATAGAAAACATTTAAGATTGTTTAGTGAGATTAATTTAACTACTTCTTTATTAATATAATTAGTATTTAAGCGTTAAATGAATTCATGAAATACTTAAAAGATAAATAAAAGGAACGGCATTATATTTTAGAGAAGGTATAGTTATCAATAAAAGCTTCAGAAGATAAGGAAGTAAATTTAAAGGAATTTATGTATCTTAAAATTCAAATGAAACTTTAATAGAGTAACAATACAGTTCAAGAGTGTGAAATAATCCAGAATTAGAATATAAATGAATAAGCATAGAGAGAAATTATTAAAAAAGAATGAAATATAATTTGATTGCAATAAATCTAATAGAATTTGTTGAAAATCTACTTTTATTGAGAGAATAATTAAAAGAAACTATTGATTACAAACTATTTATTTCATCAATAAATAAAAGCAATGAATCCTATTTACATTTGAATTGTTTTAAAGGATGATTTATTTATATAGGTTTAATAATAAGTATAGTATGAGGAGTTACATTTTAATTTGATTAAGTGTAATAGATTATTTGTCAATAGAGTAATATATAATGTATAGTGTGTAATAATGAAATACACTAAATAATGATACTGAATATAATATAAAATAGCAAAGGGGATGAATAATCATTTATCTTTTAATATTTAAAATGTCACTTCAATTTATTGAGTTATTTTATCAGCAAAATTCCAATTCTTCATTTGTCTATTTAATATTTTTAATAAATTACCTTCTAAATTCTTCATTTTATAAACAATCTAACATTTTGATACATACAGGATATCTGATGTATTTCATAAATTCAGGTCTCTTAAAGTATTATAAGTATTCTAAGTAATTGATAAACTGATCATCTTAAAAATAATCTTTTATTGCAAGCTAATGAATATAAGAAGGACTGGCCAACATTTAAACAAATTCAAGGTCCATTTGAAATCTCTTATAATCATCATAAATTTTTTACATTAAAATAATTTATGTTGACTTAAATTACAATAACAAACTAGGAAGCAAAATAAGTGATGCCAGGATTGAATTTGAAAACATTAGAATTTAAAAATCCATAAGGACTAATTCAAAAAATGAATGAATTGAAATTAACAAAACATAAATAAGTGCAAGTGATGAATATTGGATGTTTAAAAGACCTATACTTGATTGATTTAAGTTAAGAAATGATCGAAAGTATAGTCAAATTCATTTGAGTAATAACTTTTCAATTTCCTTTTTCAAGTTTCCCTTCTTTAATTCTTATAGCAATATTTTAGTACAAGGATAGGCTTCTAAAATAATGGACATGTCTTTGTCATCAACTTTCAACATTTCTCGAATTTCTAAATCTATTAACATAATTTTCTATTGGTACATTATGATTATTCACTTCTCCTCCTTGTCTACATCAAAGGGACTTCTTACTGATCTATAAGTCTACGTTTTCTCTTAAAATTTATGTATTTGTGATCTTCACTTTACTTTTTGATTTCATCATAATCTAGAATGCTATTCTCTTCCAAAGGTATATCCTTTATCATTTTAAGATTTAGTTTCACCTTTGTCCCTTTTACAGAAACAGCAATGTCATGAGATATTATTTATTAAGATGGATTCTGTTCCTAATTTTAAATTGGTGGAGTTGGTTAGGGTAATGTTTGCATTTAAGGTTGTTAAGGTGGTATCATTGGAATTCTCATAGATGCCATTTGTGGTAGTTGTTGCATCTACTGCATTTATTACAATTATTGCATCATCATGTAGTAAGGTGGATAGTTCATTAATGGTGGTCTAAAACATTATAAGAGTTTATAGTAATAAGTATATTGGGTATATATTAGAGTAAATAAGAGGTTGATGCTTACATAAATTGTGGATTAGGATAAATCATAGGAGTTTATGAAGTTTATTATACTGGAGCATAAACTGGAGGTTTGGCTTTAAGCATTGCCAAGTAATCTTATTGTGGGAAGCTCATTTTTGAGTTATTTAAATATATCTGTAAGAATACATATTCAGATTCGATATTTAGATTTACAAAAGATTTTGTGGATAGAAAAATCAGATCATTTGTGACCTAGTCAATAGGTTTCTAAGTTCAATTTATAATTAACTGAAAAAGATCAAGAAAGAAATCTAGTTACAATAAGGAACCATTTATCTTTAAGTTATATATCAAGAGATCTCTTGATAATATATAAATGTAAAAATCTCATTCTCCAGAACCTCGTCGTACAAATAGCAAATATTCATCATTCCCTTTCAAATTACCAATAAATAACATTGCACTTCCTTCAACCAACAGCCATGTATAGTCTGATTAGGGTAGAAAGGTGCTAATACATGTAGGATAACAATCAAGCAAAAAGATTAAATAACTTTTACAAGTTAATACAAGACCACTAATAAATCCATCAAAAGTTTAAATTGACATTGAAAAATTACAAATCATAATGAATGGGAAATATGAGAAAAATATCTCAAATACTTCCTATTCAATTTAGGTTGAAAATACTCTTAAAGAATTTCGAACAAAGATAGAGGAATAAGATAGTCTAATTAGATTGTAGGAATTCAAAATTAATAGGTTATAACAAGAGCTATTATTCTCAAAATAATAATATTAACGTATGGTGTCAAAATTTACATAGCTTGATGGTAAATATAACAATTATCCTCAATCAACTAAATTAACAAAATCTTAAATTAGTATCCCATAAATTGAATAAATACCTTAAATAAATAAACTAATATAAGTAGATAATAAGAAGAAAAGAAATATATAAGAGAAAATTAAAGGACTTGTTTAAGAAAATAAAAAATTTAAAGATGAAGTTTAAAATAAATTTAAAGAAGTACTTAAACTTGTAAATGAATTTACTATAGCTGTAATTTGTTAAGCATCATCTCTTTACATGTAATAAATAAAATCTATAGAATCTGTCTATGAAATGCATAACAAGTAATTTGAACTTAAATGATAGTTTTACAAAAAATGATTATCAAGGCATGAGAGCTTAGTATGATATTTTGAATAGGGAAATCTAATTACTTGAATAGTAAAAGGAAATATTATATGATAAAGTAATTTCATTACTTTGAAAAATTATTATAATTAATGAACGACATATAACCAGCTCCAAGTCTTGTTAAATATAGTAATCCAATTCTCATTTCAAACAGTCAAAAGAAATAAATTAAATAACAACCTCCAAGCAATACTGAAGATATTTTGAATGCTATTTTAGTTCCAAGAGAATTTAATCATTAGAAGAATCAATTGTAAATGTAATGTGTTTCTCCTGCACCCTCAACCAAACAAGATGTGCTTGAATTATAAGATAAATTAGATAAATGGTTATAATAAAGATAGGCGAGAGAGACTGGTCTATGTCCAATTAGAGAGGAGTTATACTCATAATGTTTTGATGAATTAATAAGACAAATTACAATTAATTGTGCAGAAAGAGGTATGCTCTTAGTAACAGTCAGAAATGAAGTAAGAATGGTTATTCAAACTTATTAAACATTATATGCATCAAGTATAGCATTTGGAATGAGAAAATTTTTATCAGAAGAAGAAAAAAAAGTATTCAAAAAATATTAAATTAGGCTGAATATAGATTAAGAATTAAATAATTAGAATAGGAGTGTTCAGAATTACATAGACAAGTTGAATCTTTAGAATAAAAATTGTTGGATACAAAATAGTAAGATGAAATTAAAAGATAATAAACTAAAGAAGCACATGCAGATATTGTATCATAATTAAAGGCTGATATAAAAGCTAAAGTAAATGGCGATCTTGAAAAAATACTCACTGGATAAAAAAAATTACCTGATAAGAAATGATGATGATATTTAACATTATTTTCATTATTTTATATTCGATAATATATTTAATGAAATTATTTATAAGCATCCTGATCATATAATATAATTAGAAATTGTATATTTTATGTTTGTTCATAATATCAATAATCCTAACATTGTAATTACAACTTTGAATATCATTGCATTTGAACTTTCATCATCATCACATGAGACTCCTGAACAATTCTCTGAATTGTAAGTAAGTACTTATTCTTCTGTTGGACATGTACTAGAAGAAGTCTCTTTAATACATGAAACAGAGGTAGATCCTACAACTGAAGGATCATCTGCTGCTTCTTACAAAATTCTAGCAGCTGTTGTTTCTCCCATTTAGGCTTCACAACCAATGGTGACTTTATTACCCAAGAAGTTTAATTTAAGTTGATACATTTATTCACCATTCTATCCTTTATCCAATTTTTTAGGTTTAACTGACTTTGTTACTCCATTAGCAACTACTGTTATTTCAGCATCCATTGGTTTCCATTTTCCTCCTTTAAATCCTTCTTAAGTGATNTTCCAAGAGAATTTAATCATTAGAAGAATCAATTGTAAATGTAATGTGTTTCTCCTGCACCCTCAACCAAACAAGATGTGCTTGAATTATAAGATAAATTAGATAAATGGTTATAATAAAGATAGGCGAGAGAGACTGGTCTATGTCCAATTAGAGAGGAGTTATACTCATAATGTTTTGATGAATTAATAAGACAAATTACAATTAATTGTGCAGAAAGAGGTATGCTCTTAGTAACAGTCAGAAATGAAGTAAGAATGGTTATTCAAACTTATTAAACATTATATGCATCAAGTATAGCATTTGGAATGAGAAAATTTTTATCAGAAGAAGAAAAAAAAGTATTCAAAAAATATTAAATTAGGCTGAATATAGATTAAGAATTAAATAATTAGAATAGGAGTGTTCAGAATTACATAGACAAGTTGAATCTTTAGAATAAAAATTGTTGGATACAAAATAGTAAGATGAAATTAAAAGATAATAAACTAAAGAAGCACATGCAGATATTGTATCATAATTAAAGGCTGATATAAAAGCTAAAGTAAATGGCGATCTTGAAAAAATACTCACTGGATAAAAAAAATTACCTGATAAGAAATGATGATGATATTTAACATTATTTTCATTATTTTATATTCGATAATATATTTAATGAAAATAATAAGTATCCTGAAAATAATATATTTAGAAATTGTATATTTTATGTTTTGTTCATAATATCAATAATCCTAACATTGCAATTAAGACTTTGAATATCATTGCATTTGAACTTTCATCATCGTCACAAGAGACTCCTGAACAATTCTCTGAATTGTAAGTAAGTACTTAATCTTATGATGGACATGCACTAGAAGAAGTCTCTTTAATGCAAGAAACAGAGGTTGATCCAACAACTGAAGGATCATCTGCTGCTTCTTACAAAATTCTAGCGGCTGTTGTTTCTCCCAATGAGGCATCAGAAGCTATGGTTACTTTATTACCCAAGAAGTTTAGTTTAAGTTGATACATTTATTCACCATTTTATCCTTTATCCAATTTTTTAGGTTTGACTGTCTTTGATACTCCATCAGCAACTACTGTAATTTCAGCATCCATGGGTTTCCATTTACCTCCTTTAAATCCATCTTAAGTAATTGTTTATTTAACATAAATGGTTTCACCTACTACTAATTCAGTTGTATTAAGAGGTGTTTCACAAGCTTCATCAGAACATAATGTCAATGTAGATTGAGCAGTATTGACACATTATTCTCCAGCAGCATCAGCACAAACTTACTCAGCTTGTACTTTGGGTTTGATCTCACTTGATTTGAGGGTTGCTAAATCTTTGCTAAAAATAGCTGAGAATTTAAAAGCAAAGAAAGCCAAGGGTTTTACTCCATTGTCATTTGGTAATAATAATGTCACTGAAATGGCATAAAATCCAGTGTATTTGATCTCATCATTAGATTCGTCCTTCAAAAATAATGTATCGAATTAACTAACTATATAAAATTTAAATACTCTTTATTAACTGTAAAGACCCAGGTTCTTGAGGTGTCTTATGCGGTTGAGGTAATTACAGAAGCATCAGCTACTTCATTTGTAAAAGCAGCTCCAAATCTTCTCAAATTAACCTGAATACATGTAGTGGTTGATCCAGTTTCTACAGAAGTCTAGAAATCTTTGGCATTAGCAAATGTCAATGAGAATTAAAGATTTCCATCCTTTAACTCAATGGCAAATTTGGGTCTGTTGGCTATATGTTTCTTTCCGTTGGCTTAAGTCTGTTTAAAGAATCCAATTTAAGTCCTGCAATTTTTAGCATCTTTGCACTTTCCTTTGACTAACACTTGGTCATCTGTGCAAGTGGTTGCTGTTTCAGCTGTGATAGCAACATAAACTAAGAAACTTAGAAGCAATATATGAAAAATTTTCATGAAAAAAGTATTATTAAATTACTGTCATTTTTTATGGTGTATTTATAGTGCAATTTTATAAAGATATTACATAATTAAAATGAGTATTAATTGTGGATTACGATTGCTTTTCTGGAATACTAGGATTTTTATATTATACTGCGTAATCACTATATAAAATAAAAATTTCAAATATTTATAAATAAAATTTGATTACCCCCCCCTCAAAATCAATTTTCTAGAATAACTTGTTAAACCATGTTTTCTCTAAATATTATTTAAATATAGATAAATGTTTTAATAAAACTTTAATATATTATATTTTGTTATATGAATGTAGCATAGCATATACTTTTAGATTTTTAAACTTGAAGTTCCTATCTAGATAAGCTAAAAACATAATTATACATTAATTTTGTTATATTTTCTCTTGATTATGTGTAATATTTAGAAATAATTATCATTTAGTGTTTCTCTTTTTCCTGAAATATTAATCTTCTAAATCACAATAATGACAATAAACGTGAGAATAATGATCAATAAACCAAATTCAAATACTATTTTGAAATTAGTGTTTTTGGATTTGGCATGATAAAGAAATATCTAACTCTAATTGATTTATATATTTATATAATAAAAAATTTATACATTGTAATCCACATAATTAGTTTATTTGGATTTGATTTAGTATAACACATAATATAATTAATGAAATATTGTACATAATATAGAACATTATTAATTGGAAGTATTTAAACAAAAAAATCTTTATATCCTTATTTATTAATAATTAATAAGTGATGAAGAGTGCAATTCTGATAATAGCTGTGATGTCATCGGCAATCTTAGCCTAAAAATGCGGTAAGAAGAGTATTAATGATATTAAGACACAATTAATTAACATTACAATGTGTATGCTACTGTTAATGAAACAAAAGAATGGGATATGCGAAAATATTTCTTTACAGGAGAGAATTTGAAGTTTAAGATAAACAATGATTGTCCATATTTTGAAACAGTAGATCCTTTGAGTGAAATAGGAGATCCTGTACCTCATGGTGATCGTATGAATTTTTCATTAATTTTAGCTTCGATTGGGAATATATAAAATCTGAAGGCTTATAGATCTTTTGATAATGGAGCATGGTTGAATGACTTTGTGTTTTTAGAATAAAACAAGACAGACATTGATGTATTCTATGCACTTGGGTATATAGAATTTGATTATATAATTTAGTGATCCTTAAAAAATGGATTAAGTACCTAGATTCCATGCATAAGTGAATGTTAGAGATTCAATAGTGTCATTTGTATGCCATGATTTAGACTTTTTAACTAATTATTTAATAGTCATAGATTGTCAATAACCAGATTTGGATGATGTTGTTCATTTAGGATATCATAATGGATTTATAGTGGTTGATTTACAAGATTCATAACATTATGATATCTCACCAAATGAACATCCAAAAGGATTTAATTATAATTATACAGAAGATAGAAAAATAGCTTTTCATAATTTTAGTTTCTCAACATCTGAGGAAGATTTGGAAGGAGGTGTTGGTGCTGATAAGATATCATTATTGTTCAGAGCTGAACCAGCATGGGCAACTGAATTTGCTGATTTGGCTAATGACAAATTGGATGAAGATTGTGAATTAGAAGTTTATAAATATAGTAATAAGAAATTTTCATCAACTCCTGTTGCATATTTAACAAAAGTAGAATTGGCTGCATTATTGGGAACAAATTCAACAACTTAAAAATTTGCTATAATGGATTTCTAACTTGAACCAAATGGTGATATCTATGTTTTAGATGGTGAAAATGGTGTTTATGTTTTATAATTCACATCTTAAGCATTGGAATGGAAATTAAAGGAACATATCTCTTTCCCTTATGTGACTAAAAGTTATGGATTTGATTTCAATTATTTAATTAATAATGATGGAACAATAACAAGACATATGGTATTAGTATTCAAAGATAAAGCAAACTTTTATGAAAATGGAGTAATGAAATTTGGTATAAAATTACCAGAAAATGCAAATTATGGAAGAGTGTAAGTTTAAATGAGTTAATATTACTTAATATTGAAATTAGACACTGTAGTACATGTTTATCATTCAGATGATGGATCAAAATTGTATACTTATACAAATGATTTATTTGATTAATTGATTATCAATCCATATGAACCAGATTTATTAGGAGTCAATAAAAACTCTGCACACAGATTCTTAATTTCTAATGGATACTTAAGATTAAAGAAATAGGATAGTACAAATGATGGAACTAAGACATATACATTAGATGCTATTTCATTAGATGATGTATCATAGAAATGTTCAGTCACTGTAAATGTGAGAGTCTTGAATAAAAATGACACAACAATCTATGAATAAAGTAATCATCCATTCCCACAAACTTTGAGAGTTCCTACAGCACCAATTGGTATTGATTTGATTGCTTCTGGTCCAAATCTTTAATATTCATCTTTAGCTACTTTAGAACATCCAGAATTAGGAAATTCTAAAATTATTGTGACAATTAAATCAGCTTGGAATTTATAATTAAATGGAATTAGACTTCCAGATGCTAAAGAAGTTATTTATTCTGATATTCTTGTTACTGATTCTGCAGATTAATTCTATTTATTAGTATAAATACCAACAAAGATCATTTATGTTTATTAATGTAAACATTCTTTATCAGATCATGAAAATGCAGAATGTAAAGATTTTGATAATTTTTCTTTGGGAGTTTAAATTAATAAAAATAAACATTCATTCTTTTGGTGGATCTATATTAATTCAATTACTTATATGTATTAAGATACTGATTATTCAATATAAATTTATACTAGTACTGGAGGATAAGTTAAAAGTGTTGGTTAGGTGGCTGTAGATAGTACAGATCCAATGAATAAATTTTCATCAGTCACAATGGTCAAAAGTGGTATTTATTGTGTATAAGAGGACAGAAAAACAGTATAAATTTATGAAGCTACTTTACCATTTAGATTGATATATGAAATTAATTCTTCTGTTCTTGCTGAATATAAGATAGAAGGATATTTCATACCTAAAAGAGTATTTAGTAATAAAAAAGCAAGAGCACAACTTGTATTTATACAATCATTAAATCATGTATATGTTGGAGAATTCACAAATCTTAAAAGTTTTTCAAATTTCATTCTCTTTAAACAAATCCCTATTATTGGAGGAGCAGAAGTAGAAGTTGCAATTGGTTAAGATCATTTCTTTATTGTTTAACAATTAAATGATTAGACTGTGATTGAAGAATACAATTATTAACATATATAAAGAATCTATAAAACTAAGGATTTACCATTATTTAATTATAGATTATAAAAACCTTTAACTGTTGATTATTCATCATAAACAGGTTGGTTATTTATGAGAGCAACTGATGGAAAAGAAACAGTTGTCTTAGTATATGAACCAGGAGTTGTATCACATATATGTTTACATAAAGTATTAGAAACTAAAGCTATGGATTTTGATAATAAGACATTTGATATGGCAGTAGATGGTGGATAATAAATGTTTTCTTATTTTAATAATAATACAATCCATAGAGTTGTAAGTATATTAGCAGATGCTGAATTATATATTACTCCAGAATTAGAAACTTAATAATATGTTAATGAATTAACAACAGGAGTATAAGTATCTAATTTCCCTGGAAATAAACCTATGAATTTAGTATCTAAAGTAACTGTTCTTAATACTTAAAGTGATATCAATATTAAATAGTCTCTATTAACCTCCAAGAAAAAGGTTTTCAAATTTGTTAAATAAGCATAATAATAATTGATTGATATGGGAACAGATTGGTATTATGGTCAACAAGTAGGTATTGTGGTTAGATGTGAAACATGTAAAAGTGATTTGAAAGTCAGAAATAACATCTATAGAGTTTTAGATGGAGCAGATATGCCTTTTGATATTTCTGATGGTGTATAATTTGGTACAGCAGGTTAAGTATATCAAACAAGAGATGCTTTAATTTTCCAAGATATTACAGGTAAATTTAAAGAGAGAAAGGAAATATCAGATAGAACTATAAGTTGTGAATTAATTACTGTATCAGCAGATAATAATTTTATATTGTCAAGTTATACAACTACTAAAAATGAAGTTGGTATCTTTATTAATTAATGTACAAATTTGGCTAATTGTTAATAATTCAAATAAGGTTCATAAAGTATTGGAGGAGCCAAGAAGATATCTAAGGTTGTTATGCCTGATAATAAGAATATCATTATTTTAAATACTGATCCAGAAAACTTTTCATCTACTGATAGCTATATTATTATTTCTGCTTTAGATTATGATCAATCTAAATTCACTATTTCTAATAAATTCACAATTAATGATCAATATGTAGGAAGCAAACTTTTATAAATTGGAGATTTTGATGTCATTAAATATTAGATTAATAGTGTTAATTACAATACTATTGTTTTTACAGATGTTAATAATGGTTTATACTTTGCTCATTTTGCATATGATGCATAAGGTGTTTATTCTAAAACTATCAATGAATAGGTCAAATTAAGATCATTCGCAAATGATTAATATCATATTGCAGATGATGCTTTCTTCTATTAAGTCAAAGTATTAAGTAGTCAAATGAGTGGAACAACTCTCTAAATTAATCTTCTAATCACTACAAGCAATTCAGCTCATTATTCCTTTGGATTTGATCTTGATGCATCAAAACCAACTTCTGGATTACCTATTATCAAAGCTAATACTGTTTTGAATTATGTCTTAACTCCATATGGATCTTGGAATGCTATTGATAAATTAGCTTATGTTAATGGATTTGTGGCTATTCCTTATAGTAATGAAAAGAAAGTTGTTATTGGTGTTTATGACATTCCTAGTGACAGACCAGGTATTGTTAAAACTATATCATTCAATCATGGAATTTGGGCTGATTATCATAAAGCATTACCAATTGATTTTGCTATGCTTTTAACTAAGGATGCTTAAGCTAAATATGTATTATTATATCTATATTAAATATTAGCCTTATTTATATACTAATATCAATTATGATGCTTTATCTGATGAATATTTAATTGAAAAGTATGAATTAAGAGCAGATCCTTAATTGATTTTAACCAATTCAGCTGGTTACACAGAATAAGTGCAATTCAAACTTTATTTACATAATGATTTCGTTGAAATTCAAGGATTAGCTTACTTATCAACAACAGAGCCAAACCCACCAAAACCCCCTGATGATGATGATAAAGGAAGGTATTTTAATTTATATGATCTCATAGCTCAAATTGGTGGTGGATTACATTAATTGTTATATTTGGTGTTGCCATCTTAGGAGTAGGAGGTTGGTTTGCCTATTAAAAGTTTGGTAGAAAAGGAGTTGACCCTCTTTTAGGATGATATGATATTTTATTCAGTATATGTTTTCATACATATATATATCAAAGTGTATATTAGTTTTATAATTCTTTTAAATCATTATGTTTCATGATATTTATTCATTCTTTTTGGAACTTTTGTGTATATTCTCTATGGATTAGTGTTACAATCTTCATATATTGATTAACAATCTGCTAAATCACCAACATCAAATCTGACTTTAGATTGATTCAAAGGTATCTCATTTAAAAATTAATTCTAATTTGCTTAACTTTTTTAAAGTGATTAAAAAAGCTATTATACTTCTGGATCTAAAGATTAAATTAATTTTTAATTAACTCCTGATTTCAAACCTTAAGATAATACTTTTTCATAGGCTTCAAATGCTTCTTAAATTGCTATAGATTGCAATTACTAATTTTACTTTGATTAATCTAAACATTTTGCTTATTCTAAATCTTAAACTATATCTGGTTTAGGCAAATATTTAAATAATTTCTTTTATTCTGTTGTTAAAATAATATCTCTTAGTTAATCAAATTCATATAACTTTTAAATTATTAATTTCACATCTAATTTCTCCATATATTTTTCTTTAGCCATTTCTAACATCTTTTTCTTCTCTTTATCACAACCAATAAATATCGAAATTATTGTTTTTATTGTTCTACTTATTTAATTATTCTTTTTTAAAATTATATTCAAACTTTCATTCTATATAGTCTACAATTATTACAACAATAGCTTCCTAATTATTTTCACTATTTAATCTACCAGTATCTCTTGGAGATAATAATCTTTTTCTACTTCTTACTATTCCAGCCAATGCATCAACAACTTTATTATCCTCAGATATATTTAATTTATTTTTGTTATTGCAATTAAATTTAAATAGTTCATTTGCCATATCAATATCCAACATTAATTATACTAAAGGTTTAATAAATGCTGCCAATAATAAAAATATCATTTAATATAAACCTCCAACTCTACTTAAAATTGCTTAAATTTTAACATATGATCTTTAATATTCACTATATTTTGAACTTAGATTTATATTATGATAAACCAAATATTCATTATTGTATAAGTCTGTTGACTCTCTTGCAACATCTTAAATCAACACTTATTAATCAGATATATCTGAAAATACTACTCCAGAATCTGTCTTTGTATCAACAACTTTAAATTACTAAAATATATTTTTAGATGTTGTTATTGAAAAAGTGTAATATTAGATATTAATTACATCTAAAGACATATTTACAGCTCTATTCATTTGTAATAATGAATCACTTAAATGAACTGCATAAAATCCAGAATTAAGTTATTTTTTAATATCTTCCATTGGAGCACAATCACTTTTATTAGTAGAGTTTTTACAAACTGAAACAGTTATAGTTAAAGATGAATATATAGGACTTGTCTTAATTCCTTGTAATACCTAATAAATTAATAATAATTCTCATTACAGGTGGATGACTATCCCAATAATCTTTTTAGATACATTATACAGAACCTAATCTAATTCTAGAAAAGTAATCAATTTATGTTTCAGATAAAAAATGCTCTTAAGTACATGCTTCCAAAGGTATTATTGTGCAACTATTATAAATATATATTTAATTTACTTTCTTGTAACATTAGAAGTCTATGATGTTTCATTATAAATTCTAGTAGTTTAACAATTTTTAAGTTAAATTGTAAAAAATTTATTTATTGTTGCTAAAGGTTAACTATTAAGATCAGCCATGGTAATTGCAAGAGTGAAATTATTTCTATTTAGAAAGAATGGCTAAATATATCAGAGATATACTGATGTTTCTATCACTTATCTTTCCGATTAAATCACATTTGGAGAATCTTTGGCTATTAATTCTTAAATCCCAACAACTAAATAAGCTAGAGCAAAAAATATAGTCCCTAATGTTGAAAATGCCCCTAAAATTGAATTATATTTTTATTTCCCTAAAATTCTAAATGTAGGGGGCTATCCAAACATATCAAACTGTAAAAAGAATTACCTAATATGAAAGAATAATGATTATTGCATCTTAATATATAAATTTTTATTATAATATGATCAAAATCCTCAATTGGGATTATTAAGAAATTTAATTTATTACTTATTTTACTATATTCGGAAAAAAGTAATTAATCTTCTGTTTATATGATAAAGTTCATAAACTTACATGATAATTATTTATAATTGACATTAAAATATATTTTGTTAAAATTATTATAATAATTGAATCAGTAACAATGTATCTGTTAGATAATTTATGATACTAGTATGAATGAATAATAATATATTTAAATGATCCTGTAATAATTTATAAGTTAAAATAATTGAAGTTTTTATAATAAAAAATTAATGTCAATAGCAAATGCAAAAGGATAATAAGGTTAAAATGATATGACAACCTAAAGGAGAAAAAATGAAGCTAATTTGAGGGTGGCATTACAATATTATTCCTCTTGTGGAAAATTATAAGATGATCATTCTCTAGAATAAGTAACTCCAGGATTGGCTACTTTAGAATTCATGAAACGTAACTGTCCTGAAGGAACAAAGTTAGAGGATTTTTGTATACAATCTGGACAATATTTTGAATTTGAATAGTATAAATATGGTGACATCATTTTTCATTATGGGGATATAGGTGATAAGGTTTATGTAATTCTCAAAGGGGAAGTTGCTGTTTTAGTACCAAGATCAGAAAGTGAAGTAGAAGCAGAAAGAGAAGATATCAGTTAAGCTAAGCAACCTTTTGATTTTGAAATGTTTTGGAAAAATAAGAAACCTTTAAAATAAATTTATATAGAAGTGTTGTTAGCATAGTTGAACTCATAAGTTTATTTTAAAGATAATGTTTGTATGTTTAAGAAGGTTTTTTAATTTTATTCTGGATAATCATTTGGAGATGTTGCTTTAATTTCAGATAAACCAAGAACTGCAAGTATTTTGGTAACATCTGATCAAATCTATTTAATTAGTATGTGTAAGAAAGATTTTAAGATCTTATGTGAGAAATCAGTTTTGGAAATGAATTAAACTCTAGATTACTTTGTTAAATTATTTCCTAATATTGGGAGAATGCAAATAAATAAATTTATTTAATTTTTTCATAAAATAGACCTTCCTCCTTAATAGTGGTTATGGAGGGAAGGAGAACAAGTCAAATTTTTCTTATTGATTCTTAAAGGAAGAGTTGAAGTTAAATAATAATAATTACCTTTATATTAAGTTTCTGATAATTCTTTCATAGGTCATGAAGAGATCTTAGATAACATAACTTTTAGACAATACACATGCAAAACATTAGACAATACAACAGCATATTATATGGAATATGAAGATTTTAATAGTGCTAGAAAAACTTCTCCAGATATTGTTAAATTATTAATAGAAAAAGCAAAACTAATGACTTCATATCTTGAACAAAGAAAAGAGGAAGTTAAGAAAGGATAAATTTATATTGAACCACTTTGTTTACCTGTAGAAAGAAGGTTGGTTAAAGATATGTTTGTAATTAAATCTCCTAGAAAAAATGAAGTTAGATCTAATCAACCTAAATGTTTAAGTTATTTTGATATTACTAAATTTAATAAATAGAAAGCAAAACCAAATAATATTAATTTATAATAATCCATTTCAGAGGATTTATTTTTCTCTAAAGAGAAGAATATTAAAACAACAAGATCTCCATCTTATTTAACTTAAAAACTTTCGCCTATAAATAAATAAATGAAAGAGATTTTGATGAAGAAATTTAAGTTGAATTTTAAATTTAATGCTTTATAGTCTTTTTAAATTAGTTCTTGTAAATCAGTTCATGATTTTGGAAGTAAAAGTCGATTTAAAACAGAACCAAGCATTGATAATTGATATTAATCTATTAAATCTTTTTTATATATTTCTATATAATATTTCAAATTAAGAAATCCATTCATTTATCAATTCTATGGTTTTAAAAATATACCATTAAATCATTTGTTAATAACCATTAAATCATTTGATATTTTATATTCATATTATTTTCATTATATTTAATAACAATCACTCTTCCCAATAAATTCTAATATAAGCTTTGATAGGTCAGCTTAGATAATATATTCATTAAATCCAATTTTCATAAATTAAAATATCTTTTTTATGTATAAATTTTTGGTTTTTATAATCAACTGTTTTAGATTTGACTATTTGTATTTAAATTTAGATATAATATAAGTCTGATTTAGAATCATATTAGAAAGAAATAATTTTAGAATTATATGTGCAAAAATCACTTTTCTATATTAATATCAAGAACTAATTAGTTATCTTATGTCAAAATACTTAAATAGATTTTCTGCAAAACATAAAGTACATCTTAATTTATCTAATTTTCCATCAATATAATATTGTAATAGTTTACTTTAGTTTAGTAATCATTTTATAATTTTTGAATCAGAAACAGAATTCTTAGATTATCAAAGAATTATTATTATGTATATAATAAAATATATAGTATTTTCAATTTTTTTTAGGAATTAGTTTTATTTTCTTCTATTATTGTGCTTAAATTTATGAATTATGGGATAATTAAGTAGATTATAATTATTATTTTGTTTTGCAATTCATATGCAAACCTTTTAATCCTTTTTTCATAAGCAATAATTTTAATTTTTAATTTTGTTTAGCCAAAATGAATTGATGTCTCTTTTTTTTTTGTCCATATTCGTACCATTTAGAGAAAGATATTCTTAAGGAATAGAAATTTTTAGATTTCTAATATTCTATAATAGATTAAAAAGAATTACCTTCTAGTCTTAATTTTTTTAGATATACAATAGTTTAAAACTTATAAAAATATTTTCTTATAATGCAAAAGTTTCTAAAATGTTTAGATTTGAATGCCAAATGTTTTTAAAAATTAGAGAATAGTTTAAATTTATTCCAATATTTTCTTAATCTAAAGAGATCAGCAATTTTATTAGATTATTAATCATCTTCTTTTGTGATAGTTGTAATAACACTTTTTGAAGATTCTCTTCCTGGTGTATAAAACTTGATTTCATTTCTAGGAGTTTTTGATTAGACTGTCTTTTTACCTGCACTTTTTCTATATAAATCCTTTTTTGGTGGACTATATGGTAATTATAATTTATAGGGTTGAGGTTATTAACTTTAATTTTTCCAAGCTAAAAATATTTCCTTTAAATTCCTTTTATTTACTTTATTGGTAAACTTATATTGAGATTATTTGATACTTGTTCTAGGATCTAAAATTCTCTTTTCATTTATTCAATCATATTTATCATCAAGGGTTAATAGGCACTTGCAAGATTTCTCAAATAATAATTATTCAATTTTTCTAATCCTTTTCTTATCTTTTAAGGATCTGACTTTTTTGGTTGTTTAGTTTATTTTGGTTAATTAAAGTATGATGTTTTTATAATAGCTCTCATTAATATATTAATAATTTAAAATATAATGTAATATTTATTCAGTACAGATTTCATATGATTCTTTGTATCAGAGTTTTTAATTCTATATAATATATAAGTAAATTGCTAATAATCTATTATTTATTTATATTAATATTAATAAATAATCTGATTAGCCATACTAATAGATAAATGATAAAAAATCCTAAAAGCGAAGGCGATTTTAGGCTTTAATAATATTCTGCCTCAAATAGTTGCACAACAATTCCAGATAGGATTAATTAACCAAATATTCAAGAATCAATTCCTGAGGAAAGTTATCCATAAGCTTAACCTTAAGAAATTACTTATACTTTTTATAATGTTAGACAAATACTGTAGAAGGAATTTGGTTTAAATATTGAATTACCTTATTAATAATTATTTACTTAATAGGAATTTGATCTATTGTTAGAAAAATATAAACCAGATTAGCCAATACAAAAAGTAGATGAAAATATTGGAAATTAAGATTAGTAATTAATGGATTTGTTTATGGATAGATTAAAAAAAAAGTTTTATTTTGATGCTTAAGATATTATAAATATTGAATTCTCAGACGATGATCCTATGAAGGTTTACATAGATATATTCAAATACTTAGCAAAACACAAAGATAAATAGTATAATAGAAGCAGTATAAATTGTGATTTTCGTTTACTAATTGAATAGAAAGAATAATCAAAAGAATAGAGCGAGAGTTTTTAAATGTGGCATCGAAAAATTTATAATAATAAATATAGAAGAAATTAATTGAAATAAAATGGATTTAATCCTGTTTATGATCATCATGAGAAATTAGTAGAACCTTAAGTTATTAACTAATAAAGGTCTTCAAATTATCTTAGAAATGTGGCTATTTTGATATGCACTTTTTCTTTCACAAAAATAACTGACCTTGCAAAATTAGATCCAGATATTGTTCCTATATTAAGAGTTGCTATCAATATTTAATCTGATATTATTAAAGATAGATCTGATTGCAATAATTTTTACTCTAGTGATAATAACTTAAGTTAAATTAATTAAATTAGTTCCTAAAATTATGAAAAGTAATTATAATAATTATATTATTATAGAATTAATAAACCTGGTAATTTTGCTAAGAGTTATACAAGTCAAATTTCAAATATTTTAGAAACATCTTTGAGATAAGCATTTTATAAATAAAATTTCTAATAAATTTAATAAATGTGCAAAGATATTAAACATGATAATCCTTATATGTAACTTATATTAAACTTTTTTGGAATGGATGATAAACAATTTTAGGTATATTTTATGTAATTAAAATTTAGGAATATTTATTAAAAGATGATAATAGACTTCATTTTGAGGATCGAATAGTATTAACTTTATTATATTGTGATGATAACAGATTAAATGAATTTTTCTTAAAAAAAAAACCACTTGATTAAATGATAAATTATGGTGCTCATGATAAAAGATCTGTTGAGTGTTTAAAATTGTATTTAGAAGAAACTAAAGATATTTAATTAGTTGGTATATTATCAGCTCATCTCTATTTACTTGAGAATAAAGATATTTAATTATTGACTTGGTTTTAAGAATATCGAAATTTCTTGAATTCTAAACAACTTTATAAAGAGAGAATGATTATAGAAAATCAAATTAAAGAGTTCTAAAATAAGAACTCACAAATTGAAGATTTGCTATTGAGCAAATAATAATAAATAGTTTAATATTGTTAATGTAATTCTATAGCAAATCCTGAATGCTTATCATGTTTAACATTATATCCAAAATGTTCAATCTGTTATAACCCTATCTAAAATTAATTCTATGTTGTTTGTTTAATATGTAGACACGGAGGACATGAAAAACATATATAAGAATGGTTCAATATTTATGATTAATGCCCATACAAAAAATGTTAATGTTATTGCAAATATGAATGATTCTTATAATTCTATATTATTACAAAATGTATTAAATTTTTAATAAATTCTATTTATGAATTCAAATATTTTTATAGTATTTAAAATGCTTAATAATGAACATTAAAATCATTGATGTATATTTATATTCCAACAAAATAATAAATAGTTCAAAAAAGATAATTTATTTGAGAATTCATTAAACTATATATTAACATAATCTCATATTAATATAATTGTATTAAAATATAAACAGAAAATTTATTACCTCTTTCTTTTAATTTAATTTTTATAAAATAAACTGTTTTAGATTTAATAAATATCCATAATAAATCAAAGTTCCTCAGAATTTTTTATTAAATCTATAATTTATTTAAATTCGCTATTAGGATTTTCAAGCAATTTTTATGGATGATCAAATTCTGTAATTTTTCCATCATTTAAAACCATAATTTTATCTGAATTCATAATTGTAGTCACTTTATGTGCTATTGATATCATTGCAGCATTCTAAAAATATTTTTCAAATAACTAAATATTAATAAAAGTTTAATTACATTTTTAACATGTTCTTCAATTTTAGAATCAATATTAGATGTAGCTTCATCTACTAAAACAATATTTTTATTTTCTAATATACATCTTACAATATTTAATAATTATTTTTCTCCTTATGATAAATTACTACCTGATAAAGCTATTTCACTTTGTAATCCTTATTAATTAAAACTCTGCATTTCTAATAAACCACATTATTTTGCAACTTCTAAAATATGAGATTCTTCAAATTTATTTAAAGGATCCAAATTTTATTTTAATGTTCCCATAAAAATAAGAGGATCTTAAGGTATAATTGCAAACTTTTATCTTAATTCACTTATTGAATAATAATTCATATTTTTATTCTCTATCTTTATTGAACCTTCTGTTTATTCAAGAATTTAAGTTAAAGCTAATATAATTGAACTTTTGCCAGCTCCAGTTCTTCCTACTACTCCAATCTATAATGTTTAAGTAATTAGATACTTTTTCTTTTTTGTGTAATTATAATGATAATTCTGATAAAACACATTTAGAATTTGGTCTATATTAGAATGAGCAATTATCAAGTTGTAAAATTATATTATCTTCTTTATCCTATTTAACATCACTATTATCAGTATCATTTGTATTAGGTGTTATCAAAGAAATAGTTCTTTCTTCTTATTCAATTTTACTTAATAATTAATATATAATTTACTTTGCTAAATGCAAACATCTTTCAAAACTTATAAGATACATTTAAATATTTCCATAAGATATTGTAGAGTTTAAAAGCAATTATGAAGCTGCTTACATTTAATTTAATACTAGTATTGTCAGTTGTTAAGTTTTTCCTGGAAATATAAACTATAATAAAATAAATAGAATACACAAATTATAAATAACATTGCCTAAAATAGATTTGTAATTGATCCTGCTAATGATTGATACCAATATTAAAAACCATATAGATTAATTTAATTACCAAGATCTACATCAACATTTCTTTATTATTAAATAACTACTTTTTCTAGTGGTAAACATGTTCTAACATATGTTATTCCTCTAACAATTTGTTAAAAAAAAGAAAAGACAGGACTCTTTGATACTGCTTCAATTCTAGTAATTTCTCTTAAACATCTATAATATATTATTGTTAGATAAATTAGAATAATAAAAAAGATGATTATTAATGGTAATGCAATAGGATTTAAATACAGAAAACCAGCAAATAATGGAAGTAATAGACTTGTTACTTAAATAACTAAATTTTGTATTTCATTTGGGAACAATAAATCTATATTGTAAATATCTTTGCTTAATCTATTCATTAATCTTCCTATAAGAATTGTATTGTAAAATTTTGTATATGAGGCATTCAATAAACTAAAAATAATTGAATTATGAATTTTCTTTGAAGTTGATAAACCCATTATTAAATAATATGTATTTAACAATACTATTGCTATAATAATAGGTGATTAAATCAATGGGAAATAAACCATAGCTAAAGTTCTATATTCATCATTTGATAAATCTTATTGGGCCATAACCTAATTACCAAATAATTAACAACCCAAAACAATACCAAAATAAAGTATATTACAAAATATTGCTATATATTTACCCATATATGCAAAGACTTATCTTAGAACAGATTTTGATATATCCCCTTTTTCTTAATCTTCTAATTGAATCAAACTTGATTTAACATCTAAATTATCTGGATCCTCATTTTTATAATGTTTTTATTCAAATTAAATATCAATTATTTCTTTTTAAGAATATTATTAATCATCATTTAAACCAGCAATTTAATGAAATTTACCTTATTTTATAATCTTTCCATTTTCAATCATATAGATCATATCACATTCTTATAAATTAGATAAAGAATTAGTAAATAAGATTCTAGTTTTATTCTTAAGATATCCTTATATACATTATTAATGTATCTAATATTTAACTTTAATATCTAAAGCACTTGTAGGATCATCTAATAAATATATATCTGCATCATTATATATAGCTCTAGCTAAATTGATTCTTTTTTATTATCCACCTGATAAATTATCACCTTTTTCTCCTAAAATTGTATCATCTCCATTTTTAAATGAAGCAATATCTCTTTCTAATCCACATATTTTAATAACTTATTTATATTTAAGAGCATCAAATTAATTCATAAAAGTAATATTTTTTTTAATACTACCACTTATAATCCAAGGATCTTAAGTAGCTACACTAATTGTTCCATTTACTAAAATATTTCCTTATTTTTTATAAGTTTCTCCTAAAATAGATCTTAATATTGTTGATTTTCCAGAAGCAGAACTAAATTTATTAATAAATTAAAATACTTTCCAACAAAAGCTATAAATTATCCTTTTTTAATTTCTAAATCTATATTTATTTGAAAAACATTCTAATCTGCTATTTCTTAATTTTCATCATTTATTTCTATTACATCTTCATTCATTTAATCATTAGATTTCCAACTATAAATACCATTATTTATTTTGATTGCATAATTTATTATTTCATTAAATCTTTCTATCATATTGCATTCCTATTATAAAAAATAATTATCAATTCTAGCCATAGAATTTCTTGAAATTTAAAAGTTTTTATATTGATTAGGTAAGACTGTTAAAATATTAAGTATACTATTATAATTTTACATCATTATGCTCATTGTTCCAAAATTAACTTCATTTGAAAAATAAAAAATGCATTCCCATGTTAATATTTATACTATTCCATAAATGAGTTAAATAAAAATCATCATTAAAACTTAATTTCTTAATTATTGAAGTTCCTTCTCTCTATATTTTTTTATCTATTAAATATTATATTAAATAATTACTCTTTCTTCAAAAAAGTCTTCAAAAGAATTCAATTTAACTTGTTTTGCATACATTAATGCTTCATCAACAGCTTTCATTCTATTATCCTTAGCAACCATATATCTCTTTTAAACAATTCCATACAAATATCCAAATATCAATCCAATTATGGCTTAAATTATTGCTCCAACAGCTGGAACAATTGCTTAATTTCCTAAAGTGATAAATATTACTATGAAAGCACTTATTAATTATAATGGAACCGTAAAAATAACTATTGCATTATAAAAATAATTTGAAGCCTAATTTATATCCACTTACATCATGTTAATTAGTTCCCCTGTAGAGTAATGTTAAGAACGAGATATTGGAAATTTTAATGTTTTTATTAGTATTTCTTATTATAATGCTCCTTATTATTTAATACTCAATAAGGAAGAATAAAATAATTAATATGGCTTTATTAAAGAAAGTGCTATCATATAAATAAGTTGAATAGCTGTAAATAATAACATGCTTGAAAATGAAGGTTTATCATCTGGTTCATCATATATAAAATATTTTTAAGATTCTTAAGTTATTATTGGCATACATAAGGTTAACCCTGAAACAGCTAAATATAATACTCCACAAAATAAGATTAAACCTTTAATTAAGATATTAATGTACATTTATATGAACAGAATAAAGAATTTATAAATTTCTTTATTTTGAAAAAGGCATAAAATCTTTAATGGGATGTTGACATATTCGATGCTTAATCAACGAGCACTAAGTCTCCTTAAACCAAAGGTTTATTCTTTCCAATCTATTAAAAATTTCTTAAGAATTTATTTTACAGCTAATAATCGATATATCCATGTAAAGAAGAAAACTTTAGCACAATTTTTTGAACTGAATTCAACTTATGTCTAGGTTTCTAGTAATGATGTTTAATCCTTTGGGTCAATGATTTTTGCCATAAAATATAATGAATAATGTAACATATATAGATTAATATAAACTTGAAAATATAGAATATAGATAACTTTTGTATATCACATAAATATATTGTAAATCATAATTATTCTTATAATTTATATTAATTAAATTTCAATTCAGCATTCTATAAGACGAAAAGAAAAAAGGTTTCTATATTGCCATCAACAAGTTCATTAATTAATAATATTATTTAGAGGGGTTGCTATTCAAATATACATTTTTCCTTTCTTCCAAATGAGTGGATGAACTTCATGTATTCAATAAATATTCATTAAATCAAAGATCATTCAAAATCAATGAAAGAGAGATTGATATTATATTGCAAATTAACATTGAGTACTCAATTTAGTAATAACATTTTACTTCCTTGATGTGTTTAGTAATCGCTTAAGATAAATTAAATATGATATTGATCAATCTTTTTATACGAGCGTATTTGCATCATAATCGTGATAGTGTAGTATTAAATTTGAATGAAATTTAGTTATTGTTCAAGAAAATCTAGTATTTTTTAATTTGTTCGTGTGAAGTTTCTGATTGCATTTGATTACAATATGAAAGGATTAGATTCAACAAAACTTTAAAATAAACAATTTTCATTCAATAGCACTCTTATTTTACTTTTATTGCTTTTTATAGAGATCATTAAGAAAATTATTAATTCTTTGGAAATTGCCATTTACTCACTGAGAGTTTATCAGATTTATAGTGCAATATATTTGGCTAATCACGTTGTCTAATTAATAATCCAGATGCAAAGAAAAAAAAATTTGTTTTGCGTTTAATAATTAAATAATAATTTATAGAAATGGACAAAATCAAAACCAAAGAGAATGGTACTTAATAAATTTTCTTGAAAAAAATCTTTTTCAGGAAGTTAGGAAGTTGTCTATGACAAGCGAAGTAATTAACTTGATTAAATCAAAATTTATTTTATGAGACTTAAGCTGAGTTCTGATAAAATATATCAAAATGAGATAAAATGCAGAATAAATTATACAAATCAATTAAAAATCAACATTTAATTATTGAAAATAGAAAAATAAAATATAATAGATACTCAACAGCCAAAGTAATCAATAAAATTATTTCAAAAACAAGAGACTTAAACTAAACTAAAAAATTGAAAATTCAATTGTTTTAATTTATGAGTATTTTTTATTGATTTTTTTTTAATTTATTTATTGATGGAATCACCATATCAAATGAAAAATTTTGTACAACAAAATAATCAATACACAAAAAATAAGTAATTTTAGATTTTTTAATATTAAATTAATCTTCTTTATTAATAAACTAGTTTGAACAAGTAAATTTATCCATTCTTTTAAAATTCCAAAACATTTCTATTTTCTTATCAAACACAGAGGAATTTTCATTAAATATATTTCCTTTGCTTTTTTATATTTGATATCATAATAAATTTTGAAATTATGGTAACATTAGAATTTAATACTTAATAGAAAACTCATTTGTTATGATAAATGTGAATTTTATAATTAGACAATATTAGAATTTTTTAATAACTAAAAAACATTATGTTTATTTAATATTGTAATATTTCAGACCTATTAATATTTTGTGACTATAAATTGACTAATAAAAAAATGTACTTTAATTATAATTTCAAATTAATTAAAATTTAATGAACTCAAAAAAAAATGATGTGTTTAGTATTACTAAGCCTTAAATATGCTAAAATCACAATTAAAAACTATAATTAGTGTGCTCTGATCCAGAATGTTAGTAACATGGATTAATTTGTATTGATTGTTTACTTTAAAACCACTAAGATTGTAAAGCTTATATTAAGAAATATGATGAATTTCTGTAGATATTTTATAATGAAATCCAAAAATTTCAATAAAGGAAGGAGAAAGTAAAATAAAATAAAAATTTTTAGAGATTATAAGATGCTTAAACCATTCTACTTAGTCTAGGAAAATTATAACAAAAATTTAATGAAATCATGTTAATTTTATAATTAGTAATAGAATATTTTAAATTTTTTAGGATATTGAAACTTTCTTATAATAATAGAATTTAGAAGATGATGATCAAATAATGATGAAAAATTTGTTTTAGGCTAATTTTGAAGGGGAAAACGAATTAATAAAAGACTTTATCTAAAATTAAGACAAGTATACTTTTCAAGATTAGGAATATTCTTGGGAGTCTTAAGGGAGATAATTTGTTGAAGATCTATCTCAAATTCTTTAAGATCTATAGAATTTAGAATTTGTAGAATAAAAATAACCTATAATTTCATATAAATATCAAAAAGTAAAAGGAATAGAAGATTTAAAAGGGATAAATTGTAATATTCAAAAACTTAGATTAGTATTGTATTTATTTAAGTATATTAATTAGATAAGAAAATAATTGGGAAGGGATAAGGAATATATTTCCAAAATTTGTTGGTTTAAATAGTTTATAAATTACTGCTATAAAATCACCTTTAAAAGCTTAAATTTTAGAAGAAATACTAATAGCAATATAATACTTACCTAGATTAGAAAAAGTTAAGATTAATTTAATAGGTTCAAATGCAAATGAATAAACATTAAGATTAATTCTAAAAATCATTTGTAATAAAAATTTGACAGAATTTGGAATTTCTTTTGGATATAGTTAAATTTTATCAGATGAATTTATAAGATAAGTAAACTAATTTAAAGAATTACTAAAAGGAATTTCAAAAATATATATAAGTAATCAGCTACATGAATTTACAGAAAAGTAATAAAAGTTGCTTAAAACATACATAAGTTAAATTGAATTTATTATGTGAGGACTATATGTGTATTAATTATAAATTCAATCTTAAGGAATTTCTATTTAAAGGTTTTTTTTTTTAATTCCAACCACCTTTTTTCTTCCACTATCTATGGTTTGTTTTTTTTCTTCTTCATCTGGAGGGGATTTTTGAGAATGAGGAGAATGTTAGTTAATTATCTCTCTTTCAGATTTTTCATAATCAAGGAACATCTTACCAGTTTGTTTGTTTTATTCTGCCTGTTCTTATTAATACATGCGATTAGTTTTTGTGAAAGAATTGGTTTAGCTTAAAATTTATGGTTAAGTATTAACATTATCTGTTCGACTTTCTTGTTTGCGATCACAAGAATTGACATATTATTGCAATTTATTAATTTCCTCTTCAAGTTTTTTGTTTCTATTTTATTATTTTTTACGAATATAAATGAATAGAGCAATACCCAGGAAAACTAGAAATATAATAACAAACACAATTATGTAAATTTCTGAATTATCTGAGTCTTAATCCATTATTGAAATTTTATTATTTAACTATTAAAACATTATTAGTTTTGTATAAAATAAAAAATAATCTAAATTCATTATGAATATATATTATGTATAGCTATAAATATGGAAATACTACAACACTCATCCTTATAATATAAATTTTAAGTCTTATATATATTATTATTTTATCATTTAGAATTAACTTAATAATAATATAATAATTATTATTCTATATTTAAGAATGAAGTAGATGCTTCACTTATCAACATAAATTTATAAGATAATAATAAAAATATATTTTTTTTTTAAATAATTAATGTTTATTTATTATTGGAATTAAAATAATTCACTATTCTTAATCTTCATTTAGTTAATTCAAAAGAGATAAAATTTCAAATGCTAATGCCTTCTTTGATTAGAAATTTACTAAATACATTTGCTATCCTTCTTATCCTAAATCAGTATCATCAAAATCACCTATAAATATTTATATATATGAATTACCATTGGTTGTATTAATAGCAGGATCAGTAAAATAATTGCCAACTCCTTAAACATCATTTATCATGTATTATCCTTTACTTATAAAGAATGTATAATATGAGAAAGCTTGAGCAAATTTATTTAAATTTGTTATCTCCTCATTAATATAACCATAATTATTGTTATACTTTACAAATTCACCTTTGAAAAATCTTTCGGCTATCCAATATTTATCTAAAGATAAAAATATAATTTAATACTTTTGGTTTCTTCTAAAATTAAAAAGTCACTATAAACAACATTAGGATATTCATTTTTCTAGAAATTCTATTACTCTAATGCATCTGAAATATCACTTTTAAATTTTTTCATCAATTATTAGCATATTAAATGAGATCTACATTCTTGAATAGCCTCAAGTTATGATTGATATGGGTTGCTGCCAAGAGGAGTTTTTATTACATATAATTCTTCTGGTCCTCCATTCTTTTTTTTCATTAAAAAGACATCTTTCATCATTCCAAATGCAAATGGTAATTCAGTTCTGATACAAAACCATTTACCTTCTTCTTTTATTATATAATCCTTATTAGGTTGTTTTCCAATATTATTTATAGATTATAAATTATTATTAAATACCTAATCATTTATTGTTACATTTAAAACTGTAAATACAGTATCTACTACTTTAGTTTATTATTCAAAATTAAAAAAATCTCCTTATTTACATAAAGCCTCCATAGCACCATCTTTATTCTTTGGTCTTTCTTATTATTATTTTTTTGATTTAGTTCCTGATTATTTAACTTAAGTTGCATTAACAGAAGCACTTCCTAAGGATGATGCCATTTTCTCTGCCAACTAATGAACTTAAAGACCTGCAACATCAACAAGTAAAAAAAAATCTTAAGCATTCTTAGCTTCATAAACCTTTTTAAATTCCTAGTACATTTTAGTAGTCTTATCGTTTAAATTAAAACCTATTAAGATGATTTGTTATTCTATCAAATGATGAAGAGTTTGTGTGATGTCGTCATTAGGGTGAAAATCAACAGGATATGTATGATATTTTTTGCCATGACAAGGAGAATCAGTTATCAATATTGCTATCTTAAATTTACTCTTCCATTTGAGATTTTTCATCATTTATTCTAAAGCTCCTCTAACATCTTCTGGAGGATCTCGCCCTCCTTCAAATTTAATATCTTGCATAAATTTTTAAAAATTTTAGATATTGTTGGAGAAGTCAAATTGATAATATGATCCAGTTTTAGGTTTCTATTCAATATCATAATAGGCAATAGATGAAATATTTGTATCTCTATTAGTCTATTATTTGATAATTTTAAAGGATTCTTAAACACAGCATCTTGCCTGTTCAACATATGGTTACATAGACCTAAATAATCATTAATAAATTTATACAGTGTAAAATCAACAACATAACAAATATCTAATTTTCCACATTCTTCTAAAGAACCTTATGTTTTCTTCATCATAATTTCTTTGATCATCTTGTTCTCTTATTTTCTGTTCTCTAACCTTTATTGATCTTTCTGAGCTTTTTTTAATTTATTTTCCTAATATTCTTATTCTTTCAATAATTAAGCTTATTTTTATTCTTCTTCATTTTTTTACTAATTTTATTACATTTCATTTTTTAATTTATTAATCTCATCTTCAAATTTTGATTTATTTTGATCGCTTGATTAGTTTTGTTATAGTTCTCTTATATAATTTTTATAGGTATTTTCAATAGAATTAAACTGGTCTTTTAATGCAATTTTAGATTCTTCTTCACCTTTTAACCTATTATCAAGTTAAGAATTTTAAAATTTTGAATCTCTTAATAGTTTTGTTAGATTTTCAATATTTGAATTTTTTTCTTCCAATTATTTATTGAGATAATTAGATTTTTTTTACCAATTAGCTATTTCGCCTCGTGCATCCATAAAATTTTTATGTTCGTACTTTACTTAATTCTCTAAATCATAAATTTGTTTTTCCAATTAATTTAATTTTTCATCTTTTTATTATAACTAATCCTCAATGCTATTTTTCTCATCATTTAATAATTTATATTTTTTTTTTTCCTCTTATAATAAAGCTTATTGCTGATTATAAAATTGTTACATCTATTTCTCATAATCTGGTGTTGTATTCTTTGAATTTTAAGTCATATATTATATTCTCTAGTTATTCTAATTCAACTATTAAATTTCAGTATTCTTCGAAACCAATTATTGATTTAGTGATTTGCATTAGTTTTCAAGTTCGCTTATTTTTAAATTTGTTTTAAATTAGTCAGATTTATACTTCAATATATCATCATCTTTTTTCTTTTCATCTTCTTCTAATTATTTCAATCTTTCTCTCTCAGTTTAAAGTTGTGTTTAATAATTTTTAATTTCTTTATTTTTCTAATTTTGAAGTTCATCTTTTTCATTTTCTAAATTCTAGATTTTTGTTTCTAATTCTCTAATTTAAGAGGTTAATAATCTTAATCTTTCATTATTATTATTGGGTTGTTGTTGAATATAGAAATTTTGAGGATAAACTTAATTTGGAACATAAGAAAATTGTTAGGTTTGTTGTTAATGATTTTAGTTGTTTTGAATTGGTTGGGGAACCTAATAAATTTGATTTTGGATCCCATTTTGCGATTATATTTATTAAACCTATTAATGGTATTATTATTATGCTAAAAATTATTGCTAATATAATTGAAGATAATAAGCCTTGATTTGTTCTGGAGAATAATCTAATAAAATAGTTAAAAAAAATTACTTTATTATTAATAAGCCAGTTGTTCTGGAGTTAAACCTAATAAAATAGTTATGAAAAATTACTTGATTAATAATAAGCCTAGATTTGTTCTGGAGTATAATCTAATAAAATAATTAAGAAAAATTACTTTATTGATTTATTTCTTTTTACTGATTAGCATATTGCTAATTTTCAGAGCCTTGTTGGTTAAAGTTTTACATTTGATAATTTAATATTTAATAATGAACACAAAATAAAGCACATAAAAAATATGATAATAGAATTAGGGAATTAATTTATTAATATAAATTATATACATTATATAAATAATATATAATTATGCTTAATTTATAATTGCAAATACCTGGTTCAAATATAGGCTAATATTCTATTAGGTTTCCATAAAGTAAGCAAATTTCAGAACTTATTGAATGGATCTATGATAATTTTAATAAGTATATATTATATAAGCTAAATTAGATTTTTTAAATTGTAGAATAAAAATAAAATCAATATATACAATTATGGAAATGGATAAAATTATCGTTATTCAAATTAATTGTTAAGTTCCTGTCTTAAAAATAATGATATTTTAAAATTGGGTGAAGTTTAATCAGAAAAAGAACTCCATTTTTATTTAGAATATCAATCATTTATTACAGAAATTATAATTGAAGATGATATTACAATTCAAGAATTAATGGAGTTTGCTTATTGTACTTTCGATATTTCTAATGATATTAAATTAGATTTTATTTATGAAAACTTTAACTTATCAAATTAAAATATCAAAAAGAAATTAGCAGAATTTAATATTTAAAATAATGGAAAGATAAAAATTGTACCCCATAAAATTATTGACAATAATTTAATAAATATTTAGATATTGTTCAGAGATACTGGCAGTAGTATTAAATAATAATTTTTTAAATCTGATATTTTAGCTAAAATTATTCAAGCAGCAATACAGTATTTAGGATTAAATCAGTAAATTGAATATATTATAAAGGAATATGGCTGCATTGAGTGTTATTTATAAAGGCCGCTATTATAATAACGATAAGACTACTTTATCGGAGATGAAATTAGTGGAAGATGATATAATTGAAATTAAGATCTCTTATTGTGGAGGATAATCATATTTTGAAATAAAAGATTGAATAATAATTAGGATATAATATAAATAATCCATATTTTCTTTTATTAATAAACATTTAAATAATCAAAATGAAGTAGAATTTATTTAATATATCTCTCTTAAGTATATAATATTTTAAATAATTCTAAAATATTAGTATATACAATAATTTTATAATTTATTTCATTTGATAATATATATAGAAGATATTTTAATAATAAAATTAAATAGGATATAAATGACATTTGATAGTGAGTTTAATATATATATATATATAATTTTTTTATTATTATAAAAAAGGAATGCATTTAACCCTTTTATATGTTTTATGATATACTTTTTATATTACTTAAATTAAATTCTTTTTAATAATTTCTTAAAAAATATATTAAAGAAATAGAAAATATATTTTAAGAGATTCAAAATAAATTATATTAAATTCATGATTCATTCCATTATGATGTTGCTCATTTAATTAAATTATTTTAAATTTATACTTCAACTTCTAGAATCTTATCAAATAATAAAATATTTATTTTGCAAATAACCTTTAATATATTAAATAAAATGGATTCTCAAGTATAGGGATTTAAGTTGTACAGTTCTAATCAGAATAATGAAATAATAAATAAACGAAGAAAACTTAGTATTGGAAGTGAAGGTAGTGATTCAACTGGTGAAAAATTAAATGAAAGCTTCAATAGATTAACTTTAAGTGCTGGAAATCCATAAAGCTCTTTCCAACCTTTTGTTAAGATTCCTATTACTTAAGTTCGACCTCCAGAAAGACCTTTAACTCAACCTTCTTTAATGATGGGAATTTAAAAATATCTGAAATTAGGAGAAGATTTGGAGGCTGAAGATCTCTTAACAAAACCTTATAATGATCTTTAATAAATCTAGAATCTTCAATAATTACCTCAGTAGAGACTACATTTTATACCATTTGGAATGCCTGCTAATTATAAAAAATTAATGTCGGAGGCAAAGAATGTTTTAATAGGTGAAATAAAAGTTGAGGAAGAAAGATAAAAAAGAAATATAGATGATTTTTTGATTGAATAAAAACTATTGAATCCAGGTTAAAAATTAAGTAAAGAAGAAAGGGCAGCCAAGGTGAAAGCATATTTAGAAAAAAAGCATAATCGATTATGGAAATAAGTGAGGTACTTTATTGATTTAATAATCCACAGATACCCAGTTAGAAAAAACCTTGCTGAATTTAGAGAGAGAGTATAAGGAAGATTTACAAAATCTGATAAACCAAGATTCAATTAAAGTCTAATACTATTAGATAAAGAAGAAAGAAAAATGGAAACATTAACTAATTCATATGCTTGATCTATTATTATTTAATCTATATGAAAATTTATTTAAGATTTCATATATAACTAAGTTTGTTACTTAATTATCTACCTTTAAATTTGTTAATAATATATATAGTTAAAATATACTTAAATATAATAAATAAATAAGTTATTTTAAACATAAATAAACTTAAAAAGTATTAAAATTTCTTAGAAATATTATTATATGTAATTTCCAGATTAAGAATACTTCTATTATGATTATAATTTATTTAGATTCTAATCATAAATAAAATAATCATGTTAATATTTATAGAAAAAGAGATATTAATATAAATTGTTTACTTTGGATGTAAATTTAAGAAATAAAATTGAAAGATTTAGATAGAAAAGCATATCTATTTAAAATCTATTAAATTATTAAAGCTATATGAATAAATCATAAATTTAATTAGTGTGAAGCTTATTATTCAGTATTTTATTTTGATGGATTTTAATGAAAATTGATTGATTATTAATATTAATGCAATCATTAAATGATGGAGAGTCTCACTCTACAACTTTAGAGCCATCAAAGTAACTTATTTTAATAAGTAGGTCATTCAAATCTAGAGCCATCTTTGATACAATGGAAGTTTCAACTAAATAATTCTATATGTTTGATAATGACACAGGGGAAATAATTGACCTAAGAACTTCTTAAATCGTTGAATATGATTAAATTTAATTCTAAAAAGAAAATGCTTGGCAGGATTTTTGGAAAGAATCTCAATAGAAAACTTTGGAGCTAATTAAAGCTTGCAAATTAGGTTAGTTTTCAATTGTAGAATCAATAATATAATCTTCAAACTTCATTGATATAAATGCTAAAGATTCAAATGATTAGACATGTTTACACTTTGCATGTAGTTCTGGTAACTTTTAAATAGCTTATCATCTAATTTAAAAAGGAAGTTATGTGAATGAATAAGATTGTGATGGATATACTCCTTTGATGGTCAGTGTAAAAAACAATCACTTAGATTTAGTTGATTTGCTCTTATATAACAAAGCAAATGTTGACCGATAAGATTTTTAAATGAACACACCTCTACATATAGCTTTGGATAATAATTGTTTAGAAATTATTAAACTCTTGTTAAAATATAAAGCTGATCCCTATATATAAAATGCAGACAATATAAATGCACTTTAACTAATATCAAATACAGAATAACAATAAATATTCAAATAATTTGGATATGAAAAATAATATATAACGGAGAAAATGATATCAAGTAATAAAGAAACTAAGGAATCAAATTCATCTCATCGTTCAAGTATTAGTAGAATAATGAAGTTTTTGGGTTAATCTGTTCCAACTAATTCCTTATAGAAGTAAACTTATTAAGCAAGATAATCTGTTGTACCAATAGGAGGTCAAAATATTGGACCAGATTCATTTACATATCATAAAGAATTAGGAAAAGGTTCTTTCGGTATCGTTTATTTAGTTAAAAAAAAAGATGAATTGAATAGTTTATATGCAATGAAAGTATTAAGAAAAGAGAAAATTAGTTAAAAATTATTACCTTATATTTAAACTGAAAAATCAATCTTATCAGTAATAGATCATCCTTTTATTGTGAAATTACATTTTGCTTTCTAAACACAATACAAATTATTTTTAGTTATGGATTTTTGTCCTGGAGGAGATTTAACTAAACTTTTAGATTTAAAATCTAAATTACCAGAACATGTTGCTAAAATGTATACTGCTGAAATCATCTTAGCTATTGAAGCTCTTCATTAAAATAAAATTATGTATAGAGATCTAAAACCTTAAAACATTATTATAGATAACAAAGGTCATTGTATGTTAACTGATTTTGGTTTAGCTAAAACTGATATTGAAAATGAAGATACAAAATCTTTTTGTGGAACTCCTGCTTATATGGCACCAGAAGTTGTTAATAAAAAATTATATAATCGTTCTGTTGATTGGTATTAATTAGGTACTATAACACATGAAATGCTATTTGGTATGCCTCCCTATTATAGTCATAATAGAGAAGAATTGTTTGAAAATATCAAAAATAAATAACTTAAATTCCCTTAAAATAATTTATCAAAGGAAGCCCTTTCATTCATTTAATAAGTAAAATCATATCTATTTCAGTTATTAGAGAGAAATCCTTCTAAAAGATTAGGTGCAAAAAAAGATTCTGAAGAAGTTAAGGCTCATCCCTGGTTCTAAGGAATTAATTGGGATGATGTAATGAATAAAAAATTACCTGTTCCTACTCCTAGCATTATGAATCAAGCCAATCAGACTCTACAAGTTAATTTTGATGAGGATTCACAAATTCAATAGAGAAAAACTATAGATAATTGGACTTTTATTTCTGATTGATTATATATATAAATTAAACTATGGAATATGAAATTATGCTGCTATGCAACACTTTAGGAATAGGAATTGTTGTGATGATAATCCTCTATCATTTAGTTGGTACCAAAGCAGATAAGAAAACATATTGATTAATATTCATATTTCGTGTCCAAGCCTTACCTTATGATGTCCCTTTGTAAATATAAACTATGAACTTTGATTTCGTTATTCTAACTTCTTTTATGATTAATTCAATAAATTGTTGATTGAATCTAATGTCCCCAAACTACCATCATGTCTCATTTAATCACCCCATAAAAAAGAAGCAGTTTCTAATGCTTTGTGCAATTTATGTTACAATACTAATAAATATGAATCCAACAAATATACAATTTTTATTAATAGGGTCTATCCTTTCCATTCTTGCTTAGTATTTTTTCACATCATCAATTTGAGAAAACTGATTTTATATTATGTAACAATACCATTCCTTAAATGTCTAACTTTTTCTAATTTCCTGATGGGAAATATTCAAATTTATTTAATTTGCTTAGAAAATCCTGTTTTTTACTTTGATTTTTTTCTGCATGTTGTTTTTACATTTAATAAAATGGGGTTTATTCAATTCCAATTCCTGGAAATCTAACATACTAATTCATTAAGAATAATAGTTACTTCTTTGTTTTTTCCAGACTCATTTATTTTATCCCAAACTTCCTTTGTTCCATAAGCTTTAAATGGATTAATTTATTCCTTTTAATTCATTTATAATATGTTATTTGATACTAAATAAATTCTTCAGACTAATTTATAGTTATAATAATTCTAAAAATATTGAACATACTATAAAGATAATATAATAACATATCATAATATTTTATTATTTTAAATATTATACAATATGCAAGATTATATTAATTTATTTTTCTATGTATCTCTTTAAGAATTTTACTTACTTTTGATCAATTATTTAATTCATTAAGAAATCAGCAAATATAATCTAGAGTACTTAAAAATTTAAGAATCTTTTTTTCTTGATTGGTTAGGTAATAAAAATAAAGGGAACACTTGAAAAATGTTCTTAAATAACCTATTTCAAAAAATAAGAGATCATTTAAAATATAAATAAGTAAGAAATAATATCTCAAGATTTAAGATTATTTAATTAAAATATAAACTAATTCATGTTTCATTTAAAAAGAGTGAAAAGATTAAATACTTTGAGTAAAATATAAAATAAGCTTCTAATAACTCTTCAAAAATTCTTATATAATGTCAATTGTAACGATGATAGAATGCTTAGGCTTTAATAATTGATAGAAATCCATTATAATTAGATCCTCCTCTATTGTATATTCTAACTTTATCTACTAATTGGTCTTTAAATCTAATTTTAATGACTCCTGCAAATGAGGCATTTTCATAAATCTTTTTTTCCTATTCTAAAAATGAAATATATATTTCAAAATCGTAATGTACATCAACTAAACGATCCCAAATTTCAACAACTACAGTGTTGAGTTCATAATTTTTAAATAATGTTATTTCAATAGAATTATGAAGAGAACAATATGTATAGCCAATTGCACTATTCACATAATAAATAGCATCTCGATTTAATTAAGAGTTCATCTGGCCACCATTAAAATAAGTATTTTATCTACTAATTAAATTAATTTATTGAAAGTTAAGCACATCTTTATAGTTTCCTCTTAGAATTCTTGCTTTTTTTTGAATTTAATTTAAAGTACAGCAATTAGCAATAGTAAGAATTAATAATAAAACTTTAAAAATCATTTTAAAAATATTATATAAGTATAAGTGGGATATAATAAGGGTTGAACAATTATACTTTAAAATTCTATGGAATAAAGAAGAGAGGAAAAAATGTATCTTTATATTTTATAATCAAACCCATCTATTTCTAACAGCATCATAATTTAAATGTGATTTTCCTCCTTTTAATTAATTGGGTCTTCTAGGTAATGCAAGGACAGGACAGTAATTTTCATCTCTTTATTTTTCTGTATAATCCATTTAATAAGTTGAATTTCCAATTTGTCCTGGGTCTCCATTAATATTACGTTAAACTGGATCTCTACATCTATCTTATTTGCTTATTGGTTTTGGAACATATGATGTCTTATAAGTTGTAGATCCAAAATCAACATTGACATTTGGACCATCTTTTACTAATGGTTTGAATTATTCAGATCCACCGACAGGTTTTTAGATAAAATCTACACCATATGTTGTATTCCATGGTACTTGTCTAGGAGCTGACTTATATGGCTATTTTATTATAGAACGTTTCATTGGTAATGGAAATCTATTTAGTAACTGATATACTTCTAATAATTAGTTTAGTAGTCTGATAAACTAGTAAATGGTTAAGAAGGTTGTAATTCAGGTAATTACCTTGCTTCTCTTTCAGGTAAAGGTCTCTATATGTATTCACTTTAATATTAACTCATTAAAGTGGATGGATCATATGAATGTTATTATGGTTATCTATCATAATTGAATGGCTTTTATTTGTTTGATTTCCAAGGTTAATAGTCATGTCTATAATTAATTTATTATATTTTACTAGAATGTTGATTAGAAATCACCATGCATATTATCAGTGTGAATTGGACAATGATGTTTTCCACATTTACATATTTCACATACACATCTATTGTGAAATTGATTTGAGGATTGTGCTGTCTTAGAAGAATGAAATAGGGATTTGATTGTATTATTAATCATTAAATAATCATTGCTATTACTTCTATTCTTTTATTATATTACGCAATTCTTCAGATTGTTTTTTCCAATTTGGATCAAGTGGAGCTTTTCCCTATTTCTTTTATAATTATTTCTCCTTTATTTAACCTTGTCTTTATAATTTTTATTAATCATTTGACACTATTCTTGCTTATTTGGAATTGAATTCTTATCTTTTCTATTGAAATACCTATTTACACACTTTAGTATGTTTTTCTAAAACATCTTATTTAAATTGTCTTCCACAACCCTCAGGACAAAGAACTAATTCAAGATCTTCAATTGGTTCTGCTTCCTCTAATTGTATTACCATATTCAATACCAAGTTGTTATTGCACTTTGGCTTGATCTGCAATTGCAATTTTATTTTCAATTGGATTTTTTGAACCTAATAATGCTGCTTCTCTTTTATTCTAATTACCTATTGATGGCATATAGGAATCTGATTAACTTTGTTTAACCTATTAAACTTCCTTTTTTTCTTATGTTTATTATATTTCTCTCTTTTCAACTTAAATTTATTTCCTAAATAGCTCCTCTTAACCAGGTAAATAAAGTCCTTAATTAATAGGGGCTGTATTTTTCTTTTCGTCTGATCGTTAGATTCTATCTTTAAGAGGTACCTTCTCTTAAAATGAACCTGTTTTAAAGAAATCTTCTTTAGTGCTAGTTAACTAAGGTTCTTATTCTTATGGTTGAGTGGAACGGTTGCGAATATTGAAGGTTGGTTTGCTGGCAAAATTGGGTTTTGAATTAATAGTAGAAAAATCTGACTTTTAAGTGCTTTCTAAGGATAAAGTTTATTCTTGTTTTTTAAATGACCCAGAGGTACTATCCATCTTCAAATTCGGCTTATAATTCATTTATTTTAATTTTTATTATATTTTTATAATACTTTTTAACAATTATGTTTATTTTAATAAAAAATTTAAGCTAAATTTGTAAATAAACTCACTTTGATATACAAACATTATAAATATATTATGAAATAAAAAATTGTATTATCTTATATGAATTTAAATTAATCATAAGAAATCTTTGAAGATAAATTGAAATGTATACAATTTATTATAAATTAAAGACTATTTAATAAGTAATCATGAATACAATAAATGTGAATTGGATATTATAGGTAGATAGTAAATAAGAATAAAAATAATATTATGTATTGGTAAAATTAAATAAATATATTATGATTTTAGATGTTACATAGAGAACTGAACCATATACAACTAATTTTCGAGTATCTAAGGAGTAACTGTGTTAAGTGGCTTATGCATGTTAAGAAAGGACATTCACAGAAGAGATAGATCAATTAGAAGAATTGGGAGGACAAGAATTTTTAGAGGTTTTATATAGTTTTAACTTTAGATGGCTTTATGCTCTAATTATAAGAATGGATTATTATTAAATGATGTAAGTTTGAGGGAACAGAATTTTGGTCATAATCGTAAACCACTAATTCTTCCAAAATCTTATTGTTAATTATTATGGGGTGCTTTAGAAGATTTTACTATGAGGATACTATGTTTAGCTGCATTAGTGAGTATTGCAGTTGATGTGGCTACTGCATCATCAGATTATCGTGCTTATGCATGGATAGAGGGTAAAACTATTGAAATGTAAGAGTGTTAGGTTTTGCAATTCTAGTGGCAGTTATAATATCAACAAATGCTAATGCAATTAATGATTATTAAAAGGAGAAATAGTTTCAAAAGTTAAATGCAGTAGCAGATGAACGAAAAAGAGTTACAGTAATAAGAAATGGATAAAAATGTGATATTCATATGAGTGAAGTAATGGTTGGAGATATTGTAATGATATTTGAAGGAATGGAGATACCAGCTGATGGTCTAGTACTAGAAGCCTCAGATCTAACAGCTGATGAGTCAGCAATGACAGGAGAAACTGATCCCATAAAAAAGAATACATTAACATATTGTTTAGCTAAAAGAAATCAAACTGATTCAGCTACAGCTGGACATCATGAAGTTCCATCTCCTATTATGATGAGTGGTACAAGAGTTTTAACAGGAGAAGGTAAAATGATTATTTTAGTGGTTGGAGATTTATCATGTGCAGGTAAAATTAGTGCTTTACTTCGTTAAGATGAACCAGAAGGTAATTTTAATATATTAGTATATTAGCTACTCCTTTGTAAGTCAAATTAGCTGCAATTGCTGAAGATATAGGTAGATTTGGATTGTACAGTGCAATCTTAATAGTTATTGTTATGTGTATAAGATTTGCAGTTGAAAAGGCATAAATTGAATGGGAAAACAAATATATTGTAGAGATTGTCAATTTCTTTATTATTGGAATTACAGTTATTGTAGTAGCCATTCCTGAAGGATTACCTTTGGCAGTAACACTCTCTTTAGCATATTCAACTAAATAGATGTTGAGAGATTAAAATTTAGTTAGGAAAATGGCAGCATGTGAAACTATGGGAGGAGCATCAATGATATGTTCTGATAAAACTGNATAATCGTAAACCACTAATACTTCCAAAATCTTATTGTCAATTATTATGGGGTGCTTTAGAAGACTTTACAATGCGAATCCTTTGTTTGGCAGCATTGGTGAGTATTGCAGTTGATGTTGCAACAGCATCATCAGATTATCGTGCTTATGCATGGATAGAGGGTAAAAATATAGAAATTTAAGAGTTATAGGCTTTGCAATTCTAGTGGCAGTAATAATATCAACAAATGCAAATGCAATTAATGATTATTAAAAGGAGAAATAGTTTCAAAAGTTAAATGCAGTAGCAGATGAACGAAAAAGAGTTACAGTAATAAGAAATGGATAAAAATGTGATATCCATATGAGTGAAGTAATGGTTGGAGATATTGTAATGATATTTGAAGGAATGGAAATACCAGCTGATGGTCTAGTATTTGAAGCTTCTGATCTAACAGCTGATGAGTCAGCAATGACAGGAGAAACTGATCCCATAAAAAAGAATACATTATCATATTGTTTAGCTAAAAGAAATCAAACTGATTCAGCTACAGCTGGACATCATGAAGTTCCATCTCCTATTATGATGAGTGGTACAAGAGTTTTAACAGGAGAAGGTAAAATGATTATTTTAGTGGTTGGAGATTTATCATGTGCAGGTAAAATTAGTGCTTTACTTCGTTAAGATGAACCAGAAGGTAATTTTAATATATTATTATATTAGCTACTCCTTTATAAGTCAAATTAGCTGCAATTGCTGAAGATATAGGTAGATTTGGATTGTACAGTGCAATCTTAATAGTTATTGTTATGTGTATAAGGTTTGCAGTTGAAAAGGCATAAATTGAATGGGAAAACAAATATATTGTAGAGATTGTCAATTTCTTTATTATTGGAATTACAGTTATTGTAGTAGCCATTCCTGAAGGATTACCATTGGCAGTAACTCTCTCTTTAGCATATTCAACTAAATAGATGTTGAGAGATTAAAATTTAGTTAGGAAAATGGCAGCATGTGAAACTATGGGAGGAGCATCTATGATATGTTCTGATAAAACTGGTACTTTAACTCAAAATAAGATGACTCTTGTTAATATTTGGAATGAGAATATAATTGAATTGGAAGCTTATTAAACTTGCAATTTGATTGATTATCTGCCTTAATAATTAGCAGATATTTTTATATAATCAGCTATTGTAAATTCAAGTGCAATGCTTAGACCAGAACCTAAAGGATCTAAGACTGAAATCTCATTTCTTGAATTTATGGATAGATGTCAAAAGCCTTATGAAGAATATAGAGAAAAATATCCTATTATAGTTAAGTATCCATTTAGTAGTTAAAGAAAGAGAATGTCAATGATTTTAGATGTTGGAGGATAGTAAAGATTAGTATGCAAAGGAGCTTCAGAAATGGTATTAGCAGCATGTACCTAATTTCATTCAAAATCAAATGGAGTCATAAAAATCAATTCTAAGGTTGTTGAAGATGCAATTGAAAGTATGGCAAAAAAAGCATTAAGAACAATATGTTTGGCATATAAGAATATTCCTAATAATGCTGATATGACTAGTAAAGATGATAAAGGTGTTTATAATATAGAATAAAATGACTTGGTTTTATTAGCAGTCTTAGGCATTAAAGATATTATTAGATAAGAAGTACCTAGAGCTATTTAATTATGTAAGAAAGCTGGAATCAAAGTCAGAATGGTGACTGGTGATAATATAACTACAGCAAAGGCTATTGCAATTGAATGTGGAATCATTACTAATCCTGAAGATAGTATAGTAATGGAAGGACCAGAATTTGTTAGAAGAATTGGAGGTGTTGTTTGTAAGAATTGTCATCCAGAAAATTGTAATTGTGTTAGGGATAGTCAGACAGCTTAAAGAGAAGGCAAAAAATTAAGAATTGACACTATTGCTAATCCTGAAGAATTTGATAAAATATATCCAAATCTAGATGTTTTAGCTCGTAGTAGACCAGAGGATAAATATGCCTTAGTAACTGGTTTAATTGAAAGAAATCATGTTGTTGCTGTGACAGGAGATGGAACTAATGATGCTCCTGCTCTAAAAAAAGCAGATGTTGGATTTGCTATGGGAGTTTCAGGAACTGAAGTAGCTAGAGAGGCTGCAGCTATAATTTTATTAGATGACAATTTCAATTCAATAGTTAAGGCTGTTATGTGGGGGAGAAATGTGTATGATAACATAAAGAAGTTTCTTAGATTTTAATTAACTGCTAATTTAGTAAGTGTATCATTGACATTAATTGGGGCTGCAGTATTAAGATAAGAAATACTAAAACCAATTTAATTGTTATGGGTTAATTTAATTATGGATACTTTAGGTTCTTTGGCTTTGGCAACAGAACCTCCATCTGAGAAACTTTTAAATCGTAAACCTCATGATAGAAATGAATACATTATTTCAAAAAAAATGTTTAAGTTTATAGTAGGAACTGCTCTAATTTAAGTAGGAGTTGTACTTGTCATAGTTTTTTTAGGTGATAAATTTCTACCTGAATATAAAGATGCATATGATACAAGTGTATTTAGTGGTCCAAAAATAAGATTTAAATACAGTAATCATAATTGCGTTACAGATTTTGAATCATTAAAATCATTAAGATTAACTAAACTAAATTATACATCATCTACTGATAATCCAGATGATTCTGATAAATGTTTAAAAACATAATGTGTCTGTTAAAATGAAGAATGTTATGAAATTTAATGTCCTCCTTGTCTTTATAATGAAGATTCATGTTCAATTGTTGCTAGTGGAAGATTAATGACAGTTTAAGGAGATTAAGATTATTATATTATGTATAATATTGAACATGAAGGAAGTAGACATGTAATTATTATTATTTAATATTTTTAGTTTACTTATGTATTTAATGTGTTTATCATGTTATAATTGTTTAATTTCTTAAATAGTAGAAGGATTACTGATGAAATTAATTTTCTTGACAATATTACAAATCATTCTGCTTTCCTTATAATAGTTCCTTTCATATTCTGCATTTAAGTATTAATGGTTACTTTTGGATCTGGTGCTATTGGACTATATAGTTGTTATGGATTATAAATAAAATAATGGTTGATTGGAATTGGATTTGGTAGTATCTCATTATTAGGATGTCTAATCCTTAAATTAATTCCAGAAGATAATTTTTGTAAATAGCTTGGACCCCAAAAGATTGTACCTATCTAACAAGAAGCCAAAATCTCTTAATAAAAAGTTGAATAAAGTGAAAATGCTCTTGCAAAACATTATAACTTAATAACAAGACATCCAGATCAATGAATATAAATTATTTTAATTAATGAATCTACTCAAAAAAGCAACTACTGTTATATGTTCTGTTCAAGAACATTAAGAAGTTGATTAAAAGATTATCCATCTATGTATTGACTCTAAATGTTAGATTTCTAAAAAAGCATTATGTGGTCTATGTTTAGGAGAAGAACATTATGGTCATAAATCAATTAATCTCTCTACATTAGACACTTTAATAAAGAATGAATGGACTCGTGAAATAAAACAATACAATTAAAAGAATAAAGATTTGACAGATTCTATTCAGATGAGCATAAATGCAATTTTGAACAAAGTTAAACTACTTTAAGATTAGATATCATAATTTGTTAATTAGGATATGTAGGAGAGTAAAGTAGGGATTTTAAAACGTAAATATATTGATTAGCCAAATCTAACTGAAAAAGATTATGAATAATTAGCAAAAGATGTTTGTGATATTATACATTATAATAATGGTGTTCCAGATTTTAAACCAATTGATTATGAACCAAATGATAAATTCTAGAGTCTTGCATAAAAGTTAATTTTTGATGCAACACTCTTTTGTAAAGATATTTCACTTATTACCAAATCTAACATTGTTCACTAAAGTTTTGCTGAACAAATACAAGATTTATTATATTAGATTAATAGTATAACAAATCTAATTGAAAAACCCTTAATATATTTGATGTAAAGTCGTCGACTCTTTCCTAATGATAAAAGTGAAACATAATCAATGCAAAGAATCGATTTTGATTAATAGAGTGTATTTGGTACAATAACTTAATCACCTTTTTGCATTTAGAAATAAGTCAAATTCAAGACTTTAGAAATGAAAGGGTTTATTAAGATTTATGAAGAGTTATTCAATAAACCATTTACTTAAACACATATTGAATTAATTAAATAAAGATGTACTCCTTAATCTTAAATCTGTATTGGTGGAGTAAGTGTTAATGATCCTGATTAATTTATATTATGTGCAACTGATTATGCATATGAATTTTACACAGAAACATAAGATTTAAAATTTGCAAGGAAGAGTCGTAATGGAGAAATATATTGGTATTATGTAAGAAATCGTTGCATTGGCTTTAGTCCTATGAGTAAAGTGGATTTAAAATATCCTGATGTAGATAATGAGGAAGGAGATTTAAGATTTTCTTTGTGGCTCTTTCATGGATAAGGTGGTTATAGAATTGGAAGATTAGAAAGTTTAGAATAAAGTGTTGAATATAAATGTGTGATTTATTTAAAGAAATGATATTATATTAGAATATCAATCAAGAATTTTTGTATGTTTCAGTTTAGCAATTGCTATATTTATTAATTTTTGTTAGATAAGTTTTTCTCTATTAAGATTGACTTAAATAAACAGTTAATATTTTAATTTTTGAATTTATTTTACAAAAATGCTAAGTATCATTATTTGTATATTAAAGCACAAAATTTCTATGATTTAAGAGGAGGTGATAAGATGAGCACCAATAATAGATAATTAGAGAGGTATGAAAAATTGGAAAAAATTGGAGAGGGTAATGCATAATTCAAATGTGTTTAGGAACTTATGGTGTAGTTTATAAGGCTCGTGATTCAGTGACTAAAGAATTAGTGGCTCTAAAGAAAATCAAATTAGAAAATGAAGATGAGGGGGTTCCCTCCACTGCTATGAGAGAGATCTCAATTTTGAAAGAACTTCAACCTCATCCAAATATTGTGGGTTTAAAAGAAGTCATTTATTAGCCAAATGAGAAGAAGCTCTACTTAGTTTTTGAATATGTCGAGATGGATTTTAAAAAATTCCTTGATTAAAATAAACACAATCTTACAATTAGTCAAATCAAAGTAAATATTTGAATTCTAATAAATAGCATTTCACATTCTAAATCTTGAATGGTCTTAATTATTGTCATTCCAGACGAATCATTCACAGAGATCTTAAACCATAAAACATTTTAATTGATAAATCAACTGGGATTATTAAATTGGCGGACTTTGGTTTAGCTAGAGCATTTGGGGTTCCAATCAAAACTCTTACCCATGAAGTAGAGACTCTATGGTACAGAGCTCCTGAGATCTTATTATCATAAAAATAGTATTCATTAGGTGTTGACATGTGGTCTGTGGGATGTATACTTACAGAAATGGTTGAAAAGCATGGACTATTTTGTGGTGATAGTGAAATTGATTAAATTTTTAAGATATTCTAATATCATGGTACACCAACTGTTTAAGATTGGCCAAACATAGCAGATTTACCAGATTTTAAACCTACTTTTCCTCGTTTCAGACCAACACCACCTGAATAATTTTTTAAGAACTTTGATAAAGTAATTTTATTATCATAATGAATAGGTTGGTTTAGATTTAGTTACCAAAATGATTGCTTTGGATCCAGCAAAAAGAATCTATGTTAAGGAAGCAATGAAACATCCTTTCTTTGATGACCTAAATAAGGAAGACCTAGTCAAGTATTTTCCCCCAGGATAACAAAACTTGGCTATGCAATATGGAAAATGAATTAATTAAATAATATTAATATGGGATATAAGATTTTAAATTATAAAATGTCATCAATATAATGAAAATATCATTTACTCATTTGAAAATTATAAATTGATTTGATAGATTAATAGTTGAATGAATTCAAGTGATGATGAATAGAGATTGGATATATAATGTGTATATTCTGATTTAAATTATATATATATTTCATATTTATATATATATATATCATTTAGAAATAGAAGGTAAAGAATAGTAAAAGTTCCTTTGTTTAATCTACAAAATGTTATATATATTTATAATAACAATAATATTAGAAATTATTTATTAAATTAAATAAGAGAGTGAATGAATCTCTCTTATTTATGTTGATAATTATAGTAATTATCTTAATGAACTACTCAATAAAATTAGTTTAAAAGATTTATAGTTAAATTAAATAAGATTCTCTGAATAATAAAGGAAACTTATTAAAAAATAAAAAATTATCATGTTTTTTAGAGATAAGCAATGACAATTGATATGTCATCTACAACTTCATCTTCCTAATGCCATCTTTAAGTAGAAAGTTTGACTATATGATCGCATATCTCATTTAATTTTTTAGCTGTCATATTAGGTTGCCAATATTAAACAACTATCTTTTAGATTTCTTCATTAGAAAAGAATTCCCATACTCCATCACTTGCTACAACTAAGAATGCACAATTTGTATTTATTCTATAATGAATTATTTCAGGTTCACAACTTACTCCAACTGTTGATGCTACATAATCTCCAAAAGATCTACTCATGGCCAATCCTGGAATTTGATCATGTAACAACCAAACTCTTGGTGGACCAATCATTTCTCCATTTTCACTAATAAATGGTTCCACTCTTCCTTTAGATGAGATTATTCTTTTGTATTCATTAGGTAAATCTGGTTTATGATCATTACTTAATTCAATGGTTTTCCATTTTTAATTATTCTATTACTAAATTAAAATCTATTTTATAATTTAAATAAAAGTTTACTGATCTTGAATCTCCTATATTTGCACACCATAAATGAGGTCCAGAAATCAAAACCAAAGAACAAGTTGTTCCACTAAATGTAATATCTATACCACAATTTGATAAATCTTTTTGCATTTTCAAAAAACTTTAAGTCATTGCTTTAGTAATACTATTATAATGATTTTCACCAATATCTTTTTCTTACATTCCAATATTTGATTTAATTTATTAATCTATGATATTTGGTAACAATTTCTTAACTAATTATGACACATAATGTCCATAAACACCATGACCATCACAAACAGAAAAAATGTATCTATTTTTAATTCCACCCAAATTATTAGTAACAATTATACTATCTTAATTAGTTTTAGTTTATCCTTATCCATTTTATCCAGCTTGGGATCTTATAATTTATATAACCATACTTAGAATAAAATAAATTAACATAATCTTGCATTTCATTATCTAGAATAAATGTATTTACTAATGTAGCTTAACTGGTTGATCGACCATGTAACATTACAATTTGATTAGAAACTTTTGTTTTAATATCTTGTTCTATTGTTTAAGAACCCAATTTAGCTCTTGATACAGAGGGTCTAGTATCAGGAGTAGATTCAGATATTAATTTGATTATTGATCCTCTAATTTATTACTAAATTAATTAACCAAATTATTTACAGTAGATGTTCCATCTGTAGTTGTATCTTTTCTTTTTGAACTTTTCATCTCTTAGATAGTCTCATCCTTGATTTATATATTGTTATTTAATTGAGTATCTGCTCTTCGAAGATTAGGTAATTTCATTGGAGATTATGACTATTTAAATATTATAAATACTTCTATTTTGGTTGCTCCATTAATTACTCTCTTTATTGGGGATGAACTAGTAGACTATGATGGCCTTTATTATTGGGTCTATGAAAAATCGTATTATTAGCTACAAATTAGAATTTGTCTTCCTGTTTAGGATTTACATTGAGTCGTTTCACATTAAATTTGCCCTTAATTGGAGATTGCCCGTTTCTTAAATCAAATTTAATTATTTTACAATATGGGAGACATATTTAAAAGAAATGGTTTTTCAATTAGTTTTGGAGTTTGTTTTTTCTTTAACTATGGTGAACTTGAAGTGCTTTGAGTATTTTGTTATTCATTAGATTTCAATGGAAATACTTTGACTGGATTCATTATATAAATTATATATAATTAGTTATGTAATTTTCATTATTTCTTTTGGTACCAAGTTGGGTATAATTTTGGTGCAATTTCAGGTTAAATTTAAAGTTCCTCTATAAATAATATCTACCCATTTAATACCCTTAGTAAAATCAAAAAAGTCTGGTAAAGTCTAATTAGGAATACCAAATCCTGTTTATCTTATATCATTAAAGAATGGATGCAATAAGGCTTCTAATGGTCTCAATCTTTCTTTAGGAGGATATACCATAAGTTTAGAAATTAAATCAATAAATTGAACATCTGGTTTGAATTTAGCAAATACCTAAAGTATTTTAAATAAACATCAATTACCTTTTACCAAGGATGACATTTAATGAGTGGAAACTTAAAATCTTTATGTTAAGGATTCATCATTTTGACCTGTTCTTGTGTTGGAGTTCCCAAAATTTTAATAATTTCAACTAACTGATCTGTTGCACTTTCTCCTGGAAAGAGAGGCTCTCCAATAAGCATCTCTGCAATCACACAACCAATAGACCAAACATCGATAGCTGTACTATATTCAGTAGCACCATAAATTAATTCAGGGGCTCTATAATAACGAGAGCAAATGTAAGCTACATTTGGTTCACCTTTTTGAAGTTTCTTAGCAGATCCGAAATCGCATATTTTAAGTACATGAGTTGCTGGATCTACTAATATATTTTATGGTTTAATATCCCTATGACAAATACCAATTCCTAATTTTTAAACTTGTAATGTTACCTTCCATATAAGCTAGAGCTCTGAACATCTAATATCCATAAACTTTTAATAAGACATTGGGAAATTGCTATTTAGCTTTTCTGTATTATCTAACTACTTTGCTTAATGTATCAGGTATATAATCCATAACCAGATTTAAATAAACATCATCACCCTAATAATCAAATGCATATATACTTTATCTCCTTAAGTGAAAAAGGCTTCTTTCAACTTAATTACACATGGATGATTGAGTTCTTAAATGATCAAATGCTCCCTATTTTTATATCTCTTATCCTAAAACACTTTCTTAATGGCTACTTTTTCTCCTGTAATAGAATTGGTGGCCTATATAATGATAAATGTATGATACTAAATAAACCATTCCAAAAGTGCCATTTCCAACAATTTGATTTAGAGTATACTTTTGGGCTTATTCAGATCTCTACATTATGAATAGTAAGACTAACCTATTGTTGCTAATTTTCATCATTAGCCAATGTTGGAACTCTTGTACTTGGTTTTGTTGGCTGTTATTATTAAGGTTTCTTTAACATAATTATTTATATTATCACAAATTCAAATACTAAGAAACTAAAAAATTACAAACTTGAATCTCTTGTGTATTTGTTTAGAACATAATAATTATTATTATTTTATAATTGTACTTCTAATGTCAAATAATCCAGTTAGTGATGTTGAAATTCAGAAATAAGCACAGCAACAATAAAATAATATACTTGCCATCTTGAAATCTGGTAACGCAACTGTTGTAAATGAAAAATTATAAAGATGTCGAGATTTCAAAGATGGCAAAGACATTACAGTCCCTTTTTGTTATAAAGGTATTAATACTTCTAAATTATTCCTAGAAAACTCTCCCAAAGAAGAATTAGTATTAGAGCATGTACAATAATTTTAAAAACAGTTTCAATTACATTATGATGAAAGAAGGAATCTCTTTCTCTATCCAAAAAATGAATGCGATCTCTACAAATTTATATGTACAACTATACGTCCCTAAAAAATTGGATATTTAGAACTCTATAATTATGAATAGTGTGCAAGATATATGAGTTTTTTTATTGCTTATGAATAATTGGATCCTCCTGATCAATTCCCTAAAGTTATTCCAAGTCCAACTAATGTTGCAAGATGGTAGAAAGGTGATTGTTTTGATTTATCTATACTTTTGTGTAGCGTTTTAATAGGAGTTGGTTATGATGCCTATTGTGTATATGGAACAGCTCCTAGATCAATAACAAGTAAAAATGAAGCAGATCTTGATTACATCTTCATCAATAATGGAATTAAAGAGGATGATCAAGATGGGGATAAAGATAATGATGAACTAAAAGATAATGAATTTGCTATTCTTCCAAAAGAAGAGATTGTGTCAAAATATGATACAAAAATATAAAAACAAAAAGAAGAATTTGAAAAAGAATAAAAGAGAATTGCACTTACTATTGATGATGATGAACCTGATTAAATGGGATAAGATTAATATGCTGGTAAAAGAATTCATTGTTGGATACTCTTAAAAGCAGGTAAAAGAGGAGTTGAAAGAAATATATTTATTGAACCTTCTACAGGTAGGATTTATTAAATTAATGAAAGTCCATTTTTAACTGTTGATGCAGTTTTCAACAATAAAAACTTTTGGATTAATATGAAATTGGAATCTAAAGTAGCAGATTTAAATTTTGATGAAATGGATACATCTATGAATTGGGAATATGTCATGTTAGATACTATGGTTGAATAGAGTTAGTAGGATGATGAGGATTACAATTATGGTGAAGAACATAATCAATAATAAAAACAAGTTGATCCTTAATAATAATAATTATAAGACATTGCATAAATCTTAGATATGCCACCTCCTTGGCCTCCAAAGATTTTTATAGATAAAGACTCTTTTCTCAAGGGAACACCTTTAGGAGAATCTACAGTCTTTTATAAGAAATGCAAAATAGACTCATACGCTCCATATTCTTAGGAAAAAGATGGATTAGTTTAAAGATTCACTATTTATCAGGATTATAAAAGATTGAAAATTCATGAAATTAGATACTTTTACAAACACAGATCTGACAAATTAGTATTGAAAAGAAGATTTCCATATGAATTTAAGACTATTGAAGAGTATGAACCTGGAAATAAACCTTAAAGAAAGACTATTACTACTATAGACAGATAATTGAGAATCATCTTATATTATCCAACAAGGAATCATGATGGCTTGATAAAAAGAATTGAAAAAATTGGAGAAAAAACAATAGAAGAATATGAAAATAGGGATGATAGAGTTATATATAGATCTGTTAGATTTGATGCAAAAGATAAGAAATTTGAATAAAGAGATTTAATTCATAATGATAGATATATGGGATAAGTCAAAATTACTAAAATGACTTAAAAATATGAATTAAGTGAATTATATCCTGCAAGTGAATAACCATAAAAAGTTGTTATTGATTTAGTAAAAAATGTAATTAGGTAAAAAAAATATTTTTGATTTTAGAGTCTATTATCATATGAATAAAGGAGAAATCAATCCATAAGTTAAAGAGTTAAAAAGGGAAAATATGCATGGATTAGGAAAATTAAATGAAACTGGAGTAGAAAAAAAAAATGAAGATGCTTTGGTTTCTTAAGAGAATTAAAGAATAGCAAATTTAGGTATATATGATGTAATTTTTAGAAAAGGAATGTTTAACACATATTAAAAATCAAGAAGACGAAGTAAAAAAAGATGAAGAATAATTAAGATCTTAAGATCTAAGACTTGAAAAAACACTTCATGACAAAGCAAGAGAAAGATATAAAGAAACCTTAAAGAAATCTGAAGAAGAAAAATAAAGGGAATAAGCTGACAAAGATTATTTATATCCATATTTGGAAAAGAGAAGGTTATTAGGAAAGGAAGTACTTTCTTATAATGAGGCTTTGGATATATAAAAAGATGTTATGACTAAATTGAAAGAACGGTTTTATTTTCATTTAACCTTTTAGTTTACTATCTAGAGCAGCTATCATCTAAAAAAAATTAGAAGAAGAAAGAGCTAAACTAGATCAGGCTGAATAAATGTAGTAGAAAAAGGCAGATCCAGATGATAACGAATATATCAATATACAATTTAGAATTGATATTTTGGAGTAAAGGGCTATTAGATTTGAATCCTAAGCGCTACTTAAATATGAGGAAATGGATAGAAAACTTAAAGAAGATAAAAGACTATCAGAACTTAAAAAGAAATGAAAATATTTTTATTAAGGAAAATATCATGTTATTAAATGTAATTAATTAAATATAATATATTTCAACAATTTTCAAATAAATTATTATCAAAGTCTATACTTTATTTCTTATCATTTTTCTTAATTTGTTTTTAATTTTATACAACCTTGACTTTTATTTATTATTGATCATCAGAATTTTCATCTGAATCATAACCTGTTTTTATAACTTTATTTACTTTCTTTGTCTATTAATTCTATTTTTATTAAGCAGCTTATTATTATTATTATTTCTGATTTTGCTATTATTATTGTTAATGTTATTATTATTATTTATTTTATTTATTTTGTTTCTATTTATCATTTTCATTTTACTTTTGTTACTAATTATTCTATATTTATTTATCTTATTTAACTTTATCTGCAATCTATTATTAAGTATTATTAATTTGATCTTCATTCTATTAAACAAGTTTAGGATGCTTTTTGATTCCAAAATTATTTTCTTCTTCTAAATCTTATTTCTATTAGTGTAATTATTTTGTTTATTGATTTTCTTAGGGTTTCTAATTTATTTAAGATTAGGCTTAATGTTATTATTTTTTTGATCCTTCTTTCTATTATTATCCAATTTAGATTTCAGGGGTTTATAGATTTTCTTTTTCTTTTTGTTCTTTGCTTTTATCTCTGGTTTGATTGTTTGCTTCTTTTGTTTCTTTTTTGCCTTGTGCCTCAGTTTAATCTTAATTTTCTTTTAAGTTGGATGATTCATGTTATTGAACTTCTTCTTAAATTTAATTTTTCTATTCATTATTAGTCTAATTATCTTTAGTTTTTGTTTCTTTATTTTCTTTTGTGTTTTCATTCTATAATTATAATTATTCTTGTGTATTTTAATTTTGTTATTTAGATTTTTCTTCTTCTATTCTATTCTTATTTTATTATTTTTATTATTTTTTTGTTAATTATTATTATTATTATTGTTATTATTATTATTATTATTATTATTATTATTGTTATTATTATTATTATTGTTATTGTTATTGTTATTGTTATTGTTATTGTTATTATTATTATTATTATTATTATTACTGTTTTTGATTATTTTATTATTATTTATTTGCTTATTTGTCATCTTGTTGTTGAGGTAGAGTTCTAGGTGGAGATATGTCTGGTAAATTTTCAACTAATTTGTTTTGTTCTTTTTAATGCTTATTCCTTCTTTTTGAATTGTCTGTTTATTCAATTTTAACTTATGATTTTTTTTTCGGTTCAATAATTTCACATGTTATAAAGGTTTAATCATCAAGTACATGTCCAATTTACATTTGTTTAGGAATCACAACCAAATAGCCATTTTATTTTATATTTTTTACTTAGAATTGCTATATTTCCTCATTATCAGGATTTTCTCTTTATGTATAAACGAATGAATTTGCAATCTAAACTTCTAGATTCTTATTGTTAAATAATTCAATTACTTATTAAGTGCGATCTACTGTGGCAATGAATTGTTTATGTCCTGTATTAACGAAAAGACGAATGTATTACCTTTGTGGAGCTTCAGCTGGTTTATTCAAAAATAAATCCATAAATTAAAATCAATAATTTTATGTTTATAATAATCTTTGTATACATTCTTCTATTGATGAACACTGGAGGTATAGTTCGTTTTGAAAGTGTTATTTATGATGCTGGAGCCAATTTAATTATTTTTCACATTTAATTAGATAGTCTGCCATAAAGATTAACTCCTTGTCTTTTTTGTTTTCTTCAAAGGGAATAATTGGAATACCATTATCCAATTAATAAATGTAACAATAAGCAGAATTATCAATTATTGCCATATTCTAGTGATTTAAATTAAGTTTACTTCTAACTTTCGGCCTTCAATTACTCTTAGATCTTTAACTAGAAGTCCCTCTTCTAGTTCTAAACAGTTTTCCCTATAGAATCGATATGAAAAGAGATTTGCTTTGGGATCAATATATTGTAAAATCTTATCTGCATATTCCTTATATGAAGCAGTGAATAGTATCAATTCATAAAATTAAGATAGAGCCTTCAACATTTATTAACAATGTGGTCTTATATTAAAACGTATCTAATAATATTTAAATTAGTTTACTTCTGTTTCTGGTTCATTAGGAATATGAATAATTGTTTTAAAATCTGTAGGATTATCATTGATATCGTTGCAATGAATTAATGTTTCATCAAGATCAAAAACTAGAGTTTTAATAGTTTCAGATGAAAAAGTTGGCCTTTTTGGAGGATTTAATAATTTTGAGGTTATAGGCTTTTTTGAGGTCAATTGAGAACAATGTTTTAAAGAGTTATAAGTTAGATTAAAATGATCACAGAATTTTGTTTTAAAATAGTCTTTTTACTCTTGAAATTCAATTTTATATTGCACTTAATATGGTGAAGTATTAGGAAAAAACTCTTCTCTCAAAAAATGTATTACAGAAGTCTAATAATATTTTGCTTCTTTAAAAATTGGCCTAATTACAGTCTAATATAAAATTAAGATTACTAAAAGGGCTGATAATTTTCCATTTTAAACATCGTTTAAATGAGTTGAAGGAGAGTGACCCCTTGTTGTTTATGCAGTCTTTGTAACTTGATTTGATGGAGAAAATGATTATCTTGATGGAATTTATCTAGTTGACATAATTTATGAAGGCTTATCAATTTAGGGTTTAGTAATTATCTCTTTTTTTGGATTTACTTTTTTCAAAGGCATCTTTTAAATGATTTTTTATTCTTATTTCTACCTTTCATTTTGTTAAGTTTTTATTCTTTATTCTAATTTATTAACATCATTGCACTTTAAATTATTATTTGATTTTTCTTAAGTCATCTTTTATTAAGTTGTTGTAGATTAATTTTTAATAGTCAATCTCTATGATTATTGCAAAATCGGTTAAGATTATTTTTTAGTTGGAGTCACTTCTTTAGGAGATTTGAATTAAGAAGATATTCTATTCTTTGGTTAATCAAATTCTACAACTATGGATTAGCTTTTCTATGTTCTGTTACTAATTGGAATTTTAGATGGTTAGTTAATGACTTTTTATTTAATTGTTTTTGGAATATCTGTATATTTAGTAGTAGGACTAAAGTTGCTATTTAAAACTCTAATCATTTCTGGAGTGTTAGCTTTGTTATCAATTCTATTCTGGATTTAATAAATAATAATTACTGCATCTTGGTAGTAATTTTATTTTCAGCTGATTGGCCACGATATCCTTTTTTGGAACACTCTTCTTATCTTGACTACTGTTGTTAAGGTAATTTAGGCTTAAGACTTGGAATAATTCTTTATGTATTTAATTTCATTATTTTTTAATTTTATTAAGTCATATGACTTTAAATTTCAATTAAAAGAGAAACATAGATCTCACTTTATTGTAATAAATTTAATAATATTAGTGGGTAAAATTAGATCAACTAATTATTTCTGAAATATTAAAATATTATTTGCTACTTACTTTTTAAATAAAACTTTTTCACAACAAAATATAAATGATCAAATATTTATTTTAAGTGAGCATAATCTATTTTACATTTAGTCACAGATAATGAAACTCTAACAATTTCCAATAGGTTATTTGATTCATTTATATTATTCAGATTCTTTGCTTTTTTCTACTATTTCCCCTTTACTATTATATAAAAATGATTATCCGTCAAACTTGATTCGTTTCACTTACACTCGATTATGCTCTTTCAATATAATTATTCTTTACTATCATGCATTTCCTTTATAATTTACTGTAAAGAATAAGTATAAATCTTAGTTAATAAAAATGATTATTTTAGTTCTTAATATATTTGATCAAATGTTTAATGGATAAAGAGGATTTAAGTTTTGTTTTATTTAGAATCCTCTTATTCTTAGGAATCATTTTCCTATCATAATCATTTCCTTTATAGAAACCATAAAGTTCAATTTAGTGTACATATTAAATTATACTCTTATAATAATTTATGAGAAGAATTTTATAATTATAGAATAAAATTGTTGTGCTAATAATGAAATAGATTTTCTATTAAATTTTAAAGGATGTTTAATAGGTTAAGAATGACATTAAAATTATATAAATATATATTAATTAATATGATAACATTATTATTTTTGGTTAGTGTTTAAGGATAATATTTACCTACAAGTACTGGATGTTTAGGAACAGATTATTTATACAAATTTGAAGAATTATCATTCTGTTTTACTTGTTAAAAAGGATGTAAAAGCTGTTGTGATCCATAATTATGCAATGAATGTGAAGACAGATACAGATTTAATTCAACCACATCTACTTGTATTAGATGTCCAGTATTTAAATATTTCATATTTAGGTAAACTGTGAAGTATGTGAACCAGATGGTTTATTTTCTAAATGTTCAAAATGTGAAACAGGATATATAAAATAAGATGATGGTAGCTGTAAGAAATGTGGAGATGATTGTGTCTCTTGTTCTTTGGCAGATTATTGTTCATAATGTGCAGATGCTTTCTATGTAGAAAAAGGAAGTAATAAAGAATAATTATGAATTTCTATAGTTTGTAAAGATTGTCCATATGGATGTAAAAGTTGTACTTAAGTTGAAGAATAATTATTTGTGTGTGATACTTGCATTGATAGATATTATTTAGTAGGAGAATAATGTACAAAATGTCCAACTGGATGTCTAAAATGTGATGACGATTTCACTTGTACTAGTTGTGAAGATGCTTATGTATTGAAAGAAACAAAACTTTGTGAATTTTGTACTCCAAATTGTAAAAAATGTTCAGAAAATACATGTACTGAATGTTAAATAGGTTATGTTTTAACAGCAGATAATTAATGTCTAGGTTGTCCAGATATTAATTGTGAAAGTTGTTAGTAGGATGATAGAACTAAATGTACTAAATGTGCATCTAAATTTTATTTACTTAATTCAACTTGTATTGCTTGTGATGTCAATTGTAAATAATGTGATACTCCAGGACATTGTGTTGAATGTAAACCAGGATATTTTATTAAAAATGGAGTTTGTACTGCTAATTCTATTAAATATTGTTAAGTACAAAATGAAACTGCATGTCTTACTTGTGAAAGTGGATATTATATTAAAAATGGTGCATGTAATCCATGTGGTGATAATTGTTTGTAATGTTCAGGACCTTCATCATGTAATTAATGTGCAACTGCTTATTTCTTTAATGGTTTTTAATGTTAAGGATGTGGTACTGGTTGTGAAAGATGTGTTGATTCAAATATTTGTCTTAAATGCACTTATGGGTATATAATATTATATAAATTAGTTTTTATATTTCTAAAGGAGTTTGTGAAAGATGTATAGATGGAGTTTGTTAATGTTCAATTAAAGAAAATATGATATAGAATTAGAGCAATTAAATCATAGTTTTGATGTTATTATTATTATTGATATTATCATGAAATTAATCTAATTTAAACTAGATTATTTATATATACATTTAATAATCATTTTTTATATATTTGAATAATTTAATTAATATAAATAATCATAATATTAGGATAAGCAATTTTATATTATTTAAGAATTAAATTAAATCTATATAATTATATTTAATATTAAATAAGATAGATGTAAAAAATGAAAATTTATAAAATTGATTAAATCTAAGTCATTATTTATTACTGTAATGAGATTATCTCTTTAATTAATCTCTATATAATTAAAGTTCCTGCTCTTTATGAGTTAATAATTAATTTAATCTATTGCATTCATTTTAAAATAATGAAACTTTGCTTTCTAAATCTTTCAAATTTTATTTAGACTATTAAGATTGACTTTATCTTCTTAAAAGTTCTAATTCTTTATTCCTATCATCAATTATTTTACGAAGACTATATAAATTGAAATTGAATTATACTTAGTAATTTCTTAGTTTTAATACTCAGTTTCTTGAACTATTTTTTCCAATCTAATTAATTTTGATTAAACAGTATCCAAATCGTCTTATTTTAATTTTAAATTAATTTCTGCTTTTTTTAAGTCTGATTATAAATTGACTAAAAATTTATCCTTAATAATTACATATATTTTATTCTTTTGTTCTAGATTTAGCTAAAAAGTTTTATGCTTCAAAACTCTAAGACTCAAGTGATTAACATCTTCTCTACCATTAATCTAATTATTCTCTCAATCTATTCATTTCAACTTAGACAATATTATCATTATCTTGAACAGCTCTCTTCATTCTTTCAACTTCCATTTCAACATTAGATCTAGTTTTCAATTAAGTTTCTAAACTTTAGTATCTGAGTCTCCATTAATCAATTTCTGAATTCAAATCTATAATAGTCTTATTGAGTCTATCCACTTCTTACATTAATTAATTAACTCTTCCAGTATCTTCAAAATAGCTGATCTTTTCAGATGCAATATTTTATGATTTTAATCTAAAATTTTCTTATTGCAAATCATATATTTATTTTTCTAGGATTGTACATTTATCTATAATCAATATTAAATTATACTTCTCCATGGCTCTTCAATATCAGTTCGAGGTACCACTTAAACTGGTTTATCATAATGTTAAATTTCTTAATATATAGGTTATGGTTGAATAATATTTTAGACAATAGAAACACCTTGGCTTGGTTATTATAATTGTTATTGTTTATTTAATGCTAAAATTTCAGGTGATAATTAGAACTATTAGAGTAGATTTGAAGTTTACTTCTTATGCATAAGCTCTTGCAGATGCCTATCCAAATTACATTGGCAATCCAGGTCCTTATTATGTACCCAAAGGTTTCTATGCATATTAATTATTAATATCTGTATTAATTGATTAAGGATATCTCATTTGATCATATGTATTTTTGCCATTAATTCCATAAACAGGATCTCTATATTAAGCCATTTTAATGATAAAAGCAATAAAATTTATTATAATATTATGTAAATAATATATTTCAAGCATTTTCTTTGTAATAATTTGTTAATTTGTTAAACTAATTTCATTAATTTTCAAGTAATATGGACTTTATATATATATATATATATAAATTATGGACACTATTAAATAAAAATGGAAAAACTATACACTTTAAAAACGTCTTAAAGACCTATGGGAGGATTACAAGAAAGTTTCAAATTTATCAGAAGATCCATAAACACTAAAGAAGTAATTTGAATTTTACTAAAAGATTTTAACAATTTCTTGAATAAGCAAATATAACAATTAAAAATTTTTTAAAAAGCAATGATCAACAGTTAGAAGTCATTTTAGGTGATGCTAATTAAATTTTGGTAGTGATATTAGATTATTTGAATAAATTTCCTGAAATCTAAAAAAGGTTATAATTTGTTTATAATAATCTTTAGAAATGCAGATTAAGGGCAATTAGTTTAAGACATAATGGAATAATGTATTTAATTGGCTGAACAAATTTTAAGAGAACCAAAGTATCGTAAAAGTGTTGAAAATTCTCATAATGTATTGTCTGACTTTCTAAATTTAATTGAAAAAGCATAGAAAACTGAATCTAAAGTTCTTATCATAAAATTGATTGTATAAACTATTTTGTAACAAAGGTTTTATTTTCAGAAAATCTCAATTAAAGGATTGAATTTTTTGAATAATAAGGATTCCACAAATTGCTTTCAATATTAATGAATAAGGATCCATAACTTAATCGAGTAATATCTAAGGCACTCTTGCATTTTTTACTTATAGAAGATATAAATTAAGTAGTTATATGCAATGTAGATGATAGTCAAGAATAAACAATCAAATAAAAATTTAGTAAAATAGCAGGATCATTGAGATCATTTGCATTTTAAGGTATTAAATCATTATTTATATAACATCAGAACTCTCTAAGGTTTTCCTTCCAACTTAAAATAATAAACAATTAAGTATTAAGTAGTTTTCTGTTGAAAAAAAGGAAATTTTAACCTTAGAATAAGCTATAGAATAATAGATAAGTTTGCAATCAATATTTGAAGTTGATTTAAGTTTCTATATGAATTCACAATCAATAAGTAGATCAACTTCAGATTAGGATTAAAATAAAAATGAAATTTATGAAAAAATTATCAGTATTAGTAGTACTCCTCCAGATAGACTTGCCTTATCATAAACATAATCTGAGAGATCTTAATCTGAAGATATACTTAAAGAATTTTAAGTACTTTAAGGGGGATTTAAAGCAATTTTAGAAACATTAGAAAAAGCTACATCTGAAGTTTAAGTAGATTTGCTTTAGACTATTTAAGAAATCCTTTAAAATAATGCTAGAAATAAAATAGAGTTTAAAAGAGTGAATGGTTATCAAATATTAAGTGATTTTATTAGC